GAATGTATGTAAAATAAATTTATAGAAAATAAGTAGTGTAAAGAAAATATAAAAATGAGGGTGCCAGACAGATATTTGTGTTTTTTTTTAAAATTCTAATCATTAATGTAATGTACATTACTTTACACAGAAGCATTGACATCACTAATGAGGATGCTAACTTGGATTCACTCTGCAACAACAACTGTGCGTGTTCTACGCAGTTCAACCCGGTTTGTGGAACCGATAATATCATGTATTTCAGTGCTTGTCATGCGGGATGCGCTACAATCAAGTCAGAGGATGACACTGCTGATGAGGTAGGGATGCAATCAACTTGCAGTAGAATGTAAAAAGAGTAGGAGTTAGAGTAGCTATTCAAGATTGATTGGTTTCAGTCTCCTGGGTCCGATTGTAGCATAATTTTCTCATAGGTGAAAGCGACCATACTTGCTAAGCGTCATCATAATAAGCCTAAGTTTATAGAGTATTACGTCTGTCTTTTATGTAGTGAGGCACTCACTATTGGATGAGAAATAAATAAAACTTACTTTGTGTCTGTATAGAATATAGCCTCATGAATGTTTCAAAATGCTGGCTGCCCTGCTCTGTCGCTTTCTTTCTTTTCTATTGTTAATAGGTCAAGGACATTATATGGTTTAGTAATACAGATTTTTGTGTTGTTTTCGTTTTTTCATGCCCTTTGAGCATTATTCTGAAGTGTGTATAAAAGCTATAAAATACTATTTAATATTATTATATATTGTATCATTCAAAGAGTGTGTGAATTGTTTTTTTACATTCTCTTACAATAGACTTACAGTGACTGTACATGTGTAGAAGCAATTAATGGCTCTTCAGAGGCAGTGCTGGGTAAATGCACCACAAACTGTCCATACCAAGGTGTATTTCTCGCCTTCTTATTCCTGTTGATGTTCACTACAATTCTAGCTGTTGTACCTTCACAGACAGCAACACTCAGGTGAGACACTTTATTATACAGTACTACAGTGCTGTGTCTTGAAAATTGTAAGCTTCATTTATCTATGAACTGCCGGTATATAAATTATATCTTTGTATCTATATATTTTGTTAAGTGTGAGAGGGCATATTGTTTTCACTGAGTGTTCAGTATTCTATTCAGTAAAAACCAGCAGTAGATTTTTGCTTGATCAATTAATTGGAATATTGCAGTGTACGTATTACTAATTATTATGAAGATTATTCTTACTGTGGTTAAGGATTTAGAAACCTATGCATATTTGATTATCTATTCCAAACCTTATATGATGGTAATGGTACAGAAATTGCATACAGCATTGAGTGTATGCATTGTTACTGTACCTCATAAATATTAATTTTGTAAAAAAAACATTTATTTGAGTCCTTGTTGGATGATTGGAACTTCCTCCTGATGCAAAATTCGCTGCTTCACCTCAAATCATGCTGTATTTTGAGATTTATTTTGTAACATGAGTAGCAATACCATACTATGATTTATCTTGTGTCTTAATAGGTGTGTACCTCACTCACAGCGTTCATTTGGCCTTGGCTTGCAGTCTTTATTATGGAGAGCATTCGGTAAGATTATGTTAATTTTATTCAAAAACATCTCAAATTAATCCAACAATCTGTAAATGACATTGAAGGTGATCATCTGGTCTATGCAAAACACTGTCATCCTCCACTCCAAAAAAAGTGATCTGCAATTATTTGTCTGGATATAATAAACTTGGAAATTAATTAAGCTATGCCACATCATCAGGGTATTTGGGTGGGGTAGGGGAGCATTTTAAGGTGCAATTTTCAGTATCTTTCAACAAGGTACCACTAAGGTCTTTTTTGCTTTCTCATCGTAATTTAGTACCCACTAGCTGGGTGATATCATCTTACCATCTCACTTTTGGTCTCTCTGGGCGTCACAAACAATTTCTTGTTCTATATTTTTTAATAATCATACAAAAATCATGTTTATCAACTGCAATAACCATTATTTAATAATAAGGTAAGAACTTATATAGTGCCATATAAAAAGCTGAAGTGATTATCGATTGCGCTCTATGTTATTGTTGGAATAAATGCTTTTTAAGTGATTTAAATAAAGCAATTGACGTTGATTTTTTAATGTAATTTAGTTGATGAATGCCAAAATTTTCATTATTATTATTATCTTATAATTTTCTGAAATATGAACTAAAAATGATTGATTTTATAATTTTGTTTTTCTGAATTAGGGTCTGTGCCCGGTCCAGTGATATTTGGTGCTGTGATTGATAAGACCTGCATCTTGTGGGAGGATTCTTGTGGTAGTCAGGGCTCCTGTTGGTTATACAGCAATCGAATGTTCAGTCGCTACTCGCTTTACATTGGGCTTGCTGTTAAGGTATGCTCACTTGTGTTTCTCACATTAGCACTAATCACGTACAAACCGCCACCAGAATCACCACCGCCAGAGAAAGCTGATCGACAGTGGTCGACCTCATCGAGTGACCAGATCACATGTGTCAACTACAAAGAGAGTAATAGTACTAAGTTATAGTTGCATTGTGGGATTGTTTGATAGGGTGATGATGGTGATAATGATTTTAACATTGTAACTCCAAATAAAGGGGATCTGCAGTGCAATAAATACAAATCATATTTTTAGTGGTCTAAAATTACCTATACAGTATAAGTAATTGAAAATTAACTATGAGAGAGAAAAGAAGATATGTTTTAACTCAAATTAATGATGTCATACAGAGGTCATTGGCCTGTTACTTATGGAACCTTGAGAGGGTGTAGATGATCTAGATTTATATAGAGTTTTAAAAAACACTACTTATTGTAGTTATTATGCAAATGAAGTTAACAATATGTTTGGCAATAAATAACAGTGTTCATTGACAAATTCACCAGGGTATTTTTCAATGAAGTCTGTTGTGATGTAGTTAGTATCATGCCCAATATCATGTTTAATAGATGCTGCAAATTGTAAGAACAGCCACAAGAGGGCAGCATTTATGAATAATTAGAAAAATTACTATAGGTTGAGTACAGATCTACTCGATAGAGGTTTTAAAAGTATAAAATTATTCAAAACCTATATTTTTAAAGCTCAATAATCATGAATATTTTGGACATGTGTTCTGAAATAGATTCTTCTATAAGTGGACTAAGTAATTCAATTAAACCTTCACATTCTGCACTCCTGTTTATTTTTGAACTTTTATTAAGTGATATCTATATAAATCTATGATATATTGCCTTAACTCATCATGCGGGACAGTCTTACATTCTCTGCACAAGTAGATTTGGTCAAATTCATCCTAGAATCCATGAGACGTACGAAGGAGAACATTCTCCCATGCGCAGATGACTTACAGGGTTGTCATTACGTTCTGTCCTTCCGCGTTGTGCAATTTAAAGTTCTCATTTTTCTACCTCCACTTAACTATTATTAAAGTACTGGAAATATGATTGTTGTTATTTCATGAAGACTCTCAATGATTACTAAGTTGCAAAACTGTACAGATTATTAGTATTCATATATATCACTGCTGTTAAGTGTCTGAGCATGTGCTGTGACCATATTGACATTATATTTTTGTATAAAATGAATAATTATTTCATTCACAGTATATCATATAAATAATAATTGTTAATAATTATATATAATTGCACATTCTATTTGATAGTTGAGATGAATAACACAATTGTGCGCATGATAAAATAATTCAAAGTGTCTTCTTGAAATTTATAGCCTGTATATTTTGTAATAACATGATCAAAGTATTTTGCAAACAAATGTTTGAGATATTAAGTGTAAATACCAATAATATTGTGAGTGCAAAGAATAATAGTTATTATGCAATCACTGACAATATCTCAACTAATTAAATCTTAATCATTTGTTTTAAGAAGTATATTAGAAGTGGAAATGTATGTATATATTGGGGGTTTCATTTACAGAAAAAATATTTGTAGTGCACTTTCCTATATATAAAATTGGTTGAGTTATTCAACCCACCTAAATGCAATTAAAGTATTATGATGATATGTGCTTTTTGGTTCTATGAGAAAGGGTATTTTGAGAAGGAGCCCGTATTATTACTCAGTACTTGTGTTTGGGCATATTACTCGAGGCCTATGAAGGCAATGTAATTATATCAGATACATAATTAAAGCTAAGATAGTGATGTAAAGGAGAGAAATAATGGCCCATTTCAGACAGAACTGCAATATTGCAGTAAGCACGCCGGCATGGGTTTCTGTATGAAAGAGTTGATATGCCAATATGCCAGCTTACTTTAGGCCACTTTGCACCCTAGAAATATTTCCGCAATATTGCGGTTACGATTACTTGCTCTGTCTGAAAGGGTCTACTTGAAATTGCGGCAATCAAGCCGGGGTGTGCATTTATGCATAAACAAACAAGGTTAAAGTTGAAAACAATTGCGCGGTGGTATTTAAATGGCCAATATTACGCCATTCTATAGGACCCTTTCAGACAGAAAAGCATAAGATTACCGCAATATTGTGGTAACAAAGGCGCTGCGTGAAAGGGTATGGACCAGTTATGACGACATTCTTACCACAATATTGCGGCAACATCTGAAGTGGGCTAATAATTTTGACATCATTTTGAAATTTATTGATGAAAATACATATTTTTTTTGTTGAATTTTTGTAGATGAAGCAGTTTCCTTTTAAGTTTAATAAAGTTTTAATAGAATTTTATTATAGTAGTTTTCATTTTGTTTAGAATGTTTTGTTTTCTGCAAATATAATTGCAATTCTTTGACAGCTAATGGATTTTAGGTTTGGGAAGGTAACAGAGTACGAAGGTTGCAGCTGGCATCAAAACTAAATTCCAGTGCCACAGTGTAATAGTGAAATGGACCTTTAAGTCCCCCTCCCTTCTCCCCCTTGGATATTCTTGCTAAGGTCCCACAAAACCTTGCAGTTGAACATACGCAAACGTGTGTGTTTATGGGACAACAGGTGTGCTTGTTTGGCACATGCATGCTTCTGATCCTGTTGTAATTGGTCATCTAGTTTCTTGTGGCTTAAAAGCACCCGAGATGGTTTTTACAGTGGAAGGCACTATACATGTAAAAATACATGACCATTGACCACTTGTTAGGTTTGATTGACCCTCCAGAAAGATCCATTCTGCAGGCCGAACCACCTCATTCAATTCGTCGTTCACATCACGAACTAACACAATCAAAGTAGCGCGTCAAAACGAGTGCGTATTGGTTGTCCTGCAATTTTGTATACTTTACCACACAAAAAGTCCTCAACAACAGCGTGTATTTTGACGCGCTTTCTTGATTTCACAAACTAACACAATCTGCTTCGTGATATGAGCGACAAATTAATCAATAGTATCATAATGATTTGTTAAAATTGACAAAATCGGGTTTGATGCTAAATAATAAATCAACCTAAAAATTGAATAATGAAATATTATTTTGATTGTAGTTGTAGTGATAACAAAATAAAGCTGTCTTCTTAATAGATGTGTCCGCCTTCACCATAATATGAGTTGGCTGTCGTGTTAATATATAATATTTCCCCTCATTTTACGGAAGCTTCCTCAATAGGGGTATACCCTGAATGGGTATACCCCTGAATGGGTATACCGTCTAAAAGGAGGGGTTCTACCGTATTTACATGTTAGTGCTTTAGTCCTATACCATCTCCACACTTTCACTAATGGTGAACCAAGTATCAAGCTTGTTAAAGCAACAAAATCAAAAGCAAAGATGCATAAAACAAATATTGTAATCACAAAGATTTAATTTTAATCACTGATGGTGAAATAAAAATACAAAGTTGTCATCGTTCATCCAATCAAGGCTTACAATGAATTCATTCTGGGTGGAATATTATTCAAATCGTTTATGATGATAAAGTATCAACAGTACCAGCATTACTATGTTGTATCACTTACAATAATCAACATTTCTTTAAAAATAATATAATACTTGTACAAAACCCTCAAAAATTCAATGGAACATTGAATATGTCATTTAAAAGTATGAAATAATTGATGTACAGTCAAAACAAGCAAGTCTTATTCACAGACCTGTACTACAAAAATTACCAGCCAATGTAAAGAATGGCATGTGGGGGGGCGAAAGGGGGGGGGGGGGGGGGGGGGGGGGGGGGGGTGTTAAGGGGTTACAATGAACCGCCCAAAAAACTGGAGAAGATCCGCATTAAAAACGAAAAATTGATATTCGTAGATATATCTGTGTTGTGGTTTTGTTATTGTATAATGGTATCCAAAGGGTCCACTTTCCACTGAAACACACCTCCCACAATTTGTCATGCTACGGGCCTGGGCAAAGAAAATACAGTATTTACAATAATTTACCAATCGAAAGCTAACTGTATTGTTCAAGTCTTATATAGGTTGAGATTGCTGTTTGATAATTCAGTAACTTGAATACTATGGAAGAAGTCATATAACACAAAAAAAAAAGCTTTCCATGCCAAAACCAGCATCCGTGACCCAAAAAAGAAAATTAATTTTATAAAATATTCATATTTTCCACATTATAAGCTTTAAAATGATGTTTGGTCATTTACTTTAAGTGACTTAGTATTGCCTAAGTTATGAGTACAAGTATACAACACATCTACATTGCTATACTTGCTTAGCAACAGTACACTGGTTTTGGGATGGTAAGCCTCGTATATAAAATTAACCTACATAATGATCAACATTATTAACAATTCAATTTTAAAATCTTTATATTTGTTACAAACACTTTATAGTAACATTCTATAATAAATAATAAAACCAAATTCACATCACAATATCCATTTCTCATTCTATTTTTACAACATTCTTATTAACATAAAATTAACAATAAATTTTTTGTTCATGTATGAAGGTTTTACAATATATTTGGTTTTTTTAAACTTGTATTAATAGAAATTCTATGTACACAAAATCATGTGGGTAATGGGTTTATCTCCATAAGTAAATACTGATCTAACACATACCCCAACAACCCCTCCCATTCCCTAACTTCAACATATCACAAGAGTAATGCAAACGGGTTGTTGGAACAACGATATACTGTACAAATAGAGAATACATTTTGAACATTACTATATCACTTGTACACAAAGTATGCAACTAAAATGCTATCATTTACAGTTGACATGTGTATATAAAAATATTTTTTAATTTGTAGAAAAAAAAAATCAATTAGAAAACATTGATTTCTGTAATTAAATAACGTTGATAAGCTCTTTTTAAAATTAATGTTCAACAAAGGTCAAACTTGAGATGGTTCAAGACATTCAATTAATGTATGTAAAATGTGCATTTAATATTAAATAATCTACAGCAATGAACTTAAGTGCTTCTAATTTTGAAGAAATCCTAAAAGCATATGCTAATTATCTTGTGCGTTTACTCTAATCTGAAACAATACACTAATGATAGCATGATTCATAGGTATCTCAAGTGAAATAAATATAATTGTTTTCATAAATCATGGAACTGTTTGCAATTTATTATCCAACTACTTCCCAACAAGAGCTGGTTGTTCAAGTAAATGATATGTGTTAAAACTTCAAAATATACAATAACTTAAAATTTGTAATACTTTTTGAAGGTTTGCAAGTAAACATTGTGTTTAAAATTCTGATACATAATGTGTAAAAATATGGTTCTCAGAAATATCGCAATGGCTGGTTGTTGCCCATGTTCCGAAACATAAAGGTAGCACAGTAATAACATTATCACTATCAACTGTAATGAAACGCAAGCAACCAGTTTGTGTTCAACTAGTACAATACAAAATGTCTATGCATGGACATTGTATGGACAACTAGCATTTTGGTGCCCTACAATTTGTAGAACATTGGCAGCCAACATTTTAATGTTTGGTAGGATTGTTCAAGTCTTCAGGGGGATGTCAATCAAAATTCAAATTACAAAGTACCATATTTTTACATCATGTACCAGAAGTGTAATCATAATTAACAATATATGCCAAACAATATTATTGATATATTTTGAAAAACAGTTCTATGGAAACCCAGGCCATACTACTACAAACAATTGAATTACCCATTTGTAAATTAAATAAATACTACGCAGTCATGTTATCTACAGGCAAATGCAAATCCACACAGTGGTACTACTAAATATAATGGCGACATAATTTTAATGTTTGTTGCTATTAGCATTCGTTTTGTTTATTATTAATTTCTCCTATCCTGTTCACTAAAATGAGACTGGCTTTGGCACTAATGAGTTCAGTCCAGACCTGTCCCTGTATAATTGAGTCTTGCTGTCTACTAAAAACAAAACAAAAAACAGTTGCAGAACAAAGACTGCTTAGTTTAACCTCCATTGCTCTTTCGATTTATATAAATAAAATTCATTTTTGTATTTAGATGGAGAATTGTCACTAAAATCAATAATTAAAAAATGTTACCAATCAACTTATATGTGTACAAGGCACAGACTAACTTTTTTGAATTCCAATCATGCATGTGTAGAATACACATATTTGTAATATTCTTTAGCACTGAATTGCATTCTTGTAGCATGATGTAGCTTTCAGTATATTTTATGGTAGCTTCATGTAGCACCAAAGTGTATCCTTGTGCTGTAGTACTGTATGATGCAGTTTGATGCTCTATCAAAGTGTAAGATTATACTGTAGCATGTCACTTTCCGTACCATAATATTGCATAAAAGTGCATCTTTGTAGCATGATGTAGCATCAAAGCACTATGTGTTACATATATGTGCATTCTAAACACAATTTATTCATTTAGCAATACATATAGTATTGTGTGGTATCAAAGTCTAACCCTGAAGCATAAAAGTCCATTCTGTAACATCCAAGTGCATTCTTGTAGCAATTTGTAGTATTCTGTAGCATCAAAGTGCACATTTGTAGCATCAGTTTGCTTTATTGCACAAGGTTTGCTTTTTGGACATGGAATAGTTTATGCATAGTAGTGGTTTTGGGCATCTGCACGAGGTGTAATCAAGGGTGATCGTTCATCTGCAGTGCCATTCTTTACTAAAGGCTTTCTTTCCTGTTCTTCTAATAGTTTAGCTTTGTTTACTGGTGGTCCTGGAAAAGGAAACAAATTGAATTAAAATCAATATCATTTAACATGAAATTAATCTGAACAGAAATAATTGCATAGTAATGAAAAACATTGTATTAGGGTGACTCTTCAAAGAAGATATGAATACTCTGTATGTGTACTGAATCTTTGGGATCCATGAAGGAAATGATAGATCAGCCGGGTAAACTAGTGGTAGTCAGTGTATGTGTACAGCAATATTGTGTCCCTTGTTCGATGACATAAAAGCTGGATTGGCGAGCTGAAATGCAAGGAATTGCCTTTTGGAAAAAATATAAGCCATTGTGTGCACTAAGACCAGAGTACAAATTAAAGAATTACAGGTTTTAGAAAGGACACATGACTGTGTACAGATCATCACTACAAATTACTGTGGACTATGTTTAGGAAGCTGAAGTCATTAGGGCCTACAATGAGCTCACTTGCTTACCTATAAAACTCAAAAGTACTGGCAAGAATATAAGTCCATGTGAAGCACCAAATACCACTATGCCGAAGTACATTCTGAAGTAAAACACTTGAAATATCTGAGACTTGGAAAATGCCAACACCACTATCCCAAGGAATTTTGTCAGTGTAATTCCACTAAGTACCTATAAAAATAACACAAAAAAAATATATATAATACTCAACATAGCACATTTCATTATTACATATATTTCATAATTCAAATTAATTATTCATCTCGAATGATACAAATACATAAATAAAATAAACATTAGTTAAAAGGACAAATCAAAACATGTATTTTCAGTGTATTCAACAATTAAGTGACTTACAGAGCTTCCCATTTGTGATAAAGCAGCAATGGCTCGTTGCACACGTGTTGGTTCTGTACTCACAGCAAAGGCTCGCGTAATGTGCGAACAAAACTCCACTGATATACCAACAGACTGTAAGAAACAAGAAAGAAGGCATTGAAACACAATATGCTATTAAAAAAGGTAAAGTATTTGATCAATTGACACCAAAGTATGAAAGATTTATTGTAAGATGTACTGCATTAAGGGATGCTGGCTTGGTGCTGGGCATGTCTGGTGCACTGAAGAAGAAAATTGCATTATTTTCAAGGTAGTAGCTGCATGGTAGTTTGCATGGAACAGTCATCTGCATGTATCATAAAAAGAGACTAAATATATTAAAAACTTACCATGACTAGATTAACAAGAGAAACAGCATTTAAGTCCACATTCCAGAAATACATAAGACCGATCAGATCAAGTGTGATGAGAGCTATGGTCAGGACAATGATGACAGCAGAGTACGCGTCAAAACCAAGCAGAAGGAATGTTACAACAAAAACAGCGAGTAAGCACAAACTTAGGTTGATGATAGTGTCATGTACCATGGTCAGGTACTGCTCATAATACACATATATAATGCTAAGAAAAAAAGGAAACAATATTATCACTCATTCATTCGTTGAAAAAGAATTATTTAAATAATTACACTGGCATCGTGATATGAATTGCTTAAATTTTACAATTAAAAAAAAAAAGAAATTAAAAACATTACATATAGAAACTGTACAAAAACAAGGTATTTTAATATATATGTTCCACAAATGAAGAGGAAGATGAATAAAACCACTGCTTACCAAAGTGCATTACAAGTATTAAACATAATATACTGTACTGTAAATGTGCTAATGAAAAACCACAAAAAGAACTCCACAGCGACCTCCTGAATATTATGGACCAAAATTCATTTATAGATTACATAATTATGTTTTGTTATTATTCAATAGCCTAGTCACGTACTGCATATGATATGTAGGAAATAATATTTATATTTTATTCAGTTTTATTAATGATTCGATCTGAACATATCTTATCGTTCTTACCTGTATGGATACACATCGAAGTATGAGCCGTCAGCGTTTGTATGGTTCATCATTGTCGTTATGTTTTCCGCTACTTCACGTGCTTGTCTGAGTGCAGCAATATAATCAGCTGATGTCTTTAGAATGGAGTGGTAAGTCATGAAGTAAGTTGCTGTAAAGTGCACAATATAAATATATAAGAACTGTACTAATACAATAGTGCTAACTGAACTACTGTATGCATTCCAGTAAATAAAGAAATACTAGACTCCACTTCTCCTAGCAGAGCTAGAGTAAGAATTTTTAATACCTCGATAATAAATTACAAGTAATAAATTAGTCTTAAAAGTTGCCTTACACTGATAACAGTTCCAACACTACAACTCTTCTCACCACGTTTAATAACATAAAAATATTTTCAAAGCCTTTAATTTTGCTTGGTAGTGATTAAGGTCTTACCTCCCACCTCTGTCTTGTTAGCATCATCAAATGTAACTGCAGCACCATACGCTGCATGTCCCCCCTTGCTACATTTTACTGTTGGATTGTCCTCCAGAAAGAACGGCAGAAACTCAACAAACTCTTTGGGGTCGGGCCGCTGGTTTTTTTCATTTAGTGGTCTACATGTGGTGCAGTTGCTGTTATCATCTGGGAACAATATTTAAAAAGATTATAAAGCGGTTATATTTGTTGGCACATTCTTGTCTAAAAAAAAAATCATTATTTTTTCATTTATTTTATATTAAACTGAATCTTAGGATTACTATACCCCTACTGATTCAAACAGTTTCCATGAAAAAGATTATTAATAAAATTTAAGTTTGGCAAATATGAAGAGTATGGCCAATCGCAAAGATTGTTGTATTCCTTGATAAAATGCAACTACTCACCTGTGGCTGGACAGAAGTCCCCGGCAGGGTCGGTACGACAGCAGGGATACTGACCACCAGGACTGACCCAGTCAAAATAATCGTCCAACCAGGAACTCGTTGGCTGGCTGATCATTGTTCTAAAATTGAAATGAAATAAATATAGATTCTTAAAATGTCTATTCTAAGTTTCAATAGGATATTTCACTTCACAAGAAGTAATAATTTTAATAAAAATAAAGGATTACAACAATAATATCTTAATATACATTTTAATAACATTGTAAATTCTACATCAAAAATATGCTTACGTACCTAATAATATTAAGAATGTATTTAAAGATATTGAGAATGTACTTAAAACAAACTTACACATTTGGGTACTGTGCAGCATTGTATATTTGTGATGTCAGCGAGTCAGAATTACAGCCTGAGCCTCCACATATCTTATTCTGATTTGGAACTTCTGTGTAGTCATAGCCATCACGGATAACAAAGTACACGGGAGGTCCAGCAGTCATGTAGGCTGTTTGGTTATTAAATAAATCTATGACGTACGAGCCCTGTGGAATAAGGTTGATAGTTGGGATCAAAATGTGCTTATCACCATTTGGCAATGCTATAACACAGCATACCAGACTAAATGTGGACGATATCATGTGTGTGGCTATTCAACAAATTGCTCATTAAAGGATCAAATGTCATCAATTCCAGTGAGACACAGATTGGAAAGACATTCTGCCACTTGTTTACTAAGAAAATCATAAAAAATCATGAAAACAGTATAATAAAATATTTGTGTGTCCATATATTACAGAAATCTAATTTTTACTTGAGATCTAATACAGGTCTCCCTCCAATTAAAGACCACTTTTGGGACTGGGGTTTCTGTGGTCCTTAGCAGCTTTAATTTGGGACGTCAGAAGTGGTCTTAAATTGGAGGTGTCCTTAATTAAAGGCAGACCTATATACACAAGTAATTCAAATTTGAATTTTATTGCTCATAATTATTAGCTCAATACAGTATATTATTTAAAATATAGTGCTACATTCCAGAAGAAACAAACAATTAAAAGTTAAAATACTGAATGCTATAACATGATGGGTTTTTTTTTCTTTTCTCGTAAAACCTTGAATTGAAGCCCTGGGCTTATAATTTTTTTTTTGCTAACTTTGGATGGGCTTCTTTTCAAGATGGGCTTCTTTTCGAGGTAACTTTTGCTAAGTAAAGAGGGGGCTTATTTTCAAAATGAATGCTGTAAATTTTGGGAATTAGTATTATAAACAATAAATAGGCCAATGTAACATTAATCTGTATCATTGAGTGTATTAACCGGCATTAAATCACCTAAACTACTGTATAAATAAAGCATGATTTTAATTTATTTTGTTTCTTTGAAATTGATATACAGTGTATGTACTGTATCTCGAAAGAAAGCCTATGCTATCTTGAAAGGAAGCCCATGGGCTTCTTTTCCAGACTAATTTTGCAAACTGAAGAAGTGGGCTTTAATTTGAGACAGGCTTCTTCTCGAGATTAAGCCCATTGGGCTTCAATTTGAGGTTTTACGGTATACTTCCCTACAATATGACCTTTAACCTGTAAATCTGCTATTGGGCAAATAACATTGAAATTATAACCAGAGTACAGGTCCAGCCAGAGTAATCCAGCCAGCAGAGATTTTGTTAATTCATGCAACTGTAATATCAAAGACCTTTTATTGGAGCTAGAAGACAATTTTCATAGTTCAAGTTCAAAGTTCATAATAAAATGAACATTCCAACAAGCTAAAGATGCATACCTCAGGCATGGAAAGTTTTTGGTCCAAACCAATTTCAATTTTACTCAGAGCAGCACCAGATAAAAATGCAAGAGCAGCAAAAATAACAATCTGTAAAAAAATCCAAATTTATCTAAATTAATGAAACAAAATATAATATCAACAGTTTACATTAACAACCAATTAAAAAGTATGAATAAAAATGCTATTGATAAATATGTTTATGATCATCACTAGCAATTATATGGCATATATAAATATCAAGAAAAAAATGTAATTATATTAATTGTATCACTAATAGATCAATTTTATTTTATTAATGCAGCTTTTAAGCTACATTAAAATTTGCTATTAAACCGGAAGAAAAGCAAATGAACTTACAACACAATATCTAACTGCATCTTTCATGAGAAATTTAGAATAGACACAAACTGCACGATACAAAAGACCGGGCTCCTTAGGAGCCTGACCAGCTTGCTTGTTTTTAACACAGCAACACATATCAAATCGATTATTCTGGAAGCAAAATAAGAATTTCAAATAGTATAATTGTGGTTTAATTATATCTTATTATTTTTTTGGCACACGGCCAAGGATATGCCAAACGGCAAACTTAATCAATATTCTAAGTGGCATATCCCTTCACAAGACAAACATAAACACAAGATGCTCTACATAAACTAAGTCTAATTATGAGGCTTAGGGAGTGGGGTTGTTTTGATCGTGTGAAAATATCCTGCTACCGTGGCAGAAATTGAAACCAGGACCCTGGAATTGGAAAGCAACAATCTTAAACATTGAGCTATTCAATTTCACTAACTATTATGTACGGGAAAAAAATACAATCTAAATGAAACTGAACTTTATATTAACAAAACTTAATAGCTATGAGAAACTTATAACAATAGCTCATTAACAATACAATTTGTAAACCTGTGTTAATTAAAAGATAAATATTTTTCTTTGTTCAAATTTTCAATTTAAACTTGCTTAAGCCTACAAAGTAAGCAATAAAATACTAAACTTCTCTTATAAGAACTATAGATAATGAATGTCAGAAAAGACATGATAAAAAAAAAACTGAAATTACCTCTTGTCTGGCCGAGTCTAATGCTAAAACAGCTATAAAACAAGTAATCTGCAGCAAGAAGTCTATAAAGACTGCAGTGGCAGCATACAGGGAAAATGCCTTAACGGCTGGCATATCAGACAATGCTCCTGCAAACGAAAGAGTATAACAAATCAAATTGATATAATCTTGGGAAGCATTCAATGTTATAATAGAGGGAAAAAAATATAAATTTACATCTTTTTATGGACAAGTCAATAAATGAATCTTGAACCTTCCATTTTTCAGAAGACAACAAACATCATCGATGATATTGTTATATTGTTACCGTAAATGCTCAAATAAGCGCTGCACAAAAACTGATTTATTTCGCTAAGCGCCGCTCTCGAATAAGTGCCGCGGCACTCAATCAAGTATGTTATTGCCCTGAAAGTCTTTCAGAATCAGGGTTCTAAATACAAGGTAAGCAGTGTTAAAATTAATAAATAACACAATGAAGACACATAACAAGCATTTATAAAGGTTTATTTACGATGACGTTGGACCTATGATAGGCCTATTGAACTACGGGAATACGTGAGAAAGGTAACATGGGAACGGACATGGAAAGCATGACGCCAATATTTTTTTTTTTTATAACAGCCGCTCTCGAATAAGCACCGCACTAAAGCCTCCAAAAATTTTATAAGCACCACAGCGCTTATTCAGACATGCCAAACCTATAAGGCCAACAAGAGGAGTCTGAAAAACTTCTGAGCAGAGTTTTGGCAATGTGAGAGGAGTATTCCTAGGATAGTACCAATGTGATTGGATTGTAAAATGTAACCGTTTTGACTCACAATCAGCAATATCGCCGTGCAAGACTAAGTCTAGGCAGAAAATCAACACCACACCAATCACAACAAGCGTACCGTAGGTATCATCTACAGTAGTTTTGATTGCAAACTGACAGGATACTTTCCGTTTTTAACTTGCACGTATGCGCGTGCTTTAGCTTCTTTTCTGGAGGAAGCTCAACACTACTACTCATTTTTCGAACCCTGCCTAGGCCTATATCCATATCGCTCTCATCGGACTCCATTTTCGAAATCGTGCTTTACTAGACTGTTGTTACGAAATCAGTAGACCATGGAGGACTATAACAGTTCAGAGTGCAGTGCAACCTGACATCAATTTGGCCAATGAAATTTGTTTGTTTTTTTTAATTCAGTAGACTGTGGAATTTTTCGTATACAGTTCAGAGTGCAACTCTGACAGCAAGTTGGTCAATGAAATTGGTTTTTTTTTAAATCAGTAGAATTACTATTTCATATACAGAGTACAGAGTACTGTTTTTGGGACGAAATTAAGTGGTCTTGTTCTTATCTAAATCATAGGATTATCATTTTTATTCGGAAATGCGCGATTGATTTCAGCTGGCCAATATGCATAAAAAGCTTCGGAGTGCAGAGTTTTGCTTAAATAAACGGAGTAACTCCGTCGCAATCGGAGTGGTTGGAAGGTCTGCTTATTTGAGAGTTTACGGTACCTTGTTATTATTATTTCTATTTCTGAGCAAACCCTTGCAAATTTTATTTATATGTATATAAATATATTTTACAAATGAAAATGAATTATACTGAAAACTGATGCACCATATGCGATAAGACATTCAATAACTCTCAAAGCTCACACATTATTTAATATAACAAAACAGAATGCAGAATACACACCACCCACTCAATAAATGTTTTGCTGTCTCATTATTTGACCACAGTAATAACTAAATTCACAGTCTCTAAAGACAAGTCTTTCTCTTATATTCTAATGACCTATCTCTTATGAATTAACCACAATAGTGGGATCTCAGGAGTTTTGCATTTTAATGGCTGATTTTCCCCCTTTACTGTAGGCTAAGAGGGTCTGAATAACATTTATTTTCTAGGAGTAACATTACATTTAACAATTGTTGGTTGTAAAAAACTACATCAAGTAGTAGAAAATACATTTCCTGGCAGCTTGTGATAACCGTATACCAGGTAACGATTCTGCTAGACCTAAGGGCCAATATAAAAGTTATGTAAACTATGACTAACACCTTTTGCTTTCTGTGTATGCACAATGGTACACACCATTAGTCATTGTTCAAATTATCTGTGTATTTGTATTTATCATCCTAATAACTAAGATATCAAACAGGATTGTAGCAGATTGCGATGTGAGGTCATCAATAATGTAAGAATTATGTAAGCTGGTCTCTGTACTCACCAAGATAAAATGCTATAGATTCAGATGAGCTGGTGAGCAGCATGCTAGGGCCGACGTTACCAACAATACGACCAATGTGCTGAGCTCGAGACTCATAAGGTTGACGTCTGTCCCTCTGGTAGATCAAACAGACATAACAACATATTCATTCATTTTTATCTTACGATTTTCTGTAAGTCGCCTTATAAACAAATATTTGCATTTGGAATTCAAAAAAACCAACTAGTACAGTGCACCCTCCAATTCTGAGACACCTCTGCTTCGAGACCACTTTCCAAAACCTTTTAACACAAAACTAGCCCTCTAACTGGAAACCAACCCTGAGACCACCCCACATTTTTTAGGTCCAGGACCCTGTGATTAGCATCTTAACCACTAAGGTGTACAACTCGCTTCTTATAAATCAATAGATTGGTTTTTATGTCATGATGACACAAAATATCAAGGCACATATTGGTAATATATACTTTCAATATAGAATCAGAATACTTAAATCAAAATAGTTAAGGGCTCTGGCCAGTGTTGTAACGCTTGCACCGGGGGCCCTGTGGCTTTCTGAAGCTGGGGGCCCTTTTAAGTCCCGGATGCCAATTCCATTGTAAGATTTTCATGCGCTCCATTTTTTCTTATCTTGTGTTCCTGTTATGTCACTGTATTCTAAATGTTTTAATGACGAAATAAATGATAGGTGTTTATGCCACTGGCTGTGAGACTTATGCAAGTGTGGCGCAACAAGAAAAACCATGTCTGGAGTGGCACTTCTTAGACAGTATTGAACATTTTAGAGAAATACACAAATTTATATAATATAAATAAATTTTTATCATCAAAATTCATGACACCATGTGCTGTTGACTCAATTTACATTATGATTTACAGAAAAATACTTGCATACCTGATAAGCCTGAACAAGAATAAAGATGTTATCTACACCAACAGCAAGGACGAGGAACGGCACAACTTCAATGACAATCAAGGTGGCAGGGACTTTGGCATAACTAAGTAAACCAATGGCTGCTACAACAGAGCACAAAACTAAAGTAACGCCAGACAGACCCAGCACAATCTTAGAATCAATCTGCAAGGAAAAACAAAGACAAAACTGGTAAGCGACTGAAGTAAATGGTTTTATCTAAACATTTTTTTTTTCATTAACAAGAGATCATTCAGTGGTCATTTTGTGATGAGCAAAACTTGGGAATAATAAAAGTCGAGTGGTTTATGTTTTTAACCTTTGTCAAACGAATGTGAACAACTGAGGTTGTTACTTACGAGTAGACGTTCGACGCTGTTGTACTGGCCGAGAGCTAAAGTCACATAGGCAAACATAAGTAGGTAGCTGAGAGCTATAGTAAGAATATCACTTTTACTCTCACGGTAGATTTCGTCTTCAACAGATCGCTGGAAGAAATTAATTTTCAGAAGGTTGTTGGGTGCTTAAGGTTTCTATAAGTAATTTCACTTTCATAAACAAATTTTTTATATTGCTACTGAAACTGATGTAATGCCAGCAACACCAGCTTAAACATATTTTACTTTATTTATTCACCAGTATTAGATAATACAGTCCATATAACACAATTGGAAAACAGATATATAATTGAACTATTCAAGGAGACAATGCATTTGTATTATTCCATAAGTTTCAAAGAAGCACGTTCTCACAAAAGTACACACTAACAGGACCTGATACATTCCAACAAAATTAATTACATACTGTAAGTAAAAAAATAAAGGAATGTATTACAAAATAAACAATCCCTAAACAGAAGTCAATGAAATGCAAAAATTAAGATCAAATTTCTTATAACAAAGTTCTTTTAATATACAAATAATATACATTTATATACCAAAAAATATGAAAAAAATTAGAAATTCATTCATGTAAAATTTTTCTTTTTTATATCAATATATATTTACATACCTCAGAGTAAAATGCAATGGTCAAATTTGGATTAAGGTTCCTCTCTGTAAAATGCTTCATATATTTGAGAAAGCCCTGCTCCCAAGCAAGAGCTTTCTCTAATCGAGGATCACCTGTCTTGTAGTTATTCACTGTCATTGTAATCACCAATGCCGTTGCATTGTTGTAATTGGTACCTTTTGAAAAAAGAAATACTTAGGACAATAAAAATAGATTAGAAAAACTAGTTTATTTTATGCATTATCTACCTTACTAATTATCGCAGGCTTGTAATTTTACTAAATCTAATATAGAGTCCATCATGACTATAAAGAATATCTGATTATCATTTAGTTACTATACAAACTGAGCTCTGCTGGTATACACTTTGTATTTTCAAAGGACAAACTTTTTCATTAACTATATAATCTATCCTGAAAGAATTTATTTATGACTATAAAATCATTTACTACACATGTTTAATTTCAAAATATCTTCTTAAAATAAAACTACTTTAATGACATTTATTGAATAATTCTGTAGCTTCATGTAAAGTATTTATAATTAAAACATTACTATTCAAATAACCTTTCTAGATTCTAGATCATAAAATGATGTGTCTAAATTTACAAAATATTAAGAATACCAGTAGTACAAGGAATCCTGATTACGTACCATCATAACCACCGACCGCAAGCCATGGGAACACAGGCCCTCCAAATGTACCCATGCAAGGAGTATGAAGATGTGTAGTGTCATTCAGTGAAGTAGGGGCTCTGAAATTGAAATAGTAAAGTGTTGACTAGCATGCACAATTGACACTCCAGCATGGAGTTAAACATACTAAGTTAGTAATGTATACTGAGGTAATAATTTCAAGCAGAGACCTTGTCATGGTCTGCTATTAGGGACCCCTCAGGATGTAAATCCCCTTCCAGGGGTTTAGAGTGTTATTCCTGATTTAATTCATTTTTATATGCATGTCCTCAATTTGTTCATTCTATGTTTCATGCATGGTATCTGACCGACATTTGTATTATCGTCAATGATTATTTACAGTACCTATTTCAATTTTATCTTATATCAAGCTAGAAATGGTGTAGCATATACTGCATTACATGTATGCTATGCTATTCTAGGGTTATGTTCAACAACCAAAAATAGAGTAGATAAAAACAAATCAAAGTTTGAGAAGTAATCTGTAGGTGCAGTAAATTAATTACACAAGGTCAGCGAACTATTGTCAGGTTTGCCATTTGCAATAAATTACAGTGTATTACTTATTTGACAAGATTTAGATAAAAGTAACAAATGTTGACCCAATTTACTTCTTTTAAATTCACCAGGTAAAAGTAGTCATAAATGGGGATATTATGCAATACCTACACACTATTATGAAATACTTCTGGTGGATACACATATTGTGTTCAAAGATAAGAAACAAAGTGACTTACACAACACAGGAAAGGAAGTGGTCATGGTAATCGGAGAGCACCCAGAATCCAGACTGGTCCTTCACAACTTTGTCAAGCTCTTCATGACTATTCTGCCAGTAGTTAAGGACACTCATAATTGTACAGTTCTCTGACAAAGGCTTGTAGCAAATGTCATCAAGGCCAATAAGAGAACCATTGTAAGGAACCTGTATTTTAGTGATGTTATTTTGCAGATCCAATACCTTTCAGAAAAAATTATAAATATAGATTAGTTTTAGGCATTCCTCAACCCACAAGAAAATTAATTTCTTGTGGGTTGACTTATTGACTGCTCATGAGAGGAATGGTGAAATCTATCGCCCCAAGGTGATGTGGAGATCGTAGCCTATATTTGCGAGGACAGAAGGCCCGAGAAAAGATAGCCTATGGTATCAACATCATCGAGAGGCAATAGACTTCAATATTCCCCAAATCTAGAACAGTTAATATGAACAGTTAGTTCTATGAGGCCTAAAAATGTACTTAGCTCTTCTTTTGCTCATTTCCTCAATTTTAACCCATCATCTTGCAATATTTGTCAACTATTGACAATACACTGTCTTTTGGTGCTTTTTCTATCGGCTTAGTCAAGAAGTATAGGCCTAGGCTGGTCCTTCTTCATCCAGGACCTCAAACCGACAGCCACCATTTATTGTTTATCATCTACTCGCTGATCTGTGGCGTGGTCAAGGGCCAATCATTTTCATGGGCCAAAAGTTTGCATCATGTGACAGGTCAAAAAAGTACTATTTTTCAGGGAAATAGTACTTTTTGAGGTGAATAGTACTTTCTATTGCCCACTTCATAACCAATCAGATGCCTAGAATCTATGTATGAGGTACAGTATATAATAAAAATTCTCTCACCTGATGCAAGATCTCTTTCCTTAAAACTCCTCCGAAAGGTATGATATCACCATATGGATAAGTATCGTAGATTTCAGGGGGGAACTTAGGAGCTGTAATTATCAACTGTTCTGTACGATAGAATGGTCCAAAATTGTCATCAAAGTAGTTCTTCTCCAGTCTTGACTGGCTCTCTGGTGGGGACCATAACTCCACTGGGTCTGTGATTACAATGAATTGTCTGATTCCTATTCCTGCAGCACAAATTACTACAAGACCAATAAACAGTACCAAAAATGGATGCCCAGCACACATGGTTCCCCACTTCCTGAAGATCAGGTTGAGTACCTGCTCTTCTTTCTGGCCAAAGGATTCCCGACATCCAATATCACTCTCAGTGACAGTCTGCTTTGGTTTTTGATCATTTATATTAAAAGCAGACATCTTCCTGCCTGACCCACACTTCAGACCAAAGGCAAAAGCCAAGGAAAATAGGATGACAAAAACAATAAAACCAATGATCATAGCAAAAGGTACGCAACCTAATTTACCAATCATACAAGGAACTGGAGGCTTTGGACGTGGTGGTACTGGAGGGCAGGTTGCAGGACAATCCTGACAGCTGCATGGCTGTGAATCATTGCCAACACTTTCATTACACTTATGAGCTGTGTGATTAGCTGCTTTCATGTTGTGCTCTAGATGATGATCAGTTATTGTAAAGTTAATGCCAAATGGTGTCTGTCCATTATTTATATCCCCCATGAAATTGAGGAAACAATCTGGTTCGCACTTATCGTAGCCGCCGCAAAGGCCACAGAAGAGAGACAGAGCTTTCTGGTTGGAGCTTGGAAAGTTGACATGGTAACAGGAATTGAAAAATCCATCAGCATATGCATGTGCTAAAATATAGTCTATTGAAAGGACAGCTGTGGTAGAATTGGTAATATTGGTACCCAGATAACCACTTGACAATACACTATCTTGTACTTGACCTTCCAAATCTCCTTTTTTCTCCTCGACCACGTTGACCTCAATGTCTCTAGAAATTTCTTCATTTATTTCCATGATGGCAGAATCTGAGGAATTCCTAACCTCAGTGGGGATTATGAAAAGACTATTGTCTGGACTGCATGTCATCATGCAATAGAGATTTGCAAAGTTGCGGTAGCACGATGGGCACCTTGCAAACGTCTGCTGAGGGACTTGAAGACTTCCCTGGAAGGTCTGCAGCTGGGAGGTTGAGCAGCATGTTAGTGGATGCTCACTAGTCATTAGCCATGGACACAGCTCTTTTAAAATGTCCAATCCTTCAGGGTCCATCATTGGCTTGGCTAGACCATTGTAGAAGCAGTTAACTGCCTTGCCAGTTTGTGGATGTTTGCCACACTGATCGTACCATATACATCGGCCAGCTTCATGGACAACCTCTGGCTGAGCACACTATAAAGAAAATCAAAGATACATATTTATTAATTTTGAAAAATCAATGGCATTCTTCATAACAATTAAATGTTTCAAAATCTAAATATGTTGCTTAATTATTAAAACTTTCATATACTTATTTGAGTAAGGACAAAATGTTTGTGACGATTTTAACCATCCAGATGCGTGCACAGCTCTGGAAGAATATATCGTAGCACCATTCTTTTAAATGTCTTACCATTATTGGCATATATTGATACAATAACATGAGTCTACAAAATATTGGACGAGGACACTACACGCTACAAAAGCAACACATGTGAGAATTCATTATTTAAATTACGTAGTACAGTACAGTGAAAGGACCAGCAGAGTATTCAGTATGTAGTAGGTAAGTTGAACGTACTACTTCCGCGAGTGCGGCTGATACAAAAGTGTATATGTTCACTAAATATAATGGAATAAAATATATTATAAAGTGACTATGTTAGCCACTAAAATAAGTCAGTAACATATTAGAGTCTTCTTAGCTGGTAAAAAAGTATACAGTTGTTGGGTAAATAGTCAGCAGCTTTTTTCTTCTTTAGGGGTGGTGGGGGTGTCATTTATGAGAATAATTTTCAGGCTATTGTTGACTTTCAAATCTTTAAAATGATGGGAGAGTGACAAGGCAGAAGACGGTTCCCCAAGTCATTTACACAGGAGTTCTATTCTTTCTGCACTCCCTCCTGTAAATATCTGGACCCGCCCCAGTACATCACAGCCTCGCAAAAGGCTGCCAAAGGCGGCCTTTTCGCGAGTGATACAGTAATGATAATAATAATAATAATAATGATTTTATTTAAAAATGGAAAACTTAATCACAAATTGTGTTTTTCACAAAGCCATTTAAAAGTATATAAAAATTAATATTCATTATCAACCTTGCATTTCTACCAGTTAAATTTTAAAACACAAACCCCTTCAAGTGTTTACTGTTGCAATTACAACTGACATCATTAAAAGTCACTTACTATTGTATTCAAATTGATATTTACAAGACAACATAATAGGGTTCAAAACCCATATGACATTCATTATTCATATTGAGACACAATGTTACAATTTAATATTGAAGCAAGTTGGTTAACTTCATATTTAATAACTATATAGTACAGTATTTTATTTCTATTCAGGTGGTAATGGACTACCATTGTATTCAAATTGAATATTCACAAGACAACATAACACTGGAACAGGGTTCAAATGCCATTTGACATTCATCGACCCATATTGTGACAATGTTAAATGAGTTAACTTCACATTTTACATTTAATTTTTTTCTATAGTCTGAGTACTTTCTTAATTTTTTTTTTCAGGTGGTATGTTCCTATAAAAAAAGAATATGTAATACACTTAAGCTCTGAAAGCCCATGTGTGAGGGTGATGATGCAAATAATTGATTTTTGATTGGATTGGATTTTTTATTTGGTGTAAACACCAAGGATAGCCCACAAAAGTCTAGAAGAAGACATATTTCCAGTGGGGTCCTTCTGGTGATGATTGGGCAGTGAGACAATTCCCTACTTTTTCCGAAGAGTGTATTGCGTTCTTTAACGTGCACATGGGCATTGCACACGGGACCAACAGCTTAAACGTGTCATCCGAAAGACGGTGCGCTAGAGATTGCCACAGTTCTGCGCACACACAGTGGCTACCACCAGATTAGCCGACTGAGCTAGGCTGCATTCTTTAAGGGTTTTACCTTATTAAATTAGAGAGGTACCTGTACAAGCCTGGTTTCCTGAATCACTACAGTGTTTTCAGTACAATCGTTGTACTGAGTACCAGTCCTCGACGCAATCTGGAAGCCTCCCCGATCCGACCAACCATTCCGCATCACCAAAAGCTCTCGGAGATAGTGTGTAGTATTTGTGTGGGAAACCAAGTTTTACATGATGCATTATTCTGTATTTAATTTAATATTTGGTCGTAAAAATATTGCTTCTTATTTACATAATTTTTGCTTGAGCATGTCTGCATGTGAGCGATTCTAACTGATACCAACAGATATATCTATAGATTCCCTGGAAATTATCTCATATCATAGACAGTATCTGGTACTGATTGTACATGCCTTTATAGTAAAACAATGCAATGGGTATCAGAAAGAGAAAGAGTTCAGATTGTACAATTGTATTTGTGAGGAAATGAGAGGTCATACCTTAATACACACATTGAGTGTCTGATTTCAGTATAGAATAGGAGTTGTTAATATTAAAGCAACTAGGCAATAGGCTACAAAGCAACATGTGTCTCTCCTCTAAAAGGTAAGCACAGTCGTGCAAATTGTGCCATACAGGTCTAAGTGTGTAATAAAAAACCTCATCATTGTTCCTATATACAGAAAAGCCAAAGGAAGAATACTGTGCACCCGGATTTTGAATTTTGACCCAATCATTAGATCTCTCATCACTTAGTTTTATGGTTACATATTTAGATTGGTCTTTTCGAGGCAAATAAAAATAAAACTGCTAAATTTAGAAGTTTTACCTTCATTTTCCTCCAAAAGATCAATTTAAAGATGCATCATATGTAAGGCCATCCCAGCATGCATTGTCTTGGTAAAATAGAACAATGAATTATCATAAATTGTTGACAATAACAGAACAAATTCAATAAGATATATTCATCCTCTTAATTGCCAGGTAAAGTTTAATTACCCTATTTAATTTCAAGTAGAACTACATGATTTGCTCATTTAAATTTATTCTATTTCAATGATACTTACTATAAATCAAAAATATATTATTATTTCTAGTTGCCTAATTCTAATTTAAAGAGGAAATAAATCAAAACTAGGAAAATAAAAGTGTATGAGGAAGTTACTGCAATTTAGATAACTGTATTCATATGGCAATGATCCATGCTAGACATGCTTTTATTGCAACTGGAGAAAAATTGAAAAATGCATAGTTCCTAGTACCCCAATCTAGATACCAGTAATTAGATTGCACTAGTGTTCAGAAGGACAACAGACTGCTTAATGCACAACCGGCAAGATTATTTTATTTGTTACCTAAAATAAATGCTTTGATATAACACCAACCCTCCTACATACTGTAAACGGATTCCATCATGGATGTGAGGGTAGATTTTTACAGGCAACAGAAGATGAGATTGCATGATACTGGTTCTCAAAGAGGATAATGTGTTTTGACTAATTGTGATTCCATTAAAATAGATTAAATTAATCTTTACTAATTAGATTGTTTCATTTTTCTTAAAATTCATTATTATTATAATCATATATCAACATTCCTATACCATTTATGTACTGTATTTCAACATTTACTAAATTACTGATTGTTAACTATATTATGTGCCAAAACAAAATAAATCCAAGATAAGATTAACAGTATTGATGCTAAATTATTAATTATTTTAACAAATTATTACGGAATGTTAGAAATATAATGAATGTATGATTCAGTGTATTTGGAATGATGATGTCACAAAGGACAAGAATGTAGGCCAGTGAAGGTAAAATAGGATTTAATTTAAACAGTTTAAACAGCTGAATGAACAATAATAATGAAGACTACAACTCAAACCAATAGTATACTTGGCTAATGCTTAAGACTTGTGTGTAAACTGGGAAATCATCATATTTGACTTGGGCATTTTAAAAGTTTTGACTTTTGATTCCTAAAAAAAATTAACATTATGAATGAGACCATCAATTTCAAGATAAAATGACGTTTCAAAAAACAAACCCAACGGTAATTATTAAACAAACACTTAAACTCTTAATGTAAACAAAGCAATGAGGCATTTATCTGCCAGTAGATAAATGTTTTAGTTCATGAAAGCCTTGAGTATATTTCTAAGAATTGGTAACATAGGCCTACAGCATATCTGCTATTTAGAAAAGCCAAGTGTACTACTGTCAATCTAGAAATTTAAAAGCAACACAATATTCAATAAAGCAGTCAATGGAATTGTGCATCAGTCAATAAAACTCAATGGTGTTTCCATAGTGTTGTCAAGATGGATGAATCAGAATTAGTTAATATAAATTAATTAATAATATTTATTTTAAAAAACAGTTAAGTTTTAAGGGACCAAAAAGCAGAAAGAATAAATTCATTAAATATTTAAAAAAAACTTTAGGAAACTACCTAAAAAAAATAGTCTACCAAAGATGTCAGAGTGCTTTATTGCTTTAACTTTCATAGGTAAAAATAGAGAAAAATGTACAGAAACTTTTACATTCATTAGACTACAGAATCATAATATACAGATGTACTACTTCTTTTCCAAAAGGACATAATTTTGGGAGGCTATGTTTAAAGACAACCTATAATATATTTGTCTGATTAATTATTATTAAATGATTGTAAAACCCAAAGTTCCAAGAGAAGCAAGAGAATATATAATAAATATTATATTCACAGATTTGACTAAATACCAGTTATGTCTAGTCTAGGGCCTAGATTAAAATGCTACAAATACAACAATACAATACCACTGACATTGATATGTAGGCTAGGCCTAGCTAGAGTAGTACTGTATTAGTAAAGTAATAATACTTAGTTATGCATCAGTGTAGAGATTATAATTAATATGAATGGCTGGCAAAACCACGCATGTGAAATGATCGTTATTTTTCTTTTCCTCTCTTCTACTTGAGCTAGGCCGAAAGAGGTGAATTTGGTAATGACTTGCAAGACCTCTCCCTCTCTGGTCATATCATCATTAGTCGGCCTACGCCTACCAAGGCTAGCTAGCTGATCTAAAATAAGGCTCAGGCTAGGCTTAGAATAGATGATCGAAAAACAATACAATGCTGACGATAATTAATAAGATATTTTAAAAAATAATGCACGTAATCACTTACCTGTCCTATTACTAAATAAGCTGAAAATACAGTTAAAAATTTTAGAAGATGTAATCTTAACATGATTATTGGTGTTCAAATTGTGGTGGATTTTCTGAGTACAACTCTCACAAACAGTGGGTTGGGTTTAGTCGGTGTTCCTTGTATACGCCACCACCGCCTTCGTCATCATCCAATGGATTGATTTTTTTTTAATTATGAAACGATGTTGTCGGTATTGTCGTCATGTGAATAGTTTGGGGGCGTAATAATAATGAGGCGATCTTACGATCTGGAAACGTCCATTCAGAGAATGTACACTAAAATGTAACTAAAGTATCTTTAAACTCCATTTTAATTCTATAGATACTAAATCATATGAAAATTATATCATTATAAAAAAAAACTTGTATCAAAATCTTCTACAGGTATATGACTTTAAATAGCTAAATTAAGGGAAATGATAGTACATCAACTTATTAAAGTAGCCCTAAAATAAATGAACGAACCCACTATTTCAGTTTATGAATAATCGTTAAAACCGCACACCGCAAAAAGATTAGCTCAAGAAAACGAACGCTACACAGTTGACAGTACTTTAGCCTTTACTGTAGTAGATTTAAAGCAAATATTTACCAATTGTACATTAATAAAACATACACTTAAACCATGGAAAAAAGACCTTCCTTTAAGAATTAGATGGACTAATTTCCACATGATAGTTTTACCCAGGGAGTTGTAACAACTCCCTGTTTTACCGTAGTATATAGTTTGGTGAACCATTTAAATGTTATAATTTATCGTATTTAAATTTATAGTGTATTTTAAAAAATGAATATGTAATCTTTCAGTAAATTCACTAATATTTATTTATTATGACTGATAAATTAATGTTAATTTTTGTCGAGTTAACTTACCACTTTCGTATATCTAACCTTTATGGTATATATTTTTAATATTTATGTGATTATTTTTGTATATTTATAAATCGTACGAAGGCATTCGTCATTCGTTGATAATGCAAAATATAAAAGCCTTCCTAAGGCCTATTTCGAGTAAAGCACTACTGACGGTAATTGCACTTTGTACCTACTTAATGTTATTGAAGTATAGTTGCCTCATTCATTCTGTCTTCCCATTGGTCCAAACTGTATCACCTTATTCTTGTATAAATTACTCCCTAGCTATTATTATTATTATTATAGCTATTTAGCAGTAGTTACAATATTTATATTTTCACTTTGATAATGATGATGGTTGAATAATCGAAACATGTCATGGTTTAAACACTTTATAATTATTTTTGTATAATAAATTTGTTATGTTGATCTAAATGTATTTTGGACGCACTTTCACAAGCAAAATGTGCCACTGTTTCAAAAGCAAATATTAAAAAAAAAAAAACTTACAGTATTTTCTTTACTTACAAGTAGGCTTACTATATCTTTTCAAAAATATATCAATAAAAATAAGAAATAATACTTGTGCCCCTCAACTTAGACCCGATTTGTGAGAATGGTTTCCATGTTCTTATGGAAATCAAAAATACTTTAAGGGTGGAGGTACAATGTGGTCTTATTACTGAAGGTGGTCCGAGTACAGAAACACCTACAGTATAACTTTAAACTTTTTGTCCGATGGTTGTCTGTTTAAACTGAAGAAATGGAAAACTGGCATCTTTATCTTCTTCCTGCATCTATTCACTACAGGTGTCCTCCAATGAAAGCCCACCCACCTCCAATTGAAGACCACTTTTCTGTGGTCCCAAATTAACAAATGTCTATTATCTTGTCGGAGAGGTTGGACCCCCTTGTCGGGGAGCTGGACCCCTCGTCAGTGAATTCCTGGCACCGCCCCTACCGTTCATTACGCCTGAATGACTTCATAGGATTTCTGGAATAGGCATTTTAAAATCTAATGTTCTACCATCAAAATGTACTAAAAACACAAAAGCTCACATTATATTAGTTATCGAACACACATTTAATCAATTAAAATTTACAAAGAAAAAGTAGGATACAACATCTTAATAATTACGTTTGAAATTAGGATCAATGGTTTGTCAGTGGAGAAATGGCGTCCGGTTGAACGCTATTTGCAACAATAGCAACATAGTAGTATCACATGGTATCGTGACGTAACACTGTAGTACTCTTGTTATAGGCAGACTTCTCAAGGACACAGAACTTCTGTAGTGCCTAATTATGGACATACAGAAATATACAAAATAGTATGGAAATTTATCATAGAAAAAGCACCATAAATAGGTCTAAACCAATGGCAGCGCTAAGATTTCCCTGACAGATAGGGCAAGTTCTTTACTTTGGCGCATAGCGCCATCCGAGGGCCATAGCCCCTAGCCGGGGAAGGATTTTGGAGGGGGATTTAGAAAATGTTTAAAAATAATAAGTTTCTAGACACTTATATAGGACATCTCGACCTAAAATTTATTTGAATTGAATTTTTTTAAAAAGGGATGGCGTTTTTTTGTATCTCATCGGTGTCCAAATGATTAATTTATATAGGCCTAACCAACTCAGGCCAACATTTGATATAAACGTTTTAAAATATTATTTTTTTTATCCCCCTACGAAACTTTACTAACTGTAGTCGCCCCCTCCCCCGTAGTGCTGCCACTGGTCTAAAGTCTAGAACAAATTACTTTTCTATCTAATCAGGATCTTTGATATCATTGTACCTAGACAATTCATATTTGTCAGACTGATTGATTACTGAAAACTAAGAAAAAGGGGGCGTAACTGCCCATTTTTACACCTTATTCCCCCAGTTTTTAAATATTTAAAAAATCTGTATCTTATTCACCGTTCCCCAGTTTTTCGTCAAACAACTTTTTTCTGTCTTAGAAAAATCAGTTCTACAACATATCAAAAATTTTTTTCCTCCGGAGCCTGACTTTAAAATTCCACAGCTGTTATCCTGTATCTGCAACTTATATATTACTTGAGAAGTCTTGTCATAGGCTATTTTATTTTAGTCAGGTCAACGTATACGTTGTATTGGTATACGTATAAAATATGCATACATACAGGAGATGATAGAAGGCAACGATTTAAGTTATTAAACCTTAATAACATCTTTTGAGATTAAGGAATAGTGTTCTACAGTACCTCTACTCTTATGAGGTGCCAAGTGTAATTTATTATTCCATCAAATTATTTATATATAATTCACTATTTAACATATAAAGTCAATTATATATGAATAATTCTCTGCTCTACTGCTGTCTCTTATACACATCTAGATGTGTATAAGAGACAGACTGTATACTGTTGCAAACATTCTGTACTGTACATTGAAAAGAGTACATCACTCTAAAAAAAGATATCTAGTCACCCTACTTAATTTTAATATGATATTCTTTTTATAATTCACAGATAACTTGTTATTCATTTCTTTTCATTGGCCAGTTGCTTTTCACTTCTTAATTAACTGTCATATTGAGTTTAATTTCATTTTGTCATTACATACAGGCAGTTTAGCCAATTCATTGTTGAATAGTCTGGTTGGTTTCCATAAAACCGCAACTCTGTTGCTACAGTGTTTTCACTACAATCATTACACTGTGCAGACATAGCAGACGCAATAGGGAAGATATTTAAGCATCGCCGTATTATAAATGTTATGATAAAAGTTTATACTGCCTATTGAAATAAACAAGTAATTAATGTAGTTTTCAATTAATCATAAATTGATGAAGAAAACACAAGTTATGATTAATCTGCTACTCCAAAAATATTTTAAAAAAAATCGAAAACATCAGTGTAATCAAGTTACAATTCAAAAAGTTTCAGATATAAAGACAGCCGCATCGCATGTCTCGTCAAGCACCACTTCTGTTTCAACTTTATCATAGTTGTCCACAACTTCCAATACACGTGCATTTGCTATTTGTTGAACATGAATGCGTTTTTGATGACTTCGCACTTTACCAGCATCAGGAAACCGTCTGTCGCATATGTTACATTGGTATGGCTTCTCTCCTGTATGTACACGAAGGTGCCTTTGTAAAGTTCTCCTAAAACCAAAGAGTTTTCCACAAGTCTCACACTGGAAAGGCTTCTCTCCAGAATGAACCAAAAAATGTTCCTTAAGATGACCGATGGTATCAAATTTCTTCTCACACATTTGACATTGGTGTGCTTTTCCTTCGATATGAATTTTTTCATGGTGTACCAAAGTACACCTTTCAACAAATTTTCTTCCACAATATTTGCATAAAAATGGCCGTCCATATTTGTGTAACTTTTTATGTCGCTTCATTTGTCTCTTATTTTGAAATACTTTAGAGCACTCGGTACAATCAAATACTTCCGGGGGTTTAGATGCTTTCAGTTTAGAACGCAAATGGGACTCTTCATGTACTAATAATTGTCTTCTCCGCACAAATTTTTTATTACAGACATCACAGGTAAATAAATTCTCTCCAGTATGTATCCGTGTGTGAACCTTAAGGAGGGCATTAGTTTTAAATTTCTTGTTACATGAAGCGCATTCAAAGGGTCTGGATTTAGAATGGACAAGTAAATGTTCCTTCAGAGGGAACAAATGTTCAAAGGTTTTGTCACAGTGAGCACACTTGTATGGATTCTCACCACTGTGGTGCTTTTTCATGTGCTCTAAAAAATCACTCTTTACAGGAAAGAGCTGCACGCAAAAGCGGCAATTGAAAGGAAACTCGCCAGTATGGATGTACTTGTGAATTTTGAGTTCTTTACTTGTGATAAATCCCTCACTGCATTCATCACAATTGAATGGCTTCACTTTCAAATGCAATTTACTATGTTTGCTAAGCAGGTAGAATGATGGGAATACCTCTTTGCATTCTTTACATTCAAACTTCTTTGCACCGCATTGTATGCGATGCTGATCTAGTCTGTATCTATTCAAAAACACATCTTTACATTTTCTACACACAAAATTTTTCTTGCCATTAGATTTTTTATTATCTTTAGCTTTAACCTCTGTCACTGCCTGTTCAGGAACAATGCTGCCAGTATGTTTATCAAACTTGTCAACAATTTCTAAAGTATCATTGAAGCTGATTATTTTGGCATCACCTGATTTATTTACTGTCGCATAGAAAGCTTGGTTATCACAATAATTGCTTCCTTCTTGCAGGGACCGACTTTGACTATCTTTTTCAACTACCTTTCCTGTAGGTGATTGAAGTTGAGATGTGCGAGCCTTTGGAGTTTTCAACTGGTCATCGTTTTTTGAATCATCTTTGAAAATGTTAGAAGTCTTGTGCCCATTCACACACATAGCCACCAAAGATGTTTTACTTTTTCCATCATCTTTCTGCACTACTGCTATATCTTGTTCAACCTCAATGCCACTAGCACATTCAAAATTGGATTGGCTTTTATTACTTGTATCCTCTGATATGTGCTGTTTTTCTTCTTCATTTATGCACTCAAGACCAGTTTGGATTTTACCTGTTGCAAATTCTTCAGGATTTTGAATTTTGCTGACATTACCAGCTTCAGTTGTCTGTTCACGGTCTTCATTAATTTTTTGTTGGCTTGAGTTTTTCTGCTTGTCTTCATTATCAACTTCAGCAGAAAAATTCTGCAGAAGTTTAGCTAAAGATAACATAGAATCTACCTGAGACTGTGTACATTGTGTTTCAGAGGTAACTCCTGATAAAACTTGGTTCTCTATTATAAAAGCTTCTGGTTGAATACCTTTATCTAATTCCACCTCTAATTGCTGAGATGATGAAACAATATCATCATTACATACAACTACTTCTAATTGCACTGATAATTGATCGCCTGGTGATGTAGTAACATTGACAAGTGTACTCTGCTTCGGATCTCTAGACAAAATTAATTCTTCACAGTTTGCATGCTTATCTTGGACAGACTCAAAACTAACAGGTAGATTTACACTACTCAGATTATCTGTAGTACAGGAGTGGCTAACATTGTCTTTTGTTAATACACCTTCTTCTTGTACTGCAGACTGATTCACTGTCTTTGATTGTATGCAAGGTAAGTCAAATGATGGCAACTCAATGCCTTCATTATTTATTGCTAAAACTGCATCACATTCAGTGTTGATTGTACCTGGAGAAACGTCATTTTCTGGCTGTGAATTTGTCTTGATAAATTTACAATCTGCCCCAGAACAGAGGTTCATTTTCTGATGATTTTTGTAGTGGCGACTATCAGAAAAGTCCAAATTGCATACACTACAATGGTATGGCTTTTCACCAGTGTGTGACCGCACATGAACTTTTAAACTTTGTCTATATGGAAAAATTTTCCCACAATATTCACACTGAAAGGATATATCTCGTAAATGGACACGCATATGCTCTCGTAAATGACATTTTGTGGTGTATCTTTTGGGACAAACATCACATTTAAAGGGCTTCCCCTCAATGTGTGTAATCTCATGCTTGGCAAGCTGACTTTTGAGTATAAATGTGCGTTTGCAAAATTTGCAAGAGGGCAACGGTACTCCAGTATGGACTTGCTGGTGACATTTCAGACTGCTTCTACTTGAATAGCGCTTTGAACAGACTTTACATTGGAATGGTTTATCTTTTCCATGAATTCTTTCATGCTCAACAAGCTGGAGTTTCTTCTCAAAACGCTCCTGGCAAATCTCACATTCATGGGGTTTACCATTCATATGATTATTGTTTATGTGCCATGTAAGACGGCTTTTGAGTGCAAATTTCATATCACATAATTCGCAAGAAAATGTCACACATGGAGTACTCTTATGATTCTGCAACTCTTTCTTCGATGTAAAAGTTTGTTCACACTTGTAACAGTGATAGGTTTTTTCACCACTGTGTTGAGTATTGATATGATCTGACCTGTCAAGCTTATATGAGAACTGTTCACCACATATATGACATGGAAAGGGCTTGGAACTTTTATGTGTTTGTTGATGAAGGTATAGATAATACTTTGATGTAAATTTTTCATCACATTTGCTACATGGAATATTCTTGATCTTCGCATGTGCTTGTTTATGCATGATTAGAGATAATCTGCTACTAAATTCTTCATTACATTCAGTGCACTTTAAAGAATTTATACCATGAATCTTGCTTTCATGAGCTTTTAATCGCCAGAGTCTTGTAAATGTTATGTCACACTTGCTGCACTCCAAAACTGCTGAAGCATGACGTACCTTTTCGTGGTAAGCAAGAGTCTTTTCATGTTTAAATTTTTGGCTGCATGTTTTGCATTGAAATGGATGCTCTTCACAAGGGGTTTTCTCATGGTTTTTAAGTCCTTTTTCAGTTCCAAATTTCTTAGGGCAGTTTTTGCAGTGCCATACACGATGCAATTTCTGATGGTTTAGCATATGTGCTTCTTTTGTAAATACTCTCCAACAGTAATTGCATTGGAACGAATCCTTTTCACAGGTTTCTGTGGTCTTCCTCCGTATTAGATCCATTTCCTGTTTTTCAGGAAAATTCAGTATGATTTACTATTTTAAAATTCAAATTTCAACCAGCTTCAAGGCAATATATCGTTGACACCAAATCAGTTGGCAACTAAATTGCATAAATCCTGCAAGAAAATATACAAATTAATCAATAAAGTATGAATTTCTTGGTCTAAATTTAGTAATTTTCTGCTCTGCTCTACTGTAACTTGTATCCTTTGATACAGAACTAGTAGGAATCTAACATCAGCAATGTGAAATAATGAAAATGTTCAGTGTGAGCCAGACTGTATAGTAAGGCAAGCGCGCAAAAATTTGGCATCATGGAAATAACCTTAATATAAACAATGTATTACGCATTAATTACGATTCTGCACAGCGCACCTATTTTCCTAGCAATTTTCCGCGCAAATTTCAGTTGGTTTTTGATGCATCACCCGCACAATAGACCTTATCGCGAATCAAGAGTTATCAACAGAGGCCGTGCCACAACAAAGAATGATGGGATTGAAAAGGGGCCAAAAACAACAACATACTGTAACACACAATATTCCTTAATAATGGAAGGTGTAATTCAGCATCTTTTTGTTTTATTTTGATCAGACGACACCACACTACCACTGTGGTAGAACCACACTACCACTGTGGTAGAGCGAGAGATTAAGCGGTGCTATTGCCCCTTTTCAATCTCTATATGTACTGCAGTTTAGATTCGTGATAAACCTTATTACACAACTTATACTAAGTATTTATTATGGAGTGCGAGTACCCTACTGTAAAGTTTTTAAATTTTACAGAGTATGTCTAAAAAATCAGCTCAAATTTGTGCAGAAAGTCGCTAGGAAAATAGATGCGCAAAATCGTAATTTTTCCATAATTGCATTGGTTATATATTAAGAGAGGGTGTCTGTAAATATCGACCTTGGGGTGACCACGGTCAAAAAATCAATTTTCTTTAAAACTTGTGTGGTAAAAGAACTTTGGGAAACCAAACAGATATGGTCTTAATTTAGTGTGTCATCTTCCGTTGTCATAGCAACAGATTTATTATTTAATTTTCAACAATTTCACAATTTTTAAATAATTTTTACAGTGAGGTATCCTAAATGTTGCATTTCAACAGCTCTGAGTTAGAATGGAGGAATGGAATTTTACTACAGTAATGCAAGATAGGTGTAAGACATGTTAACAAATAAAAAGCACAAGTTGGGTTTGGAAACAGACCGTACCATCTATATGAAATAGGGGTGTTTTTACACATTTTGAAAAAGTGTGGAGCCTTATAACTTCTATGCTAAGACTTGAAATTGTTTGTTCTTGCAAATATGTTGATTGGACGTTACATTAATGAAAAAAACACTAAACAATACAATGCCGTTAAAGGAGTGTTGCTTGAAATCTTTGTATTTTTTATATTTCTGGATATGGTTATAGCTGTCTAATTTTTACGATATTTGCATAAAAATTTCATTTAATTCAAATTTTATTCACTCAAATATTTAGCATGTGTAGTTTATATATATAGCCTGAGTCTGTAGTAGGACTTGGTTTTATCCTGTTTACATTATAAACTAATGAAAAAGAGTTTTCTGTCTATGTACTATAATACCATGTGTAAAACAGGAATAAAGACCATCTCTAAAAACTTTTAAACAAAATTTGTGTGATGATCCGAAAGACGGTGCGCTATTGTAACTTGTATTTCCGCCCTGCAGGTGAAACACAAGGAGAGGCAGTGATGGGAATTGAACCGGGGACCTAGAGATCTCCACAGTTCAGCGCACACACAGTGGCTACCAGCAGATTAGCTGACTGAACTAAGCGTTGATTACGCCCCTGCCCTTTGTACACACTGCCCATCACTACTTCCAATTGAATGGTTTAGCTAAGCCTAGGCCTAGTTATATTATAGTAAAAATTAGAAGGCTGAAGGTATAAAAATATTCATTTATAAAACAATGATTTGCAGTATACACTCAACCATCAAAGGCCTAGCTAGGTAGTAAAGCACTAGCCTAGTTCTAGAACTATCTACCTAAGTCTACAAAAGGCAAGTTATCTTGGCCGGCTGTAGGCCTAGTAGTAACTAGTAGTATTGTAAGTTTAACTAAATATACTACCCAGCCCAGGTTACGAACGCTACGACGGTACATAGGTCTAGGCCTAGGCTAACAACTGAAAGTTTATTCTGACGATAATTGCCTTCTTGGACAAAATTGCTTACCTACTGAAGAGACTGAGTACAATAAATAATTACAGGAGGACAATTATTACAGTACTGAAAAGTGTAAAGTTGCATCATATCCACGGAAAAAGGAAAGAAAAGGCCCTATTCATTGAATTGCTATTTGTGAGTCGCCGCCGCGGCTGCTAGCTGTGCCGCGTCGGGAGGGCGACGCGCGATCTCAAAACTCTAAAAGAGGGCGCTATTTAGCTCAGCTGCACAGAGCCGTAGCAGCTAGCTGCAGAGATACCGTACTCGCGCGAATAAGCGCCCCGTTTGAATAAGTGCCCCTCTCGAATATAATCGCCCTCGTGAAAATTTCCTTAAGCGCCCCGTTTGAATAAGCGCCCCTTCTAATTTGAATAAACGCCCCATCAATAATTTAATCAATTCTGGACTGTGGATGTTGGCATGATTTGAGGTGTGGAGTGGAATCACATTCTCCTTTAGTCAATCAAAATTAGGATATTTATCTTGGATAGATGAGAGCTCCCTGGACAGACAGTATATTTCCAACTTTCATCTTCTTATATTTTTCTATAGCCTATTCCTACGTGCTTTTCCGACAATTTGCTCCACACATTCTCATCTGAGTTTTCAATAAAACCTGCATTGATCATGCAATCCTGCTAATCTCAATCGGCCGATGGCCAACAACCTCAACCATCACCACTAATTTAATCTGCTATTCTGCTGTTATGTAATAATATACTCCCAACATTCTTGTCATGAAAAGCCATGCTCTCTGGACGATTATCTTCTTTTTCGCCGCACAACCATTCGTAATTTGCGGTTTCCTAATGTCCTTATATAATCATTTTTTATTCAAAATGTTCTTCTTGAATTTAATAAGTTCTCATAATAACCCCTCGATTTTCAATTATTTCCATAAGCGCCCCCTTTCCACTCTGTTTTTGATAAGCGCCCCGTTCGAATAAGCGCCCCGTTTGAATAAGCGCCCCTCAAAATGTGCAAAAAAATATTTTAAGCGTCCGGGCGCTTATTCGCGCGAGTACGGTACTCAAGATATAACATAATGCCAGAGGCGGATTTAGGGAGATGCAACGGGGGAGGGGGAGCGTGCCACTGCATATTTAATATAAAAATAAAAAATGTAATACAATAGGAAATGTAACAATATATGGTATTTCGTAACAAGCATCTGAACTCTCTCCCAATCCGCCCCAAGAAAGAAAGGAGCGGCACATTTCCAGCAATGTCGTCTGGGAAAACAAAATCTCGACCGGCCGGCCCGCCCAAAGTACAACAACGATCAACAATTGAATTGCCTTGATTTACCCGACAGAGGGTACCTCCGACATGGTGGTTAGTTATCCTTATCCTTTTTAAATAATGAATACCATTAAACAGGGACGTACCTCGGGGGTGTGGAAGCCGCGGCTCCCCGCCCCCACCTTTGTATACAGTGTTAAAATTTTTAAAGCTTGTTCTTGCACTAACCAATACAAATTCTTTCCAGGGATCACTCAAAATGAATATTCTATTCTAAACTATGTAAATATGTATCAGCACACGTTATACAGGCCTACTATAGGCCTAATAGCACATTAGGCCTAAGCGTGATTTTTAAAAATAAATCCATTAGTCCCAGGTCAGGTCTTTTCAGATACAGAAATGTGGTATTGTATAGTTCAGTTTGGTTTTTATCATTTTGCAAGCTTTGTAAAGTTTTGTTTTTATACTAATAGTAGTAGTAATAATAATACTTATGATGATGACGATGACGATTATGACGATGGTGATAATAGATAATATATTAAAAAGTGAAGGAAGTTGGGCTAGGCGAAAAAAAAAGTTGTGATTTGTTGATCACAATTATTATATAGTTAAAGCTTAGTAAGCTATAGTTAGGCCTAAGTTGTCCTGTATATTAATTAGATCCCTGATAAAAGATCATGAGAAATTTGTTTGCGCTTCATTTTGACTATGTAATGATGATGTGATGATGATGAATTACTATATAAAAATGTCATTTCCGGTCAACTGAGTACTTTCCTCAAATTTTCTTACCTCAATCCCAACTATGGTGGGGCTGAGGTGGTTCCGAAATTACGGCTTTGAAGTATGTAAAGTCATACTCAAAAACAATGTTTTTAAGCTTTATTTTCTATGGTACATCAAATATATTAATAAGATCTCTATGGTTGCCGAAAATCAGTGATAAAAGATCATGAGAAATTTGTTGGCGCTTCATTTTGAGTAGGCCTATATTGGTGAAGTGATGATGATGAAAAATGTCATTTTCTGGTCATCAGAGGTACTATTCTCTCAAATTTTCGCACCTTATCCCCAACCATAGTGGGTCTGAGGTGGGTGTCGACTCACGAAATAATAATAATAATAGTTGGACTTGTAGAACGCATCATGCGAAAAAGCCTCTATGCGCTAGGTGATTGAGCTCTTTGATTTGGACTTTTGAGAAAAAAGAAAGTTGAAGTTATTTTATGAAACTAAAAAACCTACTCCTTAAACTAAGGCATGGTTGGCCGTTGGCTCCGAGGAGTTCATCCGCCCTTTGAGGTAGGTGCCGACACAAAATGTCCTCCCCCTCAACCTTAAAAAACAGATCTGCGCCCTTCTGGGTATGACATTAAACTGCATCGAGTCGGCACCTGACTCAGAGTATGTCTTGTGACTGCTGAGAAGAGAGGGAATAAATTTGTTTTTAGAATGTGATCTGGTTTTTCATGCCCCTTTTTCGTGATTATGACTATTTTAGATAATAATTTTTTTTTGAGGAAAAAATGTCCCCCCCCCCACCTCCATCCCACCTCCACCTTTCAAAACAGATTGCGCCATTCCTGGTTATGACATTAAACTCCATCGAGTCGACACCTGACTCAGAGTATGTCTTACTGACTGCTGATAAGGCGAGAATGCATAAATGTGTTTTTACGATGTGATCTGGTTCAAGGCCCCCTTCCCCCTAAAGTTTTTAATGGAAAAAAAAAAGAAAAATATAGGCCTCCCTCCCCCCCTATCCAAATTTAAGTCTGAGAATGTAATTTCCGGCCATCTAGAGGTGCCCTAGTCATAAATTTTCTTACCTCAGCCCCAACCTCCTCAATCTGTAAATGTCCCTCCCTGGGTCACCTCTCTATTGAATTCCTAGATCCACCACTGTTGAGTTTTATATAATTATTATTAGGCTTACTAATAATATTATTTATGATGCAATTATTGCAATTTTCACTTTATCATCTCAAAACAGTCCTGAAAACCTTCAGACAGGGAAGTAGCCAGGATTTTGAAAGGTGTGGGGGGGGGGGGGAGCCGTTATGCGAGATACGTACGACCCCGTGAAGTAGCGCACTCTGAACGTTTTAAGAACTGTTTTGAGAGGATAAAGTGACAATTGTATTAGACACATCCATGAATTCGAAAGATAGGTGTCGCAAGGAGGGATTTTCACAGACTGAAGAACCACCCACCTCAGCCCCACCATGGTTGGACCAGTGGTGGATCTAGGAATTCAATAGAGAGGTGACCCAGGGAGGGACATTTACAGATTGAGGAGGTTGGGGCTGAGGTAAGAAAATTTATGATTAGGGCACCTCTAGATGGCCGGAAATTACACTTTCATATTTAAATTTGAATATATTTTTCTTTTGTTTTTTTCCTAAAAAAAAATTATTATCTAAAATAGTCATAATCACGAAAAAGGGGCATGAAAAACCAGATCACATTCTAAAAACAAATTTATTCCCCCTCTTCTCAGCAGTCACAAGACATACTCTGAGTCAGGTGCCGACTCGATGCAGTTTAATGTCATACCCAGAAGGGCGCAGATCTGTTTTTTTAAGGTTGAGGGGGAGGACATTTTGTGTCGGCACCTACCTCATACTCACCATGATTGGAGCTGAGGAGCGAAAATGGGAGGAAATAGTACCTCTAGCTAGATGGCCAGAAACTTTTAGTAAAATTCATTATCATCACATCACCGTTACCGGTAGTCCAAATGAAGCGCCAAAAAAAATCTCATGGTCTTTTTTATCAGGGATTTTCTGCAACCAAAACGATCTTATTAATGTGTGTGATATACCATAGAAAACAAAGCTTAAAAACATTGTCTTTGAGTGTGTTCTTTACATACTTCAAAACCGTGATTTCACAACCACCTCAGCCCCGCCATGGTTGGGGCTGAGGTGAGAAAATTTGAGGAAGTAGTACCTCTAGATGGCCGGAAATCACACTTTCACGTAGTAAAATTCATCATCACATCACCATTACATAATCAAAATGGAACGCCAACAAATTTCTCATGTACTTTATCAGGGATCTACTTTATATCCAGAACAACTTGACCTAACTATAATTTACTATATAAGCTTTAACTATAATATTATCATCAACAAACCACAACTTTATTTTTTGCCTTTAGCACAATTTCCTTTACATTTTAATATTATTAATATTACTATCAATTATCATCATCACCATCATCATCATCATCATCATCATCATCATCACCACCATTATTATTATTATTATTATTATTATTATTATTATTATTATTATTATTATTATTATTATTATTATTATTGAATTGAATTAAATTATTATTATTATTATTATTATTATTATTATTATTATTATTATTATTATTATTATTATTGCTAATAGTATAGTATTATTAAACAATAGGCCCTACTTTAAAGAAGCTTGCAAAAGGAAAAAACCAAACTGAACCATACAGTATCACATTTCTGTATCTTAAAAGACTTGGCATGGGATTTATGGATTTTTAAAAATCATGCTTAGACATGTGTTATATTTATAGTAGGCCAGGCCTATGTAAAACGATTACTGATGCATTTTTTACGTATTTTAGAAGTATTCATTTTGAGTGGTCCCAGAAAATAATTTGTATTGGCTCAAAAAAAAGCTTAAGAGGGGGGGGGGGGCGGCTCCCACGGCTCCCCCCCCCCCCGGATACGTCCCTGCCTTCAGAGCACGCTACTTACCATTCGCCCTTGGAACCCCGCCCCCTCCGGGGTTATAAGACCTCGCATAACGGCTCCCCCTTTCAAAATTCTGGCTACGTCCCTGTACCATAATCAACACATTTTTCCCCGGCGTGGTGGGGGGGGGGGGGTAGTCTTTTCTCCGATGTGGGTGTGGACCCCTTGTCGAGGAGCTGGACCCCTCATCGGGGAATTCCTGGCGGCGTTTATGATGGTAAATAGTGGCTACCTCCGTTCTGTGCCGGTCTAATTTTCGCAAGCCGGGCGAGCGATTCCATTGTTTTCTTCATGCTCAATTAGGATACCGGTATATGATTCAAGATAACTTTGCAGACGCCTGCAATAATGATGACGATGATGATGATGATGAGTGTTAAGTAAAGAAAAAAAGAATAAAAAAAAAAAAAAAAAAAAAAAAAAAGGGTAGGGGGGGGGGGGGGGGGGGGGGGGGGGGGGGGGGGAGCAATGCACGAGGTTGAGAAACCAAACCGTTCCGCTGCGCCAAACCACTTCCACATCTTTTAACACAGCTAGTCCGTATTATGGGGACACCCCTATTAAGTGGACGAACCACTTTTTAAGTGTACATGGTCATCAATCAATTTAGCCCCTATTAAGAGGAAACTTTTTTTTTTATTGTGTCAAAACAACTAACAACTTAGTCAAAAAAAGAAAAGAAAAATCATTCAAATTTATTTGTCCATCCTTAGAAAAGGGCATTGGTATATGCCTGTGCGTGTGTTACTCGTATAAATACGATTTTGACCATGGCGGTTTCTTGTTTTGTGTTCATATAGGATTCTAATCACCGTACAGCCCCCTGATTTCTAATATTACTGGTATCCCATGGCCAATATATAATTTCGTTTATAATTTTGAATTATTATTATTTATTATTATTATTATTATTATTATTATTATTATTATTATTATTATTATTATTATATCTTATTATTATTATTATTATTATTATTATTTTTGTTGTTATTATTATTATTGTTATTATTATTATTATTATTATATCTTATTATTATTATTATTGTTATTACCACAGTTATTATTAGGCTTATTATTAAAAGTAGGGGAGAAGAACAATCATGCTGATCGCATATTATCATTTCAATGACATGGGGTTGGGGGAGGGTAGGGTACCATGGTTTTTCGTTTTTGCACCTCAAAAAACAACAAGAGAGTCTAATTAATTAAGTGGGGTTTTTATTTTTTTTTAATAGTGGGGGGGGGGCAGCTAGTCGTTAAGATACTATGTTTTACAGGGCCTATCGTACTAATTGAATCATTAGGAGAGTAAGAGGCTTTTAATATTATATTTATAGGCCTATCCCATGGTCATATATATAATTTCGTTTATAATTTAGAATTATTATTATTTTTTTATTTATTTTTTTTTAAGTAGGAGAGAAGAACACTGAATCTCTATTACATAAAAATTGCATATTTTAATTTATGAGATATGGTTGAGGGATATTTGGGGTACCAAGAGAGTCAAATTAATTAATTAATGGTTTTTTTTATTAATTAAAAAAAAAGTAGTAATAGTTGAGATTCTAAATTTTACAGAGCCTACAAAACTTGAATTATTTGGAAAAGTGCGAATGGATTGGGTACAAGCCAATTATGACCACCTATGCATGCATTGTATCCGTCTCAATTTTCACACGACCTCGCTTGGAAGCCAAGTAACCACAATGCCATATTGGCGTGGTTTCGAGTCGCCTTGAGCATTCTTATGACCCGAGTTACAGAGCTGGCAGGCCTACTGTTGAGTAAATCCAAGGGTATGTATGACTATTTTCTTGATATTCTCCTTATTTAACTAAAATTATCTTCATATATTGGTATAGATTATAACATTGATGCTTTTCGTTATGGTGTCGTTGGTATTATATAGGATTTGGAGCCATTTATGAACACACATTTCAACGTTCAATGGTCGATTACCGATAACGCTAGGCTCTTTTGCTGGGTCAATGAATTAGTAGGCTTGGCTCCCGATGATACGACCACTTTGGCTGGTGCTTCATCAGACCGGAATGAAATGTCGTCTCGCTTTTGCATTACATCGTCTCATTCATTGACATGTAAATGTAGTTCTATTAACAGAAGCATATTGCAGTGTTAATATGAAGAAATAAGTAATACTAAATAGGGGTAGTTTTAACATGGCATTATCTAGGAGCATTTTCACCTGGAATTATTAAAGCAACGTTTACGAACGTGTGTCCACATCAGCCCGCTACACAACCATGTTGGCCTAAAGTAGTAGTATAAGAAAGTAGCCCAAGGCCCGTGCTATTCGATCCAAGGTGAGAAGGGCATTAGGCCTAGGAGGAGGCCAAGCAAGAGGGCACTGTTTGAATTTGTATACGTGCTGTCTCTAGGCCCATATTTTGTCAGTGATGATCTTCTAACTAGGCATAAATATACGCAATGCAGTAAGCTGTGAGTATTTATAATATTTAGAAAAGAGTATAATTAATTATTAAATATTCAAATTCTGGCTGTCATTTTAATGGACTGTGGATTGTTAAAGTCTTCTGTAATGTATCGATCAACTGTATTTGGAGTGTAAAATAAACAGACCTAGACCCACAGTCACTGTGCCTAATGTGACTGGGTCAGTCATATTTTTACATATTGATACTTTGAACACTTTGAACTTCCTGATTTTGTGAACATTTGAGTTAATGTAAAAACTTGTTCTTAGAGGAGGAAGATAACCATTATTACATCATTGAAATGGAAACCGTCTTAAATTAAAACATAGAGTATATTAGTTTCAAATTGAATCAATTTTTTAACTTTTTTAAATGACATTAATATTTTGATAATACAGACATTCTAACTATTAAAATTCTTATCAGTAAATTTAAGGCTCAGGTCTACAGTAGGCCTATGTGCAACGATAGCAATGTAGTATTATATATGTGTACAATTGTATTGTTCATACATTCTTTAAATAATGTGTGTTTCATTTTTTTTCAACAAATCCATATTATACCAATGACCACAATTAACATAATTGAAGGAAAGCATGGTTAAAGATTTCAGATTTTTATTAGTATCAATACCATGTTTGTGGAACTGTATTGATGACCTCTTAAGAATGTGTACTTCTCTTCTTATTTTTGTAGTAAGTACTACTACATAAAATGTATAAATTAATACATAAATTTGATTAAAAACGTATCTATACCCTTCTCCCAAATATTAAGAGCTTACCGGCTTCTTTCTATTTTGATCCGTTATTACTATGTTTCAAAAATAATTGTATTGTGTTATCGTGTATTATATACTTTATTCTTATGATGCTACAGTACATGCCTGTATACTGTGCAATGATAAAAACATGTAGTACTGTAAATTTACATTTATTGATTCCTATTTTAGCATTTATTTTTTCTTGAATAAATGCCCTGCCCCTCCAAATGACTAAACAAGTTGGAAGAAACATCATTCTCAACACTTTCTATTAATATTTACTGTAGGTTGGTCATGTAATGTATAGCGGGTATAAATTGTAAACTGGCAGCCCCAGTAACACTCAGTAATAATAGGAAAACCTGTGGCTTCTTCGGAGAATGGAGATTTTCGAACTGTAAAGCACATTTGATGTTGAATAATGTTTGTTGGAAACTGAAGAGAATTTTGCTTTAATTGGTTTGCTAATGCTCCAAAAGATACTGGTCCCAAACATTATTGAGATTAAAAAAAAAAAATGCTAGTGCCTAGGCCTCTGCATATCTATGGCCTGTTAAGGTACTGTATGCACGAGGGTCTTCAATCAGATCTACTTCGATTTCTAGGCTAGCTAAGTTACAAGGCTTATGAAAGATTAGATAAATTCCAAAGCATACAAAACACAGAGAACACTAGAATACAGTGGCAGATTGAAGGGGTGGGTGGTGCCGAGCCAACCCAGGCCCCAATTTTTTCAAAATTGTTTAAAAAATTGAGAAAATAAGGAAAATTATAATCAAATGGTGGGGCTGACCATCAAATGGTGGGGCTGACGTGGTCTAGTCTCCCCATCTGTGAAAGTCCCTCCATGGGCCCCCTCTTTTGAATTCCTGAATCCACCACTGGAATAAGTATATAAGCACTATTTTGCAAAATCGTAAGTGCCAATCATTGCCAGTCATTTCTAATGTCAGTGGTGGGCAGTTGCTTTGCAACCATAACATACCTTTTTCTATATTTTCACACTAATTGCACTGTAAATTCTCAATACTGTAATTATACACACACTACTGTTGTGAGGCCTCACCACAAAATGAGTCTCATGGTTAGAATATCAAAAATTGAGTTTATATTATATTTGGGTAGATTACATTATAAGCTTTTAATAATTTGGTCTTTGAATGGCTTCACTAGGATATGTAGATCCAGAGCATTTAAATATTATGTGTAAGAGAACCACATTTTGAGAAAATTGGCCTCCAAGATAAACTAACCTGTACAAACAATAAGACTAGAATTACAGAATATGCACAGAGAACACTGTTTTGGTAAGAAATTTCACATAAAAAGTATACAATCATTAAATTTAAATATCAACTTATTCAAAATCATTAAAATCAAAATTGTGTAAAATTTTGACTTTTGACCTATTTTGGTGATTATCTCAAAATAATTTCACTAACAATGCATCTCATTTCGTGGTGAGACCTCACTATATGTCATGTGCCCGGCTGTAAAGAAACCTCGCAGAATGCGTCTATTACATTGTTCTAACCTGGTTGGGATCATTAAGTCTTTATGATCATGCAGTCACATTTTGATGGTAATTATGTGTTGTAATTTACAATGAAATTATGGGCCATTTATTTTAGTACGTACGTATCCATCTTACAAAAAAAAACAAAACGCTTTCCTCGAAAAAACGCCCTCTTAAAATCCTTCTCGACAATAACACCCCAAAGTGTTTATACGAATAAATACAGGCCACTGTGTCTAAAATTATATCCTTAGTATGTTTTGTAGACATGTTGATGTACAATTGTAAATTTGTTCAAGTTTGGTGTTTAAACTTTATATTGTCTTTTTTTTTAGAAGCAGAAGGGTTAATTCCAATGTTCATTTTAAACCACTGAGGAAGATGGATGCCATCCCATGTGCGAGTACAAACAATGCTATCTTGCTGACATCCGGAGATTCCCTTCCGATTCAGGATGACGTTACAAATCAATCAGCTACCAGTTCAGATCACGAGGATGACAGAGATTGTGTTTTGTTTTTGGAATGTGAAGACCACCCTAGTCTTGATCCTGATGGTCAAGAATTGTCGGTGGCTATATCTGACGAGGAAGCCGTCTACTTGCATATGGACTCTGATGAGGAAGATGGACAATCAGGTAGCCCTACTGATGAGGAAGATGATGACGACATGTATATACCAGAAAAGATAGTCGATGAAGGTGACTTGTCGGGTATAATATCACCAGATTATGCTAAGCTTGTAGGCGAGAAGCCCTTTTCCTGTGACATATGCTTTAAAACATTTCAACATAAGGCAACAATGAAAAGACACAAACTGATACACACAGGGGAGAAAGTATTTGTTTGCGACTACTGTAAGAAAAGTTTCCATCGGAAGTGCACTCTGAAACAGCACCTCTTTACACACAAAGATAGAGAAGTGTTGAAATGTAGTGAATGTGAAAAGACATTTGTGATTAAAGAAGATTTAGACGAACATAAATTCATGCATTCTGGAGAGTTGCGATTCCACTGTGAAGTATGCTCAAAGGGTTTCGTTATCAGAAGCATGCTAAACAAACACATGAAAGTGCATTCAACCGAGAAACCATACGCTTGTTTTGAGTGCGGAAAGCTTTTCAAAGATCGGCCGTCTTGCAAAATTCATGAACGAGTTCACACTGGCGAGAAACCATACCAATGCAGTGAATGTGGGAATCGATTCGCAAGAAGGGGGGTACTTCGTCGACATGAGCAAAGTCATCGCGGAGTTCGACCATTTCCGTGTGCGCTCTGTGATCGTACGTTTACAAGAAGGTTTCATCTTACAAATCATATGAAGAATCACACCGGGGATAAGAAATTTCCTTGTGAAGATTGTGGGAAATTTTTTATCTCTTCCCCAGCTTTGCGTAAGCATAGGTTGATACACACACGGCCGTTTCAGTGTAACCTTTGCGGGAAAAGATTTAGTCAGACATACTATCTTGCTGCACATAAAAAATCTCACGAAAATCCAATTCCAAAACCACCAGTTCTGAAGTACCAATGCCAATTGTGTGAAAAACGTTTCCAGCGAAAGTTACTGCTTGAAGATCATGAACGTATTGCTCACAATTCCAAACGATACCAATGCCCAGACTGCGAATTAAAATTCTCACATCGTGGTAGTTTAACAAAACACAGGCGAAAACATACAGGAGAAAAGCGGCATGTTTGTGAGTTATGTGGACGTCGTTTTACATGGAAAAATGACCTGATTGTTCATTGGCGATCACATACTGGCGAAAAACCATTTCAGTGTGATATATGTAACAAATGCTTTGTTGATAAAAGTGGTTTCAGAAAGCACCAGAGATTACATACTGGTGAAAAGCCATTCCTATGTGATGTATGTCCTTCGAAGTTTGGCCGCAAGGATGAGCTCATCTTGCACATAAGATCTCACACAGGTGAACGACCATTTGAATGTAAAATATGTGAGAAACGGTTTAAATGTAACAGTAACTTGAAAAGACATGAACACACACACAAGAAAGATAAACCATTTAAGTGTAAGAATTGTACTAAAAGTTTTGATACTGAGGAAGATCTGTCTTACCACGACCTCGTTCATACACAAGAAAGACCATACCATTGCAGACAGTGTCCAAAAACATTCAGATGCAGCAGTAATCTACGAAGGCACGTCAAAACACATTTAAAAAAAGAGAAGAAGCTTCAGGCACTTGCGGCGAAGTCTGCTGCTGCTGCCCCTTCAAATGTTAAGAGCGAGGAAGATGATGAACCGCCGATTAAGAGTGATAGTCCCCTATCCCCTGCCACTCCCTTAAAAGCTACATCCCAGCTGGAGGAAACTAATCCAACATCACCAACATCTTCCCTTGAATCAGCTCCTACACCGGATTCCCTCTACTCTTCTTCGGACTCGGCTCCAACTCCCGACTCAATTTACTCACGGCCATCATCCCCAGAACATTATTCTGACACCCCAATGGAATCTTCGTCTTCAGACCAGCTAAATACATCTTTGGTGAAAATGTCCCGCACACTGCCAACAGATACCAACTCAAACACATCTGACTCATCTACCTCAACTCATGTGCAAACCTACTCTTCCAAACTGCACTCATTACTGACTGCTCCATCTGTGAACACAGCTAGAGAATCGATTCTCAAGTCAACACCATCCTATAATGCAAACTTCATTCCTTTTACAAGCCTGACAGCGCCCAATACTGAGCCTGAACTTAAACCTGAGTGTCATGAATCATCAATTGATTTACCCTTGTCTTCTGACCCAGTTGCTAAACAAGAAAAAGATACAGAGCTGTACAGTGAACAAACCACTGCTATAGATTATAGCAAGTCATGTTCTGAATCGACTACACAAGATTAAGCCAATGTTTGAAGCAATGACAGGCTGGCCATGTCATCCTTATTACTATTATTGAATCCTTTTTGTAAATTTTCTTCCATATTTTAACTATCTATCTATTACCAATAATATTAATAATAATTCTGATAAAAAAAAAATTTATTAACAATCTTGGTGGCAACATTTGACATAATAGGATGATCTCCTAGGAACACCAAATTCAAATATTTAATAATATTTTTCCTGCAAATTCTTTTTCTTAATTGCTTCTCATCCCTCCAACCGATTATGGTGCTTAAATTTTGATTATTTTTTATTGCCAAAAGATGGTGTCACAGTTAGTGTTTCTCGCAAAGCAAACTCTGAGGCACTGACGCCAGCCCTGGGAAGTTTGTTCTCTATTTATCAAAAGTTTTTTTATTTTTTTTAAATTTTAATTACATATGTTATCATGTATGATATGGATGATATGCATCATTTTTTTAAATTTGTACAGTATGTGCAAGTATTCTTATGATATGTGAAATGCATAAATAATGTAAATGTGAATAGGATAGTGTATACTTTTAGAATGCATGATATTTAAACTAATTACTGTATAAAGACAATTGTTATTTTCTACCAATACCATCAATTCCAAGCTTGCCATCTGGAAAAACTGTAGTTAAATTTTGTAATAGAATTTTATAATTATAATATATGAATATACAGTAAGTGTTAGGTAATTCATTAAGAATAATGATTTAGTAGCTTAAGTACATAAAATGAGTCAGAATATTTGTAAACTTAATCTTAATCTTTGATTTTGGAAGTCAAATCAGATCTTCCTTTTACAGTATATACACAGTTGTGTGTATGTAAGACTTCAAAAATGGTGGAGAGACACACTGCTCAAAAATAATTTTAGTTTAAAAAAAATTGTAATTTTGTGTGTAAACATGTGCTCAAATTCACAAATACTGTCACCTAAACACACACATAGGCCTACTCTCAAATTCATCTACTCAAACATACACTGTTAGCACATACTAAATATGTATTTACGTATACACCTACTCAAGTTTACGTACTTAAACTTAAGTACTCAAACACCTATTCAATATGCATGTACTCACAACATAATGTAGGCCTACATAAATTCATGCTTCACCTAGAATTCGGCTATCAGTCTCTGAATCTATCATAAAAAATTAAGTGTACAGTTATTTGATTGGTTAATTTGTATATTTTTGGCATAATGGAAATTTTGGTATTTGTTGCTAATATTTCAATAATATTATTAACAACTAGTATAATATTTTAAATTTTTTTTTTTATAAATCACGATTCAAACTTACTGAACTTTAATTTCTGTAAGATTATTTACAGCTTGAGATTTGAGTCTCACAAATCCTTGGACATGTGACCAAGCCCATGTATATACTGTTAAGTAACTGTGAAAGTAGGCCTTACGGTTAATGTAAATTGCGACCATATGGCTTGACCTATGTAATCAGACTGTAAAAATTAGACCAAAGTTTTGGTCAACCACTGCATGTGTAACCTGGATCATGTAACCATAAACCACATGCAGGCCTGTAACTGAGTTGGGAGTTGGAAGAGGTCATTCCCTGGACTACTGTACACCAGGTGTCCTAGGCATACCTGGATCTCTATCTCCCCATGTAGCCAGTGCCATTAGTGGAGCATTGATGAGGTACATGTGCACAGGTCTTTATTTTATGTCATTGGTGCTGATATGTTTTTTTCCATTAGAAAAAAAATGTTTTATAATAATATGTTGGTTTTTTTTTGTGTACAGATTAACACATTTTTGTTTCCAGCAAAACTGTAATAAACTGCTTGAATGACAACAGTGTGTTGACCTTAGGAATCATCCATTTTTCATAAGTACAAACAGAAGGGAAGGGGTAAATTGTATAGGATGTTCTTAAAATGTGGGGAAGTGTCATATCTAGGGGTGTGTGGTGTGCACACCCCTCTCCATGAAAGCTTGTTACACCCTATCACTGGAAGTGTTTGAAGCAAAAAAAAATTGCGTAAAAAGAACTATACTGCACTATATCGGCTCACTCCAAAGGAAAACAAATAAAAAAAAATGTTGGTATGTTGTACAAAATACTAAAAGACTAAACACTATAAGTGTGTATAACAAAAAACTTTGGAAAATTGTTGCTGAGATACAGATCATTAAATATTTTAAAACTAGGGAAAGGGTGCAAAATAGGGTGGTTAACCTTTTTGTGTTTTAGAAAAATCAGTTGTACAACATATTAAAAAAAGAATATTTTTCACCTTCACGTCCCTGTCAGCCCCTCCCCCCATTTCAAGGCATCCACATAAACCACGTGGGGGAGTTTGAGGTGGTGGGAGGGAACACAGAAAATAGTATGTTTTGCTTTAAATTAAAAAAATGATGACCCCTATTAAACCTCATGGCTACCATATGTCAACAAGTGTAGTTATTATGTTTATTTCACCAGTGGATGTTTAAACTGTACAGAAGACTTCCAGTAATAATGATTTGCTTCAAAATACTGTGTTCCGATTTATTTAGCAGACTTTTGTGTCTTGATTTTGTTTTCCTGGTATATACTGTATTTTCGTGTAAGGATATGTCAAATCCAAGATCAGAGAAAAATCAAATAACAAATTTGTTTACTTTTTGCTATTCAAAATGATTGATTAGGTTTGCAATGTGTGCTGATGTCAGATATTTTGCCGCATTTCAATATGTTATATAAATATAAAGCATTTACTCTTATTAGATTATAGTACTAGTAAATTTTGTATATTTTTTATTACAGTACATCCTCATTGCAGTTTTACATTTTGTTTGTATACTTCCCTCTGATGGTATGGTGCTGAAGAATTCAACACACTTTTTATCCACTGTAGATAATGGATTGATAATCTAACAGTCCCCTGATGATAAGTATTATATTGTGATCAATGCATTTATGAAGATGCTTGAATCTCGTGTGACATTACATAACACATTAAGTGATACTGTAATTACGTTAGAATTGACGAAATAAATTTTTGTAGAAAAAAATATTGACTTGATGTAATGTATTTTGTTTTCGTTGATGTGTTTAGTGGATAAATTCTACACCAAATAAATTGAGGAGATGATGTCCTCTATTTGATAAAAAAATAAATTAATGGATTTAATGTTAGTAGGGCTCGAGGGATGTACTTTTTTCTTACATCACCAATCAAAGATGATAAATTTATAAATAAATAATAGAATAAATAAAAATTATTCTCATATCTTATTCTCATGTATAGTTTTAATAACCAAATATTATAGCTTAGCAACAATTCAGCTAAACATGAAAATATGAAGCTGGCAAAAATAAGTGCTGTACTGTAACTGCAGACTGATGCCTCAGTGGTGTAATTCCTATAAGCTGTCTGACTAATGTCAGGGGTCTAAAATCCTAAGGGCCAGAGATGTTAATCTGCAATTTTTCAGGACCCACAGGCTCTGTTAATCCGTGGGCACCAAATCGGCAGAGGAGCGTCCCTTAAAGCCAGGCTCCAGAGGTAAAAAGAATTTTTTATATGTTGTACAACTTATTTTGCTAAAACTCAAAAAAGGTGTTTGTGACGAAAAACTCGGGAACGGTCAATCCGGTGCTGTACAGATTTTTGAATACAGTAGAACCCCTCCTTTGGCTTTGCCTGTTTTCAAATGCGTCAACAATTTTGTTTGTAAGGTCAATAAGGGCCATGGGGTATTGTATCTTTCCCTAGATCCGAATTGATTATTGAAAAGTACACGCCTATATCATATTTTTAGATAAATTCGAGTTGTCCTGTCATAATTTTTTTTCTAAGGCTTTTGAGAAAACAAATAATTGATGTGGGACAACAATTAGAAATATCAGATTTGGGTCCAGATTTAAAAATGTGAGTTACATGGGCTTGCTTCATTTTTGGAAAAATAACCCTGAGATTGAAAGATTAAATATTTGAGAAAGGGGAAGAAAAATTAAATGCGAAACGTGTTGAGTACTTTAGTATGAAATCCATCAATACCAGTCATCGTTGTTTTTAAAGGAATTAAAAATAGTGGCCACCTTACTAAAGTCTACAGGGGCAAGAAATAACGGAATTTAGTGTAGGAATTCTTTAAAGAAAATGTAACTTTGAGGATTATTAGATAGTGATCAAGGTTCAATTTCATCACTACCAGACGGGAGTGGTGATCCAGTACATATGCCGGCGGAGGGGCCCACTAGCATTTCTCTCTGATCATTCAAACATCTGCATAGACAATATATAGGCCTATTTTCTACCAAAAAGTGAGGTCCCCTCCCCCCAACCCGGTTCCGCCGGCCATGATATACACTCAGGATTTACTGTGTATTTTTAAGCTGTGGGGCATTTTATAACTTGTATCCAAGTCGTGACCAACAAGGATTTTCCTGTCCGATCAAAACGACATAGTAGAAAGGATTACAATTGATATCCCCCGGTTGACGCTCCCATACTAGGTGCCCAGCATAGTATCGACCACAGTAGCATAGAAAAATATTTTTCATTGGGGGGGGGGGGGGAATGATTGGCGTGTTAGCCAGTGTCGTAACAGGCGCGGTGGGGGCAGGGGGAAACTGCCCCTCCCTGACGGTTTTTACCGGGCCGACCAAGCCGTCGTACCGGGCTGGGTAATAAGAGAAAAGAAAGAGGAAAAGGAAAGAAAAAGAGAAGAGAAAAATATAAACAAGAATAAAAAGGAAGATATCATAATGACCAGACTCACAACACCCATGTAACCCCTTCTCCACTTCAAAAACTGTCATAACTCCTTTGATCTATGCTGCCCGATGGCGTAAACTGGGGGACAAGGAGAAAATATCTATCTTTGAAAAATCTTCCCCACCCTTTTATAAATGCCCTTTCATCCCCTGAAAGTGCCTAAAAACCTCAAATTACGCGCGAATTTCTTGTTAACATGGCCCAATTTCCTCTAAAAATTGCACATTTTAGGGAGTTTTGATCAATTCCAACGAAATTAGAATTAAAAACACCGGGGGACAAGAGGAAAATATCCATCTTTGGAAAATCTTTCTCCACTCCTTGGCAAATGCATCCTCAGAAACTGCCTAAAATTCTCAAATTCTTTGCGCGCATTTATTGTTACGGTAGGCCAATTTCCTCTATAAATTGCACATTTTAGGGAGTTTTCATTAATTCCGACGAAATTAGAATTAAAAACACAAAAATATTTTGCACGCTTGGCGCGCATTTTTTTAGGGCTTTTTTTAGTTTTATCCTTTTAAGTTATTTAAACACATAATAGTCCCAAACTCAAGAAAGACAAATTTAAGATAGATCATTTTAACCTAAAAGAAGGGCCTCAATGTGTATAGATGGTGAAAGAATGTGTTTGTAATAAATACAACCATGATGAAAATGCTTATATTTAGTTTCAAACACACGGGTGTGGCCTATATTATAAATAAGATAAGCCCTATGTCGGATTATTTTCTATATGGGGAGTGGGGTGGGGTGGGGTGGGTATGGTAAATTACTAACCGGGAAATGGGGATTGTATGTTATTATTATTATTATTATTATTATTATTATTATTATTATTATTATTATTATTATTATTATTATTATTATTATTATTATTGTTATTGTTATTATTATTATTATGTTGTGATGATGTTGTTTGTACTGTTCTTTAATTTTATTAAAGAGGGCCCCTGAATGTCAGTTAACCTGCTGGGCTAAACTAGAAGGGTTACCCTCTTTAAAGATGGTTGAAATAAAAAAATAAAAAAAATATATACCCACTCTGACCCAAGACCCCTGTTACGCGCCTGGTGTTAGCGCTAATGTGTGCCCTTGTGCGGACAGGAGATGTGCCCCCCTCTGAAGCTGGAAACCTTGTTTTTGCAAAATAAATTGATGCAATTTGCTATTATAGGCCTAATCAATAAATTCCTCATCAACCGATATAAACTTAAACATTCTTGGAATTGACATAACATTACTGATGTCGTACACACCCTTCAGTGTGAAATGTGGCTCTCTTTCTAAGGAAAGAAGAGCTTAGATTGGTACCAGATAAAATAATTTTGTTATCAACATTAATACATTATGCTAATTTTCATCTTTGTAAGCGCATAAGACAGTGCTAATTATTTCTGTGACAGTCTTTTGAAGTGTGTAAAGCTCCATTTTATCCCATACATAGTCAAAATATTGGGGGATGATACAATGGACCATCCCCCTTGTCAAATATTGGGGGGATATATCCCCCATCCCCCGGGATCTACGCCTATGATCGACCAGTAAACGAAATACCTGTACCATTACTTTAATTTAATAATATTTAACACATTTTGTTTGTTTGGTATTTGGATCTTCACTGAAAAAGTTAGCACGCGTTTTAGAGAGTTCGTATCATATCAGAAAACGTCAGACAGTGGATTCATTCCATTTCCGAAATTAATAGACGAAATTACCAACACCCAATCATTATGAAACGTCTGCACACATTGGAGGAGTTGGTTCATGCCGTTCCCGTGTGTATAAATTAAATTTAGTCTCAGCCCTTATTCTATTATCAAGTTCCTTAAGCCTGTCGGGATGTGTTTTGTTTCCGCGGATCAAGTTATAATTTCCTTTCCCTTCAATCTTAATCAAACCGGCCAAGACTTAAGTTTATAGTTTCTTTGTTTATAGCCATTATACAGTCACTGGTTCGAAGCTTTGTAAGACTCTTCCCCCTCCCTCCCCCACTATACTAGGAGAGAATGAATTTGTCAAACGAATTTAAGTTTTCCGCCAACTTTACATCATGCTTATGCCTGTACAGTAGGTATAATGAAGTATAATTTACTGGGAACATAGAAGATTGTTCATCAGTGAAGTGAATATATGGAATCTTGAATCTTGAATTTACATAAAGTTTGTCTAGGCTATCAAATATTATTTTGACAAAAAGAATGTGATATGCCCATATGGTACGATGACGTCATCACATATTACCAATTCTATCCAAAAAAGTTGAACGTGCATTCAACTCTTAAGCTTTGTCTACACTATCAAACTCTATAAAAAAGCGTCACATAAAATGTGATGGAACAAGAGTTGAACGAATATTCCTATTTTAATGATAATGACTTTAATTGTAATTGTTATTATAATATTTTATTTATATTATAATAATATATTTTTATAGCCTATATTATTTTAAATTATTATTTTATTATTTTTATTATTATTTTATGTTATATCTGTTTCTCGGTTGGTACTGGAGAGGTCCCTGACCAGAGGCGTAGAAAAATATTTTTCATTGGGGGGATGATTGGCGTGTTAGCCAGTGTCGTAACAGGCGCGGGGGGGGAACTGCCCCTCCCCTGACGGTTTTTTCCGGGCTGACCAAGCAGTCATACCGGGCTGGGTAATAAGAGAAAAGAAGGAAGGGAGAGGGAGGGAAAGAGAAAGAAGAGGAAAAGAAAAGGAAAGAAAAAAAAAGAGAAGAGAAAAAAAAGACAAGAATAAAAAGGAAGATATCATAATGACCAGACTCACAACACCCTGCAACCCCTTCTCCACTTCAAAAACTGTCATAACTCCTTTGATCTATGCTGCCCGATGGCGTAACCACTGGGGGACAAGGGGAAAATATCTCTTTGAAAAATCTTCTTCACCCCTTTATAAATGCCCTTTTCATTCCCTGAAAGTGCCTAAAAACCTCAAATTTCGCGCATTTCTTGTTGACATGCGCTAACTTCCTCTAAAAATTGCACATTTTAGGAAATTTTGACCAATTCCAACGAAATTAGAATTAAAAACACCGGGGGACAAGGGGAAAATATCCATCTTTGGAAAATCTTTCCCCACCCCTTGACAAATGCATCCTCTGAAAGTGCCTAAAATTCTCAAATTCTTTGCGCGCATTTCTTGTTACGGTATATATACTCTATAAATGTTACGGTATATGTTACTCTATAAATTGCACATTTTAGGGAGTTTTCATCAATTCCGACGAAATTAGAATTAAAAACACAAAGATATTTTGCGCGCTTCGCGCGCATTTTTTAGGGCTTTTTTTTAGGTTTATCCTTTTAAGTTATTTAAACACATACGGTAATAGTCCCAAACTCAAGAAAGACAAATTTAAGATAGATCGTTTTAACCTAAAAGAAGGGCCTCAATGTGTATTGATGGTGAAAGAATATGTTTGTAATAAATAAAACCATGGTGAAAATGCTTATACGGTATTTAGTTTCAAACACACGTGTGTGGCCTATATTATAAAGCCCTATGTCGTATTATTTTCTATATGGGGAGTGGGTGGGGTGGGTATGGTAAATTACTAACCGGGAAAATAAATACCCACTCTGACCCAAGACCCCTGTTACGCGCCTGGTGTTAGCGCCAATGTGTGCCCTTGTGCGGGCAGGGGATGTGCCCCCTCTGAAGCTGGAAACCTTGTTTTTGCAAAATAAATTGATGCAATTTGCTATAGGCCTAATCAATAAATTCCTCATCAACCGATATAACCAACATTCTTGGAATTTACTGATGTCGCACATCCTTGAGTGTGAAATGTGGCTCTCTTTGCAAGCACATCTAACATCTAAGGAAAGAAGAACTTAGATTGATACCAGATAAAATAATTTTGTTATCAACATATCAATACATTATGCTAATTTTCATCTTTGTAAGCGCATAAGACAGTGCAAATTATTTCTGTGACAGTCTTTTGAAGTGTGTAAAGCTCCATTTTATCCCATACATAGTCAAAATATTGGGGGAGTGATACAATGGACCATTCCCCCTCCCCTTGTCAAATATTGGGGTGGGGGGAGGATATATCCCCCATCCCCCGGCGGGATCTACGCCTATGTCCCTGACAGATGGGAATTGCGCTGAGTCGCGTTGTTAGTTTTTGTGTTCGTTTTTGTAAATTTGAAATGGTAAAATAAATGATATGACTTGATTACTAGCTGCAATATTATGGAATAATAATATAATTTAATTTAATAATTTAATTTGGTGTTCAGTATGTGTTCCATATCACGCATGCGCAATCGCCACCTGTCCGTGATTGCACGGCGAGTGATGTCGCATGTCCTCGAATGTTGAGCTGATGCTGCAAATGTTACAGGTACTTATAATAATTTTACTACTTACTTACAGTTTTGGGCCAGCATTGCGTCATTCACAAATGAAAGATGCATTTTAATTTTGTATAATTTGCTTGACCAAGGAGGTGTAAGTGTGTGAATGACCCAACCTAGCCAAGTAAGCTAGAGGCTTACTACCTAGGCCTACCCTAGACTTACAATCATTGCTGGGGGTGGTGAGTACTCTAGCCTAGCCTACGGCCTACTACATACTAGGCCTACTGCCAACTGCACTGGCCATGGCCACCACACTGAACCAGCCAGGCCAAGATGGGCCTAGGCTAGGACTACCTAGGCGCGCCTATATGCCTATCTAGGCAGCTGCGAAATTTGCACAGGATTCAGGGGAGTAGGCTGGTTTTGAGGGGAGGAGCAAAAACTGAGAAAGTGGAACTAAATCCCTATGACCCACTTTTTAAAGTGGAGCTAGGCTAGGCCCTAGGCGTAATTTGCTACCATCATGATGGGGCCGGGCAGGGGCCTATGCCACATAGGCATATATATAACCCCATTCCAAATTCAACCATATACAACCTGACTAATAGTACAAGTCCTCTTATTGTCCAAGTAAGAACACGTATACCAGCTCAAATTCCATGGCCATATATACTTCGCCTTCATTCAAGATAATGAGCCTGTGAAATAATATGCCTTGTATGTGTACCACCGTATGGTAAGAGGAAACCTGGTCGCCAGCGCATTCTGTTTTTACATTATATCCAGCACCTTTTGGGTGATCCTGAGGGAATGCTGCAGCCACAACAAAATTATCTCAATGGCCCAAGATCGCAAAAACTGGAGAAAACTTGTGGTCACCTGTTCCGCAGCTGACTGATGATGATGAATATGCCCATGGAATTAGGCCTAGGGCTTTATTTTGAAAGTGTGAAAAATTAATTTTTGTAAAGCGAGATTATATTTTATGAAGGTAAAATGTCATTTTTTCTCCTCTTTTGCAGCCCTGGATACAGTAAAATGAAGTTGACTGATGATGATGAATATGCCCATGGAATTAGGCCTAGGGCTTTATTTTGAAAGTGTGAAAAATTAATTTTTGTAAAGCGAGATTATATTTTATGAAGGTAAAATGTCATTTTTTCTCCTCTTTTGCAGCCCTGGATACAGTAAAATGAAGTTGAATAATCTTAGCCATCCCCCAGGTGATGAACCATGGCAACATAAACTCTCTCGGCTTGCAAGTGACATTATTATTCCATTTCTAATACCTGCTTCAACTGCATTTTTATGTAAGTTTTATATATAAAATGCTTTAAAACACAGATCTCTGTTTCTATGTTCATTTGATGACCTTTTTAAAGTATTTAGTGGTGATCTTCTATCTAATTGATATAAGATATAATAATGATAATATATTTTTTAACGGCTTTTTAAAAGTTTTAACGTTTGAAATACCAAACACTATCTGTATTACTTATATTTTATTTATGTACATGATGATATTTTTTAAATATGTACAAAGAAAATATTGAAAAATGAAAGAAGTTGACATGAAAAAAAAAGAATGAATAAGAGTGGGTTGCCCTATGAACTTAGAGAAAAAACAAATATAACTATATTACTTCCAGTGTTTAATAATTGAAAGTTTTGTTCAATATTTCACAGTGTGGCTTGCAAAAAGAAAGGAGAATGCAAACCACCAAAAAGAAGAAGATTTACAGCGTCAGATTGTTGAATTAAAATCACGTGAAGATGAACTTGATGCTAGAGATACCCAAGCTTCTTTTTACAAGTTTCTACAAGAGGAAGATGCTGAGTATAGGAAAATAAACCAAGACCTTGATAAAATAGCAACTGGCCTTAAAGACAGACAAGATATTTACTGCAGTGTATTTAAAAAGAAGGAAGATCGCATCAAGATCGAATCCCAGCTTCTTGAATTTGCGTACTCCAGGCCATATGATAAGAACTTGAAATTATATCGTGGATTGAATGAAATATTTGCCAAAGACACGCACTGTGGCAGCAGTCGTGACGAGAATGGTTGTTTAATGTGGGTGTGGCTTGACTTCTGGAGGATGAATTCTAAGCTATTAAAATATGAGAAAGCTTCAGAAAAAATACTAAATAAATTATTGTAATCAGGAATAAAATAAAGATAATAGTATCATTGAGATCTAATATACTGTAATACTAAAATAATAATTTATTTATTACTAAACAGACGTTTTGATGTACAGTATGCATGTGTTCAACTGATGTAAATGTGTACTTCTAAATGAATATTTGTGTTTTATATCAGTCTTAGACATACATAATTAAGTTAATAATAAATTTTGTCAATAGTGATATATCTCATATTTTATCATGCAACTGTATAAACTATATTTATTACACATATTTTGAGTTGAGAACTATTTTATTTAATTTTAAAGTGACCTTGTAAATTATAATAGCTTTATGCCATTTCCATTTGTTTGGACTTCGAGTTTGTGATTTTTTGTCCTCTGCATAATTATCTCAGTTATCATTCAGTATTGTTATTATTTTTAAATTGTATTGTTTTTTGATGCAATAAATGTGAATATGCAGTGTTTTTAACAGAATTGAGATGGATGTGCCCTTTAAATATGAATACTGTATTTTTAAAATCTTAGCATGTAAAATTCTAAAATTTTAGAGTATAAAGGAAATAAGTAAATTGTATAATTTAAGTGGCAGCTAAGCTGGATGGTTAAAAGGATGGTTAATGGTCATGTATATTTATAGCGCCTTTCACAGTAAAAGAAAAACTTCTCAAGGTGCTGTTAAGCTACAGGAACAAAAATTAATATGGCGAAGGGAAGGAGTAAGGTGCACACCCCTGATTGAGATAGCGTCGCCATCACTACAAACTCCATGGTCCTAAATTCAAGTCATGTGACACCAGGAATTGTTCTCCCACTAAATGATACAGTGGATTGTCTTCCAAAAAATGGGAACAATTTTTGAAGAAATTTCATGAAGAATCTTAACAACCATGAAAAGCCTGGTACTGTATACAAACATTTGCATTTTGTACTTTACTTTTTGTCGAAGCAGAGGCCAGCATCTAGGCTCAAACTGCATTTTTATCTTGCAGTGATATCAAATTTGTTTATTGAACAAGATTGTGCCTAGAGTACGTTAACAGTAAGAGTGTAATACTGTACCTGGAATCCTCAGTCTGTAAAATATGCAATGCTGTTGCTAATCAAGATGTGAATTACTGTACTTACAATTACTAGTTATATTGATGACAATCAAGAGATTAGATTCCATACAGTACAGTGCATAATAGTATGCTTACTACTGTAAGTATATTTTTGTAATAATATACAGCAGCTATGAACCAGAATTTCTATGGTTAGGGATCTTGTGATCATATTGATTGGTTGGTAATAAAATTTAAAAAAAAGTGAAATACAGTACAGTAATATATTTTTGTAACTCGTTTTTATAGTGAAAACAAATTAGATATTTGAATTATTTGGACAAATTTAGACATATTTTCAAAGAATTTCAAAAAAGATGGTAATGAATAATTATATATCAATAGCTTAATGCCCCATTTTAGAGTTGAGTGTATTACCTATATACACACAAAAAACAAAGATTGGTATGGACACTATTTTAAACCAGGAGCATTTGCTTTCCAGCTCCAGAAATTTGCTGACAGGGTGTCAACAAGTGAAAATAGACCCCCCTGGGGCTTCCGGGTATTTTCCTGGAGTGGGGTGAAAAGGGTGAGGTTTTAAGGTTCAGTGTGGTAAAATCGTGATTTTAGATCACAGTATTAATTAGGATCAGTATTTCTAGTTAAACAGCCTTATTGTATGTCCAGACAACAGGGCCTACTCTCGTCTGATGGGCAATTGTACTCTGGCTACAGTGTCATAGTTGAATACAAAACTACCCCTATACAGTATCATCATCATCATTCATTCGCTTGTGGAACATAATAGTATGCTTACTACTGTAAGTATATTTTTGTAATAATATACAGCAGCTATGAACCAGAATCTCTATGGTTAGGGATCTTGTGATCATATTGATTGGTAATAAAATTAAAAAAAATTTCATCTATATTAATTCAAAATGGTTTGGTTAAGATTTTACTACCGTACCTTTGTTCATTTTTGATATATATCTGATTCTTTGTTTAATTTTACTGTATATAATTTGTAACTAGACCATTTTGAAAAGCAGTACTACGTTACTGAAAATGCAATCCAATAAAAAGAAAAAATGAATCATAGATGGGCAAAGTGTGTCTATAGCGAATAACTCTAAGCTACAAAACCACAATAACATAACAAAAAATGTAAGTATCATAAAATGTTTTATTGATTGAAATAATCCCAAATCCCCATTTATTTTTATATTTCTGCAATAAATATAAATTAAGAAAAAGAAATTACAAGAAAAAAACAACTCAAAATGGGTAAAATATTGAAAAGGCTAATTGAATACTAAATATTGTAATAAATAGTTTAACATTCTGTATGAACACGTCCTCATAAATGAGGACAAAAAAGATTGGATTTCATTATGGTTCTCTTTTGCATCCAATTCACATTTATGATTTTTTTGTCTTTGTCTTTCATTATAAAATGTCCATTAATACTGCAGATGATACACAAAATAAACCCCCTACAAATATTGGATTGGTTATATAGAATACAGCCACCATTTTAATTTTGTACAAAATGTCCCCTTCTATGATTGCCACTATCCGATTCCCATATAAGCCTTTACTTTATCATCCAATTAATCCTCATTAAAAATATTTGCATCCAGGGGCGGATCCAGAGATTTTTAGATGGGGGGGGGGGGGGAAGGAGGACACAATAAGAAGTCCACGCCACGCCCACATCAGCCCCACCATGGTTGGTGAAAAGAAGTGGTAAATAATCAAGCTCTCCTCTCCCCGCTGGATCCGCCCCTGGTATCTGACTATAACTGGACCTCATATTTGCCAATATTTAGTATATGCAGTTTTTATAAAGTAACATAATCTATGACACACAGCAAACAGGAACATCAAGCAGTTATATATACCAGTAATTCATATTCCAAACAATGCCTTTTGTAACAAAATCTATGTAAGCAAGTATATAATTTAAATACAGCAACCAAAATTAACAAAAATGTTAACATTAATAATCCTTATACTTTATTATGTTGTGTTGGCATTATATATATTAACATACAATCCTAAGTAACAAGGATTAAAATGTACAATGTAAAAAAGAAAAAAAAAAAACAATAATAATAATTATGCATAGCATTTATACACTCTTTCTGAGCAATTTTTTAGATAACAATTACAAAATTTAAAAATAAGCAAGAACATCAAAGTCATTGTTATTGCAATTTGGGAGATAAAATATAATTGTGGTTTGGTGGTAGGATGCTTAGCTTCCAATCCCAAGGTCTTAAGTTCAATCCTTGAAAATTATCCTTCAAGGAAATGCTCATGGCACATCGACACACCAGAGCATGCAATTAAGAAAACTGAAGAGATTTTTGGCATTGAGGCTCATGCGAAGTTTGAATTTTAAGGAGGATAAGACAATGGACCTTTTCGATTGTAAAAAAACTGACCAATTAGAACAGTGTCTGGAATATGCACATGTCTAACAAACACACGTGTTGTCCCACAAACACGCGTGTTGTCCCACAAACACGCGTGTTGTCCCACAAACACGCGTGTTGTCCCACAAACACGCGTGTTGTCCCACAAACACGCGTGCCTTATCATAAACACACTGTTTAGAGTATCATGGGGCTATAATTATTAGCTTTCCACTCCCCAATCATCAAAGATAAAATTTATACAGCATCAAAGGTCTACTTGACTCTTATTGGTCAAACCTTCCTACAGTATAATATCTGAAATAATTATAAACCAATTATATGAGAATTAAAACGCATAATAAAATAATAAATATGTTTTAAAAACAGTCTTAAAATTAATATGTAGTTAAAAACAATATTATTGCCTTGAGTGTTACCTAATATATCACAATTTATTTTTAATTTCATTTTAAAATTATTATATTTGTTTCTTGAAAATAACCAAGTATGCTGGGAAGGATATGACTATTTTATGTGAACAAAATGTTACACTCGACCAACACAATCTGTAAAATGATATAAAAAATAAATTAGACCAAAAAAAATATTAAAATTCCAAACAAACTTATTGAATTGTTCAGTTTAGTTCTTTTGATCAATAATATAGCAAATTATTAATTATCATTAAATAATGCTTCCTACAGTGAAATTTGTGCAATATTTTACTGACAGTAAAAACATGCATTTCTAGTTTGTTTAAATGGCTGGAGTATTAAAATGTTATAATTACTTTTCAACATAAACCTAAATAACTGATTAAAATTATACAACTAAAGGCCTAATATATTATGCAGCATTCTAGAAGTTTTTGTTTATTACATAATGTTAATCTACATGGTATTTTCAAACAACATTTACCAGGTAATGGATTTCATTCCCTTGCCTTGAGTATACCCTAAGAATGATGGTTTAATTAAATAAACACAAAAAAAACCTATGTGAAATGATACACCAAAGATAACGAATGTTCAAATACTGGGAGATCTGTTGTAAAAAATTAAAAGAAGCACACCCACACCTCACTACTACTAGAAATGTTAAAATATTATTCTTTGTTAATTCAAAAATAGGTTGTCAGTACATTTTTGGTTAAATGGTCATTTTCAAGAACTTTCAGGAAGTGCTTAACCTGGTATACTTAAAATTTAGTTTATCTCTTGGAATGACAATTTTACCAATTAAATCATTATCTAAAATGACAATGCTAAAAATATGAATAAATATATTTTCTCATTTTAAATAAAGACAGTATTGGCAAATTCTGATAAAAAGGGAACCAAAATGTAATGCTGGGCTCTATTAGAGAATGGTACTCTGTACAACTAAAAGAACAATAAACGAAAGATAAACAGATGCATCAGTGGATACGAAAATTTGAAAAAAAAGATATGCAGATTAGCTCAGCATATTTGCATAGCTCAAGATATGCAAATTTGCATAGCTAATTATATGCATCTGTGATTAATATGAATACCTCACAAGTCTGAGGTCTTAAAAAATAATTTCTTTTATGATACTTATAACCATGAGAAGTATTTGTACACGTAATATTTCAATTTTGATGTGGATTTTTGTGGCAAAAATGTCATTTTTGGTAAGACAAATCCCATCAAACAATCAGTAAATTGACAACCATAAAAACTTATACATCAGACTTATAATATTCACTTTGATTCTTATAACTACACTAAACAATTTAGTTGCTGTCAATTTGATTATTGCAAACTAACATAATTACTCTTGGGTCAGAATGTTTTGAACCTTAACCAGTATCGGCAATCTCTAAATGATTAAACACATTTACATATTTACATATAAAAACAAGTATTGCAAACAATGTCATCATCCGGAATTTGTCAACAATAAATTACCAAAAATCTTACTTTTATCCCACAAGTAATTACACCATCTGTTAGATGGCTTTCTTTTTTTAAATGATTACCCCCTTCTAATAAACACACTATTATCACACCAGTAATTTTCCCCTCTGTTAGATTATTTTTATCTCACATGATTGTCCCCTGACTTTCATTTCTAACTCTTGGAGGCTTTAATCTTTACCCTCTGTTAAATGGCACAAATTTTATATGTCATGACCTCCTCTGTTGTAAGCATTTGTCTACTCGTATTGCGTGTGGATGTGATTCATGCAAAGTACATGACTTTCAGCTGATCTTCGTGGATTTGTACGCATCTCGTCATGTCCGTGAAGCTACGTCCGTTACCACCATGCGAATGTTGGCTTCCTTCCCCACTGAAAGACAAATAATATTCATTAAACGTGGTAATCAGAACAAAATGTAAATCACACATTGTCAAAAATCAAATCATTTCAATACCTTATCAAAATATGAAGGTGTATATGAAAGTACTTCATTTTTTACATGTTTGATTTTCAATATGATTCAACCACAATAAAAAAAACAAACAACTTTAATCACACTGTGCATTTGAAATTAGTGTCTATCCTCTACACATTCTGGATTTTTATTTGATAGCAGTATAAGTAAGCACAACTAAACTTCTACAGGTACTCTCAATGCACTAAGATAAAACACTCAGGCTATGTAGGCATTGTACTCATTATAGCAACTAACACTTCCTGCAGGCACTCAGGCTGATAAAAACACTAAATTTGTGTAGGCACTTGCTTCCATGGTAGGCATTCACAATTGTAGGCACTCACTACAACTAAAACTCAAGCTGATTAAATATACTAGCATTCACTGTAGGCATAAGCTCATTAAAGGCACTGAAGTGGTATAGGCACTTACATCCACTATACAGTATACAGTCATGTTCACTGTGAGTACCCAAGTCAATGTAAGTACTTAAAATGTGTATGTGCCAAACTGAATTAACCAGTAATTAACACAATATCTCATCAAAGAAGACAGACAAATGTGCACAATTAAAGTGGAATGAACATTCATAAAATGTGAAAAACTAACTGGAAAGATAAATAAATAGGCAAAAATATGGTAATATTTTTCTGAACACACTTCATACTTTAACAAGTAAAAGACAATGTTAATCATGCAACACCAATTAATGTACCTACAAGAAGAACCTTAATAAACAATTGAGCCCAAAGGCCAAAAAAAACAAAAAACAAAAACAAAAAACAAAAAAATAATGATAAGAGAAGAAGCATACTCGAAGCAGAATGTAAATGAAAGTGATCTTGGTTTTCCTATCAAGGTTAAAGTTTAAAGGTTATTCATTTATATTGCTCAAAATACGGGAGTCTCTATGTGCAGAACAAGTGAGCAGATGTAACTGGAAAATAAAAAAGAAAATCGAAGCCAGCCCCCAAACCACAGTATGGGGTTATAATGCTCTCTCAGAATAGAAGGATAATTTTTGGCAATACTGTAGAACCCACCCTTCCTTTTCCATGAAACGAGGGGAAATATATCTTTTAACACTACAGTAATCCCCTAATAAAGGACATCCCTGTTAAGGTAATATGCTGAATTCAAATCAATATAATTTTACCCCTATTCAGGGGACAATTGTTTTCTTACTGTGTCAAAACAATTACAGTAGTCACAAAATAAGAACAAAATCATTCAAATTTATATTTTGACACCTGTTGAGCAATATAACATCAAACCAGAATTTTTTCCATCATTAGAATGGGCATTGGATGCCAAGTGCATGTGTCACTTTGTATAAGTAAAATCTTGTCAACTTTGACCATTAACCATGGAGATTTCTTGTCCTGTGTCTTTTGATACAGGATTCTAATGGAAAAATCTATTAGTAATATTCTATCTTGTGCATCCAATAGGAAGCTCAATATTTAAAAAAATAATACTTGGTCATTAACATTGCACTCGTATAAAGAAAAAAATATCGGGAACATACACAAATTTTGTAGTTTTAATTACATATCTGCAAATTTCATATCTTAAATAAATTATTTTTTGTGTTGCAAATTATTGTTATAAATTAGTTATAATTAAACTGTAACTGATTCTTAGGTCAACAAAAATAAAATTATAAAGAATCTATGTCATCATTACACAAAAACATGCCAAAACTCCCTACTAAGGGGACAATTTCACGTTTTGGTTAGTGTTCCCTGTCTCCTATTCAGGGGACACCCCTATTAAGGGGACACTTTTCTTGGTCCCGAAGGAGTCGCCTTAATAGGGGATCTACTGTATTTATAATATGGACATTTTAATTGCGGTATATTTTATTGTTTTGAAAATAAATGGATGCAAATTAAAGAAAAAGATTTGATCGATCGATCAATTATTTGATCAATCGATCATTGGGAATGAAGGGGAACTATAAGTATTCAACAAACACCATCTACAGACTATCAAATACGACTCTACAGATAAACCACAGAGGAATTTAGTACTTTTAAAAGACTATGCTAATGACATCACAACAATTTGAACCTTTTGGTAAGAACCACTGCAGGTGTGCCGAACCATGAAGAACTTTACCACAATGGTTCTATCCCATAAAAAAAGCTGTTTTCTCTGTAAATACAGTTTATAGTACGTGAGAGCAGCTAAGCTCAGTTGGCTAAAATGGTGGTAGCCACTGTGTGTGCGCTGAACTGTGGAGATCTCTAGGTCCCCGGTTCAATTCCCATTGCTGCTCTTAGATGGAATGCAAGTTACGATAACGCACGTCTTTCGGAAGAGATGTGTAAACCATTGGTCTTGTGCGCATTATGGCCCGTGTGCACGTTAAAGGACACCGTACACTATTCGAAAAAGAGTAGGGGATTGTCTCCCGGTGTACTGACCAATCAACAATCAGAAGGATGCCACTGGAAATAAGCTTTTAGACTTTTGTGGGTTATCCTTGGTATTTACACCGAATAAATTTCTCCGTCCGTCCGTAGTCCGTGCCCAATTTAATAAAGAAAAGGAACATGGGTTTAAGGTGGAGTGTGGTATGTGATGTCAATTCAATTTGTCTTTTACAAAATTCCGAAACATCCTCCATGGTTTAGTGAATCAATCAGGCAAGTGCAGCTCAACTCATTGTAACTCTACAGATATTAGACTCACTTTCCAGTAGGCGATTCATGTCCTGGGCTGTGATTGGGATGAAAATGAAATGCATAGAGTTTATAAAGTAACTAATTAATACAGCAATCTCTAAAAACACTGCTTAGTTCAAGTTACAAGTAGTATTAATTAAAACTGTTTTGTTTATGTCACAAAACTTTATTGTATTACTGTATATTATTTAGCATTCAACTGAATATTAGGGGAAAAAATATTGTTTTACTAGATTAACAGGCTGGTTTCATGAGTTTTCCAGATTTTTAACAGAAACAGTTAACTTTTAATGCTGCTTTCCATATTGAAGAAGGAAAATATGAAAATTAGGAGGGTTAATGGACAATGCATCATATGATATAAAAGCATATTTTTTTAATGAGATGAATAACATAATAATGGAAGATGAGCATAAACAATGATGATACAATTACTGTATGGTATACACTCTGTCCACAAACCCAAGTTTTTGTGACAAACTTGCAGTATACATGAGCATGATGTCATAACACAGCCACATTTGGGCATGATGATGTCATAACACATCCAAATATGGGCAAATCACATGTATTTGTCATATTGTGCACAGAGCTTATTAAGGCAGCGTGGAGAAGTATCATTAACAGATGGTTTGTCAGTTATTTCATAGAACTTATACTTGGTAAAATAGTTTTAATAAAATTGATTTTATAAATAAATGCCCTCCCTTTGGGCAATCATTGATTTACTAGCACGCATGTTTTATGAGAACATGTCGGTTATAGCTGTTGGCACGTTCTCTCACTGGAATTTCTTATGTTTCTTGTTATTATTTCAGTGGCAAGTCAAATAAAATAAATAAAGATTAGTTTAAATAAAATGTGTGTTAATAATAACATCAAGGCATTTATACATAGCATGTTCTGACTCGTGACAATTTGACTTCTCAAAGCCCATAATGAAAATTCCTGAATAAAAATGTTAATGCGGATAAACTTGTTGATTCCCAAAAATTTTGTTTCAAATTATTAGTTATAAATATTTTCAGTCAAATTAAAATCATTGTGTTGAACTGTCTTACCTGTCTCCGCCACTGCCTACGTAGCTGCCGTTTCGTGATTGGCCGGGACTGTGGGGTAAACATGCATGCATGCAGTGAGCAGGAGAAAAATAAATAACAAATGCCGATAACGGTAAATAAAAATAAACATAAATCAAAATGGAAGACATTTCGCCTTTGTCAACAATTAAAGAGCTAAATTTTGTCTCATTATGTATCAAGTACCTGTAATACTGAAATTAAAACAGTATTCACTAAAAGTACATTAATATCACAGGAATTATGCAGGTTGTAGAAATTAATTTTAATGTGATACCTGTATGTTTACAAGTGACAACTGTATGTATAAAAATGACATGTATTTATAGGAGACACCTGTAAAATGTTACAAATGTATGCTTAAAAAAGACAAATACATACAGTATATACATAATAAAAAATGAAACTGGTATTTGTATTATAAAAAATTGACACTTTTATGCTTAAAGATGTAGTTTACAAGTGAGATGTGTAAATTTAAAGCACTGATTCTCTATAATGGCATCTGTAGATATTACACATGTATCTGCTATACAAAATAGCAAACATAAGGCTTCAGTTGCTTAGTCACTGGACATACTGTATATACAATTTGGGAATGATTTATCTGTTACAAATTTTGTATTCTCACCTGTCATGATCTTTTTCAACAAGATGATAACGAGCACGGAATGCCACTAAGTGTGCATAGTAGGCTGGTGCTGGGATCGACACGCTGCGTGTGCAGCGCACGTACGTGTGACACAATTGATATGTGAGTGTCTGAAGTGAATCAGCTGTGAATTCATTATCGTCCCACAGGACATGGTAGTGCGAAGGCCTACTTGTTCCCTGTAAATGTAAAAAGACAAGAAATAAGAAACCAAGGTAAATAGTGAATAATTGCATCAAGACATCACCAGAAATAAGATTAGAAATGACGAGAGGAATTGATCAATCAACCACATCAAGGCATGGTAGTGAGTAGCTTCAAGAACAATTAAAGAATGATATAATGTGTTTCTACACTAAAGTCATCCATACAGTACTTTGTAAAGAACAGAATCATGAGCATAAAACAAGCTACCACTTAACCCAATTTATTTGAAACAAAAATGTACACATCTGCCCCAATAATTGGATAATGTATCAATAAAATTCAATTTCAGTTTGGTCTCCTTTTTATTTTTAATGGTAGATTTGTTGATGTTAATAAATAGACCTAACGGAAGGCAGTTGCTTCATGTTAATTTATTACATGAAATAGAAATATAAATATCATTTCGAGATTAACTTTTGTTGTACCATTACATATCATTTCTATTGTAGTATACATCAAATGTATATTTCTTAAAAATTACCTTATCCTACAACAAAAAACTAAAGATTAGTTGCAAATAAAAAAAAAAAAAACGTTTCTAACAAGGATGCTCCCTCCAGCAAAACTGAGCATTACTCACCTGAATGCCAGCGTGACTGCATAGGAAGAAATCAAATTCGGTGGGATGAGTAATTCCGGTGTCTACTGTCGTACCGGGAGGAATGTTAAAGCTCTTGCCAGTCTAGAAACAAAACAAGCAACCAATTGAATGTTACTTCTCTGAAATTTCTTAGTAGAAATATATTCAGAAATGTTGAATCATGATTTTTCTATTTGATTTGAAATACAAGGAATTCTTATTACTGAATTATAATTATGACTATACATAGTATTAATAACAGGCCGACAGTAGTATTAATAATTAAAGTAATAAGCAAATAATATACAGGTAATTACAATCTATAATGTACAATGAATAGTAAATAATGATGTACATGCATTTTAATTAGTAATTACCGTAAATAATCCTATTAGTGTTGCTCTTAAACAAACACAAAATCAAACTTGATCTTTTTCTAAGCCCAAGATTTAAAAAAAACAAACAAAAAAAACAAAACACTGTGGCATAGCAATATATACTTATAAGCATTGCACTAAAACCTAAGAAAATTTAATAAGCACTACAGCACATTTTGAATCAACATGTCTTACTTGTTCTCGTTTATCTGCACAGAACAGCCTTGTGTGATGTCGTTTCTGTACCACTATGAGCGTAATACCTGGCTGGTAACCAATCTCCAAAGACATGCATGCCTCACGTAAAGCACGCAGCTCAAAATTAAGCACCTACATTGAGATGGGGAAAAATGATACATCAAATAAAAAAGAAAATACATCCTCGCAAAATATACTTTGTCCTTTAAAAAGTAAATTAAACCTATTTTAACATGTAAAATATTTAATTCTACCTTTTTATTTCATCATGCAGTACAATATATTTATACACAATAAATTATATATTTCTGTTAATTTCATTGTATTTATATTGACCGTTAGTACTTACATGCAGAAACTGGCCTTCACTGACACCATCTCGATACATAATGATCCTGGTTGGTTTGAATCTTGTTGACTTGTAGAACTGCATTAACAGATCTCGCACCATGTTTGCGAGATCTACAATGATTTCCTGCCTATGTTGCTGAACACGAACTGCGGCGCAGTAACGACTAGGATGAGCGTCCATACTTCCAACCACCTAAAGTAACAATACAAAATGTCAAGTAATATCTTGTGATCTATTCACATGGTCTAGTTAAAATGCTAATTTACTTAAGGGCAGTAACACAGAGTAAAATACGTAGGTAAGTAGTCAAACCTATAGAGGCAAGAGTACTCATCTCTCTTTAGCATTTTGACCAGCATATATTACCTTCCCAGCATATATTGGTAGCTATATATACTCCTAGGAAGAGAGGGACAAACGTAGATAAGGTGTGTTGCCCAGGGACACAAGCGACTCACCCAGTGATGGGTGACTTGAACTTAATAAAGGACCAAGGCTGTAGGTTGGTGGTGTTGGCCATTCAATCTGATTGAGAAATTATATAATATTTTTTTTTAATCTAAAAACAAATTCTTTCCCGGTCTCAAAAATTTCAATTTATAAAATATCACAGAGAAAAAATACACTTACTGCAGCTATTGAAGGCTTTTTCTCATCACCAGCTGGTGGGTGGGTGACATCAGCTCCTAAAAAGATTACTGGCTCTTGGAATATTGCTGGCCTGCATGCAAGAAACAAAAACAACACATACATTTTATCAATGGATCATAAAAAAGCTTGAATTACTATTATTGTAGAGTAATATACATGAATTTAAACATGAAAAGTAATATACATGAATTTAGTGAAAAGTAACATAATTCTAACACACATAAATTATTGATACTTCGGTAAATCATTGAATATTTCTAATCCTCCTATTTGAATAATGTTACAAGTCTTAAAAATGTTAATGTATAAATTTGTCATCTTTATCTAGGTACAGTATATGTATATACACCAGCAGCTTCACTGACAACTTTAAAATAGCTGAATCTATAACATACTCCAGTGCAGTATCACACTAGGTTGTCTGTCCTTATTTGGAGTTTTATACTCAGGAATATTTGACACTTGTGTTCATGAAAGTTATTTAAGAAAGTTAAGTTAAACTACTTGTAGGCCGTATTGCTTTGTTTGGTTGCGTGGTGTTCACAGCCCCCATCATAGTTGTGTGCAACCTGAAGCCCTAAATACCATACTTGGTAAGCTAGTTACTAGTAGCGAAATATCCTCACAAAGAATGGCTAATAACAATAATAATAATAATAATATATAACTGTCTTTAGTTTGACTGGGCTTAGTGTGTTAAAGACTCACCTTTGTTGAGGAACTAGGATATTGTTGACTCCACCTAATTTGACGTTGATTTTGAGGCAGAGGTTGGAGAGTGTTTGTGGTGAGGTCCTATTTACATTCTTAATCTGTACACACTGAGTTGCAATTCCTAGCAGTGTATCACCAACTCGTTTCACTTCAGCTAATGCAAAAAAATTTAAACAAAATGTAATTATGTTTTACAAGTAAAAATAAAGTTGGAATTACGAAATTTCCCTTGTAAAATTCAACATAAATTGTAACAGACTGTAACAGATGTTATAAGAATGGATATTTGAAGGAATCAATTTACCACCAATATTTATTATCTTCCAACACCATAATAATGTAAATAAACAGTGTCTATGTACAGTAATCATTGATAAATGTATAAAAATGATGACTATTTGATAATATAATGCTTGCAACAGATGTGCATATTGGAGAATAGAGAAACAAGGGGAGGGGTGGTAGAAGCCATGTTCTATCCCTCACCCCTATTTTTTCACTTTGTATATGATGTTTGCCATTCAAAAACCAGCGCTATGTCGCTAATTGTTAATCTGTGTAATTAGCATAAGAATGCGGCATACTTTAACACAGAGAAGCCATAATAGATTTTATGTTTTAGTGTAATAATTAACTTCCAATTTTAAACTGAGGAATTCTGCATATTTATTTGTATATTTCTGATGTTTGCATGTTTTACTGTCAAGGCCAAATGAGTTTCCCCATTGTGGGATTATAAAGTTTTATTGAATTGAATTGTATTAATACTTTTACTCATAACTTTGGTAAGTTGATTTCAGTAAATGACCCATCATTTTAAAGCTTACAATAGGGAGAATGAGATTATATTAAAAATTCAATTTTATATTTGGTCAATATGCTGGTTTTGGGATGGCAAGCCTCAAAGATAATCTATTAACATGCAATAACCATCGTTTAGTACATAACAGAATAAGACATGTTTACAGTACCATAAACTGGGGTTTTTCCAGGCAAGACCACTATGATTAACTGCAGCCCATGGAAGTTTGCCTTGAGATGCCGAAACATGGGCTCAACTTGATCTGCGCCACTCGCGTACTTGCAAAAACATGGCTGACCCATTATTGGCATTCCAGCATCATTAGATATTTTTTGCAAATGCGATGTGAAATTCCTGCAAGTAGAAATGAATAAAATATTTAACAAACATCATCAAATATAATATACAGACATACTGTAGAGGTTGAGTTAAAGAAGAAGAAAATAACACTGCAATAAGTATAGTACTCTAACAATAATAATATATCTTATAAGGTGCATGTATTAATCTCAAAGCATCAGAATTTCACACACCAACTCCTCTGAATTAACTTACGCAGATAACAAGCCACTAACCACCAAATTATATGGACTGAAGTGATGGTTGGTAATGAACCCTAGAATGTGATTGTGTGAGGTGGCGTCTTACCTGAGTGCATCCTCTCGACACTGATGCTGAGGTGCGAAGCATGCGATGGCCCACACACGAATCTCCACGCCTGCATGAAACTGTTTACCACGCATATCCCACACGCCACCATTTGGAAATGCTTGTTGTAGTGACTAGTTAACAGAGATTAATAAAAATATGTTCAATATTACATTATTAGTGCTTCATCATGGCCCCAACATAAGAAAAAAACAAAAAAAAACAAAAACATTAGGGGACTAATTATATGACAAACTGTGACAAATTAAAAATTGTCAGTTACAAGATCACTTAAAATCTTTAGTTTCTCTGCATATTCACATATTCTCATATTTTATCAACATTATACTCAAATATAAATTTCATAGTCATTTGAATAATAATTCACATACGCACAGGTAATGACACATACGCTGAGCTAATACATATCACTGTAGTAACTGACGACTGCAGTTTGATTAAAAAAAAAAAAGCCATTATTCCCTTCAAAATTGCCTTCACCTCTAAGCTTTCAGTTGATTTTTTATATAATGCATTCTACTTCTGCACTCAGAACTTGACTATAACTTCATATTAATGAATAAACAAATCAATACTAATACTACTTAATCACAGCAGGCAATATTAAGCAGATACTCACCCTTCCACCATATTGGAGTTTAGGTGGCTGGAGTACTCGACCTTGCACTTGTGTCATCTCCTTACAAATGCTAATTCCAAATTCACGAATAAATGGATCTTCATTGAACTTTGCCCTTTGAAGCTGATAGAAATATAACCATGCTATCTTTTATAAATCCATACATTGAGATCATACCTAAAATACTGTATATCTAACTAAAAAGACCTTTTGTTTGTTATTAACTATATGAAAAAATTATAAAAACAGTTAAGAAATTCATTGATTGTTTTCAAATATGGGCAAATTACAATTAAATATTAAACAAAATATAGTAAATGATTTCAGCAAAAACATCATATGGACCTGTTTATTTTGAGTTGAAAAGACTTTCTCATTTGGATTTTCTAATCTACTACCCAATTTTCGATATGTGATTCTCTTGTAAAACAACAGTTGACAATTGGTATAAATATACAAGAAAATAAGTCTCAGTATTATGTTATTATATTATAATAACATAATACTGAGACTTATTTTCTTGTATATTTATACAAGAAAATAAGTCTCAGTATTATGTTATTATATTATAATACTTGTCCTTGTTCCATGACAATATTGCAAAATAAGTAGAAACTTACCAAGTTATTAATTTCTTTTTCTCGGTTCGGTGCATTGCGAGCAGTTGCCTGCAAAAGAAAATGTTTAAAAACGGTTTACAGTAGCTCAAATTCAAATTTATTTTTTTGAATCATTAGGTTTACTGTAACACAAATCTATATATTTGGGATTCTGCTCTTCATGTTATAGTAAGTATAGCTTTTATAAATCCTCATACATTTTGAATTGCATAAATAAAAGAAAAAAAGGCAATACCTTAATCATGGTGGACGTTTGACTGTCGGTCAATTTCTTGATGCAGCGCTGACCTGGTACTATGTTGCAAACCTTATAAAAGGAAAGTATAAATATTTATGAATTTAAGATCTTATATTTAGTCATTTTTTGCATCTTTATAGTTTTTTTTCCATATTTAAGTATCTTAAGGTACTTACTTCAAGTGGGAGATACGTGTGTCTTAACTCCTGTCCTACTTGTAAACATGGTAAGTGAGGATATCTGAAATAAATTTATAATACAGTAAACCAACTAATAAAATATAAAGTTCCCAGCCAATATACAAAAATTCTTTGCACTCACTTGTAGCTCCCATTTTTAACAAGAGTTTGATGAATTTTATACTATACACATATTGCAGACGTGTGCATGACAACAATTGTAGGATGCTGTGTAAATAAATTGCACTGCACCGCGGAATATTTTGTTGCTGTTATGCTTTATGTAAATAGGCCTAAAAATGATACTACTGGTGCTGTCTTATACAATACTACTTACTGCAGCCTTATATGATATTTCTCCATAAAATATCTGCCTACTGTGCAGTCCACAGTCTGTCCAGTGTCAAGCTGAAGTGGGAATCTATAAAGCAAATCATAGGTAATGAGGAAAATGTAAACCATATGTTCAAAATAAAATTTCTATTTTACACATATCCATATGCATAAATGCTTGATTAAAAGATTTAAAACCTGGAAAGATTTAACCACATACAAAAAAGCATAATTTGTAGTGGGTTTTCTTCTTGTATCTGTCTTCTATTTTTTAATTATCAATTTGTTCATAAGGATATTATCAATCATTTGTTTAAATGATTGAATAATTGATTGATTGGTTAATGGTCTTTTAACAGTTATCATTATCTTTAAATATTGTAGCCCTTTTATAACTGAAATATATTTTTGTTCTTTTGTCAATGGATTTTAATAGAATTTTGATGTAAATACTTTCTTTCTTGATTAATTTTTACTGTAGTTTTGTTTGAATTGTACTATTTTTTGTGAGCATTGTAATTTCTTCGTTTTTAATGGAGACAATAAATTTCATCTTGTATCTTGTATCAATTGACAGAATAGGATGACTAACTTACGTCTGTGTTTGTGCTGGCCTTCTTGTCACATTGCAGACTCTGTATTTTCTTCGCATTGATCCACAATGTGTTATTTCAATTTTGAGTCCTTTGAAACAAGAAAGTTTAATCTTAAAAATATTGAAATATTGAAATATACAGAAGCTTTCAGTCATAATTATCTAAATTCATCTATATTTATGTACTACTATATAATTTATTTACTTTAAAATTGATGATTATTTATTTTTATATGCTTCCTATAGCACCCATATATAAACATATTTCATAGGGCTGTTTCTTGAGCACTTAGTAACTTGAAAACAATAGACTTACACCCCAAATTAATGAATAGTAAATTTTAGATGCTAATATAAAACATAAACAATCTTGATTGTAAACATACCCCGTATCTCTTTGGTAAATTTGACTCTTGAAGAATCTGAGAGTGGTCTCCTCTCATTCAAATCCCTCATGTCCACTACATCGCACATGAAGTCAATGACAGACTGGGCTTTGTAGAACGCAGTTGCAGACACTAAGGATAAAACAATCATGACCAGGATAAAAAAAAAAAAAAAGTAAGAATACACAGGTATCATTAATCAAATTATTATAACAGCAATGAAAATCATTCTTCACATGAGTTCTTATGTAAACATACATTCAAGGATGTGTTTACAATTTGACCCCCAAAACAGGTAAAGGAACACACCAAACTCTTCTTCTAAGACCTTCTACCTCTTTGGATTATAGGCCTTTGATTGCCACAGGTGCCTCCCTGCCCAAACAATAAAAAAAAAATCCTGGAGCTGCCACAGTGGCAGCATTGCTACTGTACTGTAATTTCATTGTGATGATTTGATATAAAATGAAATAGACACAAATGTGTTGCTTACCATCAATGTTCAGCATCATCTTCCACATGGAAGGACGGACACTCTGATGAAATCCAAACCACACCTCTCTACCGCCACCTAGTGGTGGATTGTAACTTTCTGGCGCTGAGAAGAATGATCGTCCTACTGGGGTATACCTTCAGATATAAAAGCAATAACACGTTTTCAAACAGACAATGTCGACCTATCAAAATTTGAATGGCTAAGCTCAATTTTTAATTTATCTAATTTTATATCTATCAGGACACTAGGGGAGGAAAATAAGGGGCAAAAAAGGGATGATAAAAAGGGGAAATGAGACAAACCTTAGAATAATTTACTGCACAAGTTTTTTTTCTTGCTGACATGTAGCTTCACCAGTTGTGTGATGGAACAATGTTATACTCATAGAGCTGAATAGGCGACAAAGCAATGCAGATGGCCGCTGTAGGAAAGCACCACTTTCAGGCTCAGTATACATATTTTAACCATAAATAAGCCCTCTGACCAACTATTATTTCATTAAACATTATTATTAATAATATTATTGAACTATCGTAGCCAAAAAGAGGTCAAGTGGAGTATCTGATTAATTAGTACTGAGGAATGAAAATCAAAATCGTATACACAACACTGCAACGCTTGAGTTTCAACATAGCTGTATTTAAAACTATGCCAGCCATCTTGTATGGTCCACACACAGCAATGCATATTTTAAACATCAAAGTTAGCACTCTAGTTACTGTCAGAGATCATCTTATTCTTCTTCTTTCTTTCTCCCCAATTCTTGTTTGCATGATATCTGAAAATTGGCACAAGCTACGTACATGCGCGCTTCAACAAACATTTGGCTTGGCCTGGAATAGTCACAATAAGCTTTTCAATGTGCTCAGTCATGCGTGACATCATCTACACACAATTTTGCATTTTTACATTATCAATCATATCTAAACAATTGTCATTTCTAAATCATATTCAGTGGGCATAAACTTCAGGTCAAGGTTGAATATCATGTACCGAAATATTCCGTGTGCGCGTCATAACGTGCACGCACGGGTGCGTCAAAAATTTAAAATTGTCAAAATCTCTTTTTGACTAAATTAGAGCAAATTTCAGGCCATTTTGAGCATTTCAAAGGACATACATACAGAAAAAAATCTGGCAAATATATAACTTACGTCATGGAAGGTAGGTGTCGCATCACTACATCAATAGCCTGTATTGCATCATATGGAATTAAAGAGATACGTCCTTCGAGGGCTTGCTCTAAGCTTTGTAAGCTGACCTTTGCTACGTACTTCATTGATATCTTGAACGAACGATCCCGTCCTTCACCCGGTAGCGAAACCTCCATCTCTACCTATCATAAAGTCCCAAAAAACAATTCACATTTTTTTTCCTAAGTACAATTACTATATTTGTATGAAATGTTGCTTGAGAAGATGTTTGACCTTTGTTATTGGAGGTCAGTAGGTTGCTACACCACAGTCAGACTGCAGGAGAAAAATACCCCTGTAATTTTTGGCCAAATTTAAGATGTTCTGAGAATGTATTATAAATGATGAATTCCAAAAATGTATGTATAATCTATCCTGGCCTGCATTGTGGCCAACAGGTGGGGTTGGGGAGTGGTAAATTAATCTCAAGCTTTCCCAACTACTACTGGTAAATATAATGGTATTTATTCAGAACAAAATCAATAAAAACATAAGACAACTGTGGCAATGTCTGTGGTGTGAAAAGGAGTCTTCATGAAATCTGGAATGCAAATTAATGTTTGCAAGATTCTCTACTGCCAATGATATTTAAAAACATTTTTTTTTTGCCAGAGAAAGTATGTCCATTGAATCAACAACAGACAGTTGCTGTTTAGCAAAATCAGAATAGATAACTATCAATGTTTATTCAACTATATTTCTGATGGTAGCTCTTGCAATGAAACGCTATGATACCCAATACAAATGTACACGTCAAACCACTGATAAAAAAGAAAATATTTTATAATGTCAAAACAAATTGTGGATTGCATGTGTTTTGATTGTAGATGAGAGTATTTGCCAAGGTTATGAGAATGTTTTCAGTTTGTAATGTTGAAAAGCAAACACACAAATGACATACCGGGTCATTTCCAATCGGTAATGGTTCCTTCGTATACAAGTTCTTTCTTCCATCAAAAACTGGTCTCAGATTGGCAAATATTCTTGGAGAGCATTGTTTGACCAGTGTTTCTATGACCTCTCTAATAAGAAGAATAAAAAAAGAAATAGGTAAATATTGATCAATGATAGTAGGTGAGGTGCACAAGTGAAATGTCCCCATGTGTCAAAATTGCAAAATTCATTAAACAATAGACTCTAAAATAGCTATTATGATGGCTATTTTTAGCTTTCCTCATCCTCCACTATTAAAAAAAAATCCTGTTTGAAGGGTTTTTTAGGATATAGTCAATGAATAAAAATCATAACATAATATTATATAAACCACACTGGCAGTGATAATTAAAGGTCGTAAAGGTCATAATTATCAACATTTTCGCAAGTGTACTCCTCCCTCCTCTCTGAAATGTACTTAAAAAATGCTTATTTTGCAAAACCATTTCTCCATTTTTTTGTGAAGTCAGCTAAAAGTACTATAATTCTTGGTTACATAAAAGTGTATTATTTAATCCATGGTTGCATTATAATTGGTCATCAAAATCTATTATTTTAAATACTGCATGTTATTTGTAATTACCACTTTTATGCAAATATATACAAAAGTGTACATATTTGTCTACCGCATCATATATCATACTGTTTGTACACATTGTGAAAATGATGATAATTGTGAACGACCCCTTACTTTATCTTTCAATCTATCGTGTAATTGACATGATGTATCGTTGAAGAAATTTAAATTTATTCTATAACCGCCGAAACAGAGATATAAATTACATAAAAAATTCATTCACTTAGGAATCAACATATCAAATAAAAATGCATAACAAAACACATTAAAATACTAATGGAAATCACACGACTAAGTTGAGAAACATTTCACTGAAATATAAATTTTAAAAATTGCAGATACCTGTTAACTCTCCTTGGACATTTGTCTGGTGTAATTGTTATATCATAATGATATATTTCGCCTCTGGGAATACGGATTTGAAAGTGATTTGCACGCAGTACGATGGGACGGCCTTCTGTGCCAACATTCGGCCTTGTTGGGCACGGTATCTCCTCTAAGGGAGGGGAAGGTACAGGGCTATCAGTCGTGGAGGTGGTACCCGTAGGGGGTGTTGTGGGAGGCATGGTCTGTTCCGGAGGGCTCGGCGGTAATGGTAGAACTGGCGGTTGAACTGTTTGCGGTGATGTAGCTGCGGACAATAAATAAAATTCATGAAACAAATGATAAAATCATCACCGTTACAACACCATTGTTATTTTCAATTGAAAGAAAAGTCAAATGTAAAATGTATGCCTTATACCTTAATTTGACCAGTGCTACAGTATAGTTACATAATATTGAAAATCATCATCGTCAATATTATAAATCTGTTGACCTATTTATCAAAATGTTTGTGTATAATAATACTATAATATTTAATTATTTACATTATATAACCATAAAAAAAAATATTCCTATTTCGAATAGAAAATGAAAATTTTGGCTGGACCCCTTGTGACTGCTGGTAGCAACAATGCAGCATCAGTACTGACAGGTAACAGATACACTGTCCCTTAATATCACGCTCTATTCTCATGGGAGGGTTATTCAGGTAGCCTGCTATCAGACTACAATGGCAAAGCCAACCAGGCTTCACCTGGAGACTTCCGTGCAAGAACTGGGAGTCACTATCTTTGATAATGCAGTCAGTGCCACCATGGTGCCACTGAGTGATTTTCTTGCCAATTAACGTTAATATTTTATCAATGGCAATTATAATTATATTATTATAATGTTTATCAAATAATGCTTCTAGGAATATGCAAGCACCATACGCAGCGTCTCTCATCCTGGGTAGAATCCATTCATCATTCACGCATCACTTTGTATCATTCAATGCAACATCTAGCAGTAGGCTGATGGAATGGCAAACAAAAGCAAGGTCTACAATAGGAAGGAACACATATATCACATAAGGTATTTCCCCAATGTTGTTCTAGGGTTAATTAAAAGAAATGTAAGAGAAAGCATGCAGACAATACAGCCATTTCTGGCACGATTACTGAATCTGAGGGAGCTATGTATACAGTAGAAAAATAAGGCAGGATTTTGCTGACTCAGGTGATGAAAGTAATTGTAAATTAAACAAAGGAAATGGTACTGGACAAAAATTTCCATATATTAACACTACCTCAAACATAGATGATGAGACTCCAATTTTTTATTGATCTTAATATTTATATGCTATTACTTTCTAATGTACCAAAAAATGGTCAGTAGAGAATCTAAGGCATGGACTCAAATCATCTCATCTTGGACAAACTGCTAGCCTAGGATTTAAGATAACTTTATTCTCAATTAAATATACCAGAAATTCATTTGAACTGAGTGTGCACCCAACCAAATTTAAAAAATCGCAATAACCTATGGAAAAGCTATAGAAATTAAAATAATAATTAAGACAAATTTAAAAACTCTAAAAGAGTTAGCATTAAAAAATCAAAAGGCTAAGCAGGATGAAACACATCTCAAGAGAGATACTGTACAAGTCTTGTAAATCAGTGTTTTTTCTACAGCCCACTGGGCATCTAAATGACTAGATACTTGACCATACTACTATCGTAGAGCACACAAAATGCAGGCTGGCTAGCCCACAGCATTTTTGCTCAATTTTGTATGTCCAGTTAGTACTAAAGTTGACTCAGATTTACAAAATAGGCAGCAGTCACTTCTGTTAAGTTTTAAGATACAAAAGGTAACATGACAGATGTACACAGTTGTGAATATAATAATAATAATAAAAATAATAATAATAATAATAATAATAATAATAATAATAATAATAATAATAATAATAATAATAATAATAATAATAACAACAATAATAATAATATCAATAATAGGCCTAATATTAATAATAATAATAATAACAATAATAATAATAATAATAATAATAATAATAATAATTATAATAATAATAACAATAATAATAATAATAATATTAATAATAATAATGCTTGACTTGCACTTCATAACCGCAAGCGAAAGGCGCAATATTAATATCCATTACCAGTACCAGTACATTCACTATGCAATAATTAAATTAATTGGAAACAAATATAAACATTTAAGTAACAAATCTCTACAGACAGTCTGTTGAGATTTAGGCATGTGATAATCACAATGTAAACAATACAGTTCACAAGAAATACTATAATACAGTGTAGGCCTGAGTTAAGTAAATCTAATAATTATTTGCCTTTCAAGATTTCCATAAGTTCATATTCAATTATAAAATACAAATGAAATGAGTATAGTAGTACCTTCTTTAGACTAACAAAATTTATTGTGACACAAGCTTTCGCTAGCTTTAGCTAGCTTCATCAGGTGAATGAAGTGGAAAACACAGGATCAAACTGATCCTTCAAGTTAAGCAAATGAGCAATATAAACAAAATAACTAGCCTTTCGTACCTGTTGTAGCAAAATTAAATGTTAACTCCTCACAAGTACTATGAAAGCAGGATAAAAAAAATTGTAGTATTTTATTTTACTTTGGTGAGCCTATGGACGTCTGTACATGTGTGTTTCATCATTTCTAATTCTGACAAAGGTTTTCCCCATGTGGTATTTATAGCTTGTTTTTCCGAACAATACAGGAAACAACAGAATATAGATAGTACTTTCAAAATATCTGTTTTGGTGGTATGTGGTAGCAGTGATCAACAACAATCTGTAGTTATAGTGCCGGTATCTGTCTTGTGACGTTCATGGCGGAAAAATAAACAAAAAACAAAAAACAAACAAACAAAAATGATTGATTCTCACCCTCTATCACTGACCAATATTTAGCTTTCTCCTTTTTATTTCTTGCACATTACATTAGTGTGTACAAGTGAAGTAATAAAAGTACAGTAAAAAACCCTCTATTTTTTCAATTTGAAAGGGAAACAAAATATTGAACAGTATAAATCTGGTACTCAGTCATAGAGTAGATGAGGGCCTTAGCAGTTATCAAAAGTCTATTTATAGACTTAAACTTCCATACAAAACTACCTACCATTTTTACTTGATTTCAAGCAGACAAAATGATTACCATTGGTGAATTAATAAAAGTACAGTAAAAACCCTCTACTTCAATCTAAAAGGAAAACGAAATGTGACAGACCAACTCTGCCAAAACCCTTTTGTACCCAAAACGTTTGAAAATCGAACTTCTGTAAATTTTCAGGTTTTTACATTTTATAAAAGAAGATATACTGAAGAACATTTATGCAAAATATCAATCACTAAATCTACAGTAACTAAAAAGTTTATTAAAATTATTTTAAAAATACAAATCTTAATAATAAACTATTGATTTTGTAATCTTTGGAAGCTGTTTTCCCAAACCTACATAGCTTATATTCAATGAATTAAATATTCATAACTTTGCTAATACTCAACCAATTCTCATCAAATAAACATTGCTAATAAAGAATCAAAATACCAAAAAACCAATTTTGAATTTTTCCTACAAACGGCTGGTTTTGCCAGAGCCAGTCACATATCCGAAACTAATATATCCATGGGTATGCAATCCACAAGTATTTTCCGGTCAAAATTCCAGAATATATTATAATGAGTAGCTCAACTGAATTTTAAGAATTACCATCAGTATAAAATCAAAGATTACTGGAATTTTGAATTGGGCATGTAGTGTTGGCACATTGACATTGGTACATGTTGAATAAAGCATACAGGCTGTGTTCACATAGCAAAACCTCCCTAGACATAGGTGCAAAAACATCCCATAAACTTGACTAAAGTCCAGGTAATGATTCCAAAAAATCAATTTAGAGCGTTTTCATAGAATTTAATGGATTGGAAGAATTGTATTGCTTGTAGGGGTTTCCAAACTGAGTGAAATTATCTCGACAAAAATCAATATTGAAATTCAATATCATATCACATAAAAATAAAGACAGTATCAAAAAATGGTTTCCAGATTGTTTTTTCTTTATAATACAAAATGTTCAATATTTATATTCAAAATATATTTTTTCGTTTTATCAATATTTACATTTTGAGGTCACAAAAAAAAAAAAACCACTGGCAAATTAATGTAGGCAGGCGGTTTTATATTGTACCCTAGCCAAATGTACAACATATCGGAGCTACAAATAGACCCATGCAATCTATGTGACATCACAGTACTGCTGTTGGCACACAAACATGTAAAACCAGATTTTTTTAAAACCTACCACATGGTCTTTTAAATCTCTTTCCTAACAGCTTCAACAGTATTTAAATATATAAACTCACCAGGTAACTTATAAAACTCAAGTAAATTACAGTACTGAGACAACAATACGAAATTGGCACATACCCGACCGATCCCAGATGGTACCCACAGTTTATATTAGTTCTTAGGAAGTGCTAAGCTCGTTAAAGAACGTGGGCCTACTGCAGATATAAAGCTTGATGACAAATGAACACCTAAAATAGATCTCTAAAATATTTATTTCATATAGAAAAAGTACAGTATTTTGGAACCAATTAAAATAATTGAATTAAAATGGGAGTATAAATCAGGCTATTCACAATAATTATCTTAATACTGTATATTAGCAGCAGTATGAATACAGTAGTTTCCAGAAACTAAATTTTCTGGTGGTGATTTCACCATAAGAGAAAGAAAATTATTTCTTTTCTCTGTTTTGATATTTCTAATGTGTTAATTTGCATGTATTTATAAACTTTATAATTCTGTATTTTTATATTGATGTTTTTTTTGTTTTTTTTAATACTGTAATTGTGTAATTCTTGAGCAACGACTTTTTCTCAATGTAATTTCCTTTTTGGACAATAAATTTGAATTTGAATTCACTGATCAATTCAACAATCCTTTAAAGCATTTTGCTTTAAAAATACATTGGTGATGATAATAATTTTATAACATTCTTATGTTAATAATGTGCAACCTTCACTTGCTATGAAATCAATTGAATTGATTTTACTGTTTGTATAGCCTCAAAGGTGAGATTATAACAACAACACTAGACCTTTTAAACTCAAATTCTCAAAAGAAATTAAACAAGGACAATGCTATTGTCTGTCACTGACAAAGGCCAAGAACCAAGCTGGCCTGGCCTTTGAACTATCAGATCATATACAGTAACAGGCTTGGTTGCATGGGTTTTTAGCTGCCTCTAGTGCAACTCACATTAAATTTAAAGGTATCCCTTCCACATTTACCTTTAACTTTCAGAAAGAAACTGGTAATGGATGCATTGCTTTGTAATTATGGCCATTCATAGAATCAAGAGCCCATGATGTTAAATTTGTTCACATGCTTATTTAGATCATGGACATGGTGAATGGCTGACATGGGGGTGCGTAACTTTGTTCCCTCCATCTGTCTCCTCAACCTGTATAAGATATCTTGTAGGTAGGTACATTGCATTACCTACCTACGAGATATCTTATAGGTAGGTAATGCAATGTACCTACCTACGAGATATCTTATAGGTAGGTAGGTACATTGCATTACCGGTATGTACAGTATAAATTCCCCTACAAATCTGTATTAATTAAAGATGCCAAAGAAAACCAATTTTACTTGAAATTCTTGAATCAAGATGTAAACTCTTTGGACACTTACAGACAAGACCTTAACACCTGCAAATTAATATGGCAATCAAATATAATTTTAAAGAAACATCTTTCAAGAAATTTAAAGGAAAACAGTAGAGACCCTTTTACAGTCACTCAATTATGGAATATACACACAAAAAATTCAGATAAAGTACAGTAAACTGTTAAAACTTCATACTACTACTGTATAACTTGTAGCAAATATTAAAATGAACTCCTTTTGATTCCATACCAAGTGAATGACAATTTTATCAAGTCATATAAATTTCGATTTCACCCTTTCTTTATGAAAGAGTGCAATCAAAATTTGAATATTTTATCCATTTTTATAAATATAAAATAATATAATAATAATAATAATAATATCTCATTATCTCCCCTCAGTAATAGAAAAAGTATGTTTGATATATTTCTTTTTAAATGTTTAAATTTGAGCACTATTTGATTGCTACCTATGTTCTTTATTTCCTCTGAAAGTTAATAGGCCCAACTCACAAAATAGAGACTTGCTTTTAATTCCATAATAGAGTAAACTGTACTAGAAATGGATTTATTCATAGGCTTGCTTTACATTACAGTACAATAATATTTCTCAGTTAGACACCACGATTGATGTATTCCACCTCAGTTTATCAATATTTAAAGGTAAAGTTTTTAAAGTTGAATTTAAATAGTTTCTTACTTGTATATTGTACTGATGTTTTAATATTCCTTCGATCTTTTATGTATTTTAACACATTCATTTTATATAAGACATCCTGTTATTAATCTTTGGCTGTTGGATGTATCATGAAATAAAGAAATAAACTTAAGTTAATACACACTGTTAGTTAATTTTATATACTTTAGCAGAAGCCAGAATGTATAGTCCTGAGTGGAAAATCCTCCACGCAACAATTTGCCCTAGAAATCCGATCACGCATTTCAGAAAATAAGGGGTGATTTCCATGCACATTTTGCTGAAAATTAATGTTATTAAAATAATTACAACTGGTACAATCCTGCACACCTATGTTCCCAGCGATTTTCAATGCAAATTTGATCTGGTTTATGGATGTATCATCAGTGAAACAAAAAACTTTACAGTATGGAGTTTAGGGCAGAGAAAAAATTATTAGAATCACTCTTTTAAAAAAAAAATTAATCTGAACAATAGATTATTTCGCTTTTGTTTTTATTGATGAGGGAGGGACTGCTTGTAGGCCTATTTGGTCTTAGTAAATATTGTATAAAAACTGGTTTAATTTTGTAGTTTTTTAAAGAAAATGTATTTGAAGTCACAAAATTACATTGTTGAAATAATTGATGCCGCAAAAAAATTTTTTTTTTATTCCCGCATCAATATTTCCTAAATTTCTTACGCGGACGGGCGTGATAATCTAATAAATTTTTCTATTTGCCCTTAAGTAGATTGACTAATCATAGGCCTATACTGTATGTATTAAGTATTAAAATATGATTGATAATTAACATATTATTAAAATAGGCCTATACCATTATGATGTAGGTCTGCCTGGCCCTAGACCTCCTGAAGCAGCCTTGGCCTAGGCCTAGATGATGATGATGATTATTAATTTGGTTGATCCATCAGTTCTGCAACTTTACAGTACATACATACAGATTGTTAAATAAATTAAAAGGAATAACAAATACGGCAAATTCAACATACGACAATATACACAAATAGGATATCTACCATTTCAAAGGAAGGCTAAAAAGACGAATCGCAGCAGGTGTTTTACTTAATCTCTTAGGCCTAGGCTCCCAATCCTATGTTTATGCCAGGGAAAGGTAGGTAAGTAGGCCAAGGCCTCCCATCGAAGCTCATCACGTCATGTCAACAACAATCTCACCCTCATTCCCACCCACCAAAATTGTGGTGTTCTGGCTTACAATGTTCTTCCCTAAATATGCATCAACATACCAAACGGTGCAACTGGTTGAGATCTTTGACGCTGAGGAAACATCGTTAAAAAAGTTTAGTTCTTACAGTGGGTTATTTGATGAAATGTATCGGTGGTTCAACGCCTACCACCACCAGCTAATCTCCGCGTACAGCTGCAAGCAGAGGATCGATCCTATGTTGGGCAGCCATTTTTCACAGTGTAATTAAATTGTATACCTATGAATTAATAACACATTATTTATCAATATAAGTGCAATATTATAAGATAATAAATTTAAACTAAACTCCTAATATATATTTATTTTATTTTTAAACCTTTTCGTAATTTTTGATGAAATAAAATTATATGGTAAACATGCAAATTATAGAAACTTAACAAATGACATTTAATAGCTGTTAGAGGGCAGCATTTAATTCCGCGAAATTCTGACAAACTTGAATTTTTGATTTGTGATGTTGTTTTTGTCACGTCTAGACTCTTCGTCGAGGGTTGATCAGAAGCAAAGGGTATTATAAGTCAGGAGTTTCTGCTGGGTGACTGACAGTTTTGGTTAGTCCTACAGCATTTCGTGTTTGAATTTAGAATTAGCCATTAATTCATTTTTGAATTGAAGTTTGTAAGTGTGTTCAGATTCAGCAATGTATAATTAATTATAGGCTACTCTAGGGTAGTACACTACTAGGATAGGCCAGTTTAGAATAGTAGTAGGCTAGTTTAGCGTAGGCCCCAGGCCTAGCCCATAATTAGCCGAGTAGCTTGGATGGATGAAAGTGCACAGAAGCGGTCGGACAATGAAGCTGCAGTACAGTAGGCACCAGTGTGTACCTCCGCCTGCCCCTGAATTCGATCCCGCTTCCACAATCAACTCTAAATAGAAAAAAAAATGTTTCAATATAAAAGTAGTGGATATGCACAACAAATTCATACTCACTGAAGTATTTTAATTGATGATTGAGAATACAGATCATTTCGGTCGCGCCTTCATTTCGGTTGTGCCGTATAGTTATGCATTTCGGTCGCGATAAACAGCCGCAGTACTCAATAGTGCATTATGTTTGTAAATTAATTTTTAAAGGGTTCTGTATTTTTAAAGTTATTTTATGCGTGTGTTTCAGACTTGGTACAGTATTATGTCTTTTTTACAATGCTTGACTATCATATGCCTAATACTTTCTGTTTTTTTTTAGTATGATTGTTGTTTAAGTTTTATACGATAATTGCTATTAATTACAATTAATTTGAATATACTTTTAGTGTGTTCTTTTTCTTCTTACAGATCCAGAAGTGAAAAGTCAAGTACAGTGCATATTTCTATTTATCAATTTCTGAATTATTCATAATAAAGGCCTAGGACCATTGTTATGATTATGATTTAATTTGTTTAATCAAATATACTGTTATATCAGAATATTAAAATATATGTATTTGTACATTTCATTTAAACTATATTTTACAATTTATTTGTGTATTTTTTTTTATAAGTATGATCATCAGATAGATGTTTCGAAGTTAATGGACTAGCAAGAGTGATTTTGTCGGGCTTATGAATATAAAAGAAGCCTGAAATGGGCCATTAAAATTTACGGTGTTTATATTATAAATATATTGAAAATTTTATATAATTAAAATAAATATGAAAATACTGTATATTTCCTTCATTTTCATTCATCATATATCATTCAGTATATGTTCATTTATTCAAATTGTAAACATGATCAGAACATTCAAAATGTAAATGGAAACCTAACAGACAAGAAAACTAATCTATTGACTATTTACTCCATAAATCTCAATTCAATTTAAGCATTAGTAAAATATGTATCGCAACAAAAGTTAAAGAAAAACTTGTCTCAAACCATGTTGACTTTGCAACATTTGCGTTGTTTCTGTAAAAAAAAAAGAAGAAAAATAACACCAAGTGATAAATGTAATATTAATATACTGTAATAATAAACTATAATATTATAATACAGTATTAAAATATAAAATTGTTAGTCAACTAATGTTTGATTTTGTGTTTATAAAAATACAATACTTCTTTAGCTCCCTTGTTCCAGATTCGCGGTCACATCTTTCGACGCGCCATACACCGCGACCGAAATGAAGGCGTGACTGAAATGATCATATACAGGCCTTACCCACCCTGATACCTCAAAACTAACTTAAATTTGCACAGAAAATCACTATTAAAATAGGTGCGCAGAGTCGTTACTACTGCATAATACATTGGTTACAGTATATACTAAGAATAGGTCAAAGCCTAGAGTTGAAAAAAAAATGTATAAAGTATACATTACGCTAATTATTATAAACCATAGAAAAATATTGGCATAAATTTTAGTACTACGCAAAAGAATTTAAAAAAAAGAGAAATAGGAGATTACCAGTTTCTTGACGACTACTAGGCAAAATCAGAGGTAGTACAGTAGATCGCATCCGCTGGAATGCAGTCGCTTTTGTGTATACTTTATACAGTAAAAAAATTGGGTCCTTTCGTGTCTGTACTACCCGGTAACCCGGTACCAGCAACTCTCGTAATCCACCACAGGGGCTGTCTGTTCCAGTACACCGGGGTATCCCCCTACTCGTCTCGAAGGATGTACTGGGTTCTTTATAGTGCCACGAGCCATTGTATACACTGGCCTACAGTTTATAGTCGCCTACAGTTTATAGTCCTTATCCGAGAAGGATTGTTCTACCACCAGATCCATATGCGAGCGTGCCGTTTGAACCAGCGCCAATATTATGGCCATAGCTTGCGGCGCCCCTGCTAACCACTCGGCCATTCGACTCACCACTACAAGATTATTTTTTGTACTTCGCATCTCGCACACTGTTGTCGATTGAGTAGGTGTGAGATATGTTTGTTTAATTGTCAAAGTCTCTGTGAGAATCATTTTTTTACAAATTCCAATGAAATATTATATTTCACAAGTGTGAATACTAGCAACTGAAAATATCATGTCGGCCGTTTTTATGTGTGATAACAGAACTTAAATCGAGGTAAGGCTAGGCCTAGCCGAGCAGTGTTGGATAGGCTAATATTTCCAGCGCCTACTATATTTCTTTGCACACCTATCACAAAATTAAACATAATAAATTCTATATTTTGTGTGGAACACAAAAAAAAATCAAATTTCAGTCTTTCCTTCAGTCTCTTTCATGATGTCTAAATTCAGTTAAAGTAGCAATTTTGTATTATATTTATAAATCTTTATAACATATATAAACATCAGATTTTTCTTAACTCAAATTTTGCCGGAAATGGGGCTTTAATTTAAATGATAGCATATACTTGTAATAATTCTTTTTTACAGGTCACCAAATAAACAAATGGAGAAAATGAAATGTGTTAATACTTAATTATAATTTCAAAGACCTGTAAAATAGAGTTATCTTTTTATAAGTAATGCTGATCTACAATGAATTTTTATGTTTTTGATGTTTTGCTTTTTTTGTTATTACATTTTAGTGTTGGCACCTATTTATCACAATTTTGTTACTGTACCTTCGCAAACACTGTCTCATGTCAGACACATACAATCACAGGTAAGATTCAGGACAGATCCTCTGTGTTACTAAGTACAAGTCTCCCTCCAATTAAAGACTACTTTTGGGACTGGAGTTTTCATGGTCTTTAGCAGCTTTGGTCTCAAAATTGGGAAAATTATGTTTAATACAAATAACAGATAGATATTCATTTAGGGCCATAGTCTTAAATTGAGGTGGTCTTTAATCAGAGGAGTACCTGTATTTATATTATATTATTTAAAATATGTTGGTGTATTGATATTCATTGAGAATATTTATTACAGAAATAAGGTAATGCACCAACTAGAATTCGTTCTAAAAACTTAAGTTGCTGTTTTTAAGTGAACTTCTTCTTTCATCATTCATATTTTACAACCTCAAATTTTGCTCCACTTTCCTGTTTTGTTTTCTTTTCACTTTTCTTTATTTGTGTTGCTTTTCTTTTTCTGCCACTTTCTTTTCCATTTCAAAAATTTATTCATGTTTTTGTTTTTTCTGTTTAGAGGGAGGCATAAGGGGTGTACGGCACCCCTGTTTTTTGTAAAAAGTAGTTTTTGTAAAGCTTACCAGAAAATGACCATGTAAAATATTGAAAATCAATCAAATACAAACTCAAATTAATTATAGAGGTGTAAGGGGGATTTGCCACTTGCTCCCTTACCAGGAGCTCTTTCCTGAGACTTTTACTCAGTTCGAACATTTACGCCACCTGTTTCTTAAGGTGCTGGATCCGCCCGTAGAAAGCACATAGAGACGAATGTTATGTGTGCTATACAAGTGCACAATCATTGTTGACCATTGACCATTCTTGCGTATGACATGCAGCATCAAACTTAAAATTACTTCTTAGTTTTTTAGTGACCTCTGCCAATGGAGCTCTAAAGGTCAATAAACATACTTGTTGACTTCTTGACTAGTCACTTATTTACATAGTACAGACTTCATTAACATGTTTTTATTCACTCAGAAATTCTGTAAAAACACCAAAATGCATGATCATAATACAGTATTAAAAATTGTTTATAAAAAAACCCCAAATACTGTACTATATCTTGAATGTTATGGTCATCAACTAAAATAGATGTACAGTAAAACCCCTATTAAGGAGGCACCTTTAGTTCAGGAGAAAAAAGGTGTCCTCTAATTACGAGATGTCCTCTTAATAGGAATATCCCAAAATAGGGGTTTATGAAAATAAAAAGCTGGGTTATCAATATCTGTCTAGTGGTACATATTTTTAGTTGCTCATGTATAATTTATATCTTGATAGTTCTACATGAATATTCATGAAATCTTCACGAAACCTTTGAGCTCCTCCTTTATAAAATAAAGAGCTATTTGGTATTTATTATTTATTTTTTCCTGTAGCTCCTTTTTGACCTACATAAAATAAAGTGAATTTTTTGCATTAATAACTATAGTACAGGAATGTATACAATCTTATTGTTATTATTATTCTTAATGTATTCAAAGAATTGATTGTTTGATGGTGAGACAATTCTAAATTATGAATAACCTACAGTATCTAGAACATGTAATTATTTAACAAGGGGACTTATTCTTTCTTGAGAATTCTAGTTTGTTTTGTATAAAGCGGAAGTTAAGTGAATGATATTCCTTCTTTTCAATTTACAATCGAAAGCTTTGATAGTGATCCTAGATAAATGCATTGAATATAATTGTTAAACAGTTGTCTCCTAATAGAACAACAAACAGTTCATAAGATCCTGTCTGTTTTGTTCTTCTCCGTTACCCAACCATTATCAACTTCATGCATGAATTCTTCACAACCTTTATAGCCAGGGTTGTGCTATATCATGCAATGAGGCAATCAGGGCTAGCCAAAAAGTATTGAAAATCACTTTTGTTTGTGCTGCATTGTTGTTGAGCCATTGGGCAACATTTCTCAATACCAGGCCTTGAATAGCACCGTTGACAGAGCTTGAGGCCTACAAGGTTCACCTGTGCTAAGGTGCTAGTCGTAGCTGCACCAGCATGTTTGTACAACACCTTTAGTAGAAAATGAAGATTTTAAGTTTTGTTTAGGGTGTTTTTGATGCTCACGGCAGTTTTTATATTACAGCTGCTCTTTTCATGTTATACCTTCTGTGTGTGCAGTCAGGTATGTGTAATCTTGGATCATAAAGCGCTATTGTAGCATATGGCGGTGTAAACTTAATAGCATTGTTTAGATTTGACAGTGTGTGTGTGTATATACTTTATTAATACTGCATCTATTTCTCTCCACTTTGCATACGATTACTGTTGGATCGTTTTAGACAACTTTATGTGTACATTTAACCTAATTTTCAAGCAATGTTTTTTACTACGTTTGACAATAAATTATATTGAGTTGAATTGAATTGGAATACTGTAATCAGAAGAAAGAAGAAACAATGTAAGTACATAGTTCTAGTAGAGGTACGTTTATAATATTGCTGAACTGTAACTGCTGTAATTCAAGTTTTGCTAAAATTATTGCTAAAAATGTAAGTACACATTTGTAAATTTCAATTTCTTCTTTTTTTGTTGTTGTTGTTGTTATTTTGCAAAATATAAATTGTTAATAAATATTCTTAGGAGTGCCATATCTGACTTGGACATGGCAACACCTGGTTCTGGCAAGGAAAGCACTCACATTATCAGTGTTCCCGTATCATGTTATTGTTATGTTTTTAATGAGACTTGTTTGCTCGAGGTCGTTTTTGTGATTCTGTGTGTATGCAGCACTATTTGCTCAAACATCTGCTTCCTTGTAATGTGAATTCAAATGTAAATCTAATATATAATGGTTTATTTATAGTTTTTATATAATTCTTTATTTTTTCAAGACTATGTCATACAGTTGCCCTTTTTTTTAAAAAATTGTTTATTGTTTAAATTGTCAATATTGATATCAACAAGATAATGTTTGACTATTACTACAACGTTGTTTACAAGCATCACAGTGCAAGAACAATCAGGGAGTTGGAACAAAGCAACTCATAGATAATTGGAAAAAAGACGAAATTTACTATTTGGGTAACTAAGATATGGCGTGACAGCAGGGCGATGGTTTGTAATCTCAGATTATTGTTAGAATAATTTTTTTTTTTTCAATTTCATTTAGAAAACAAAAAATGCTAGAATTACAGTAAATAGGCCTGCAATAAATATACACCTGGTTGGTGAAATCATTTTCACCAAATTTACAAAATACCCTGAGTATCAGTTGTTTCAAATTGCGCTATAAATTATTATTTTTCAACTAAAATTCCTCAACAATCTTCACAATACAATTCAATGGAATTAATGGTAAAAATAGGGGAAAAAAATAAAAAAAATAAATAAAAATAAAAATAGATGAATATTAATAGTGGGGAAAATGGTGATAATCATATGTATGACAATATTCATTTTTTTAATTAAAAAATTAAAAAATAAAATTCCTGTGGGATGGTCATGTTAAGAGAAGTATTTTTTTTTTATTTGGCCTTTAAAGTACACAAACATCCTATAGATTTAAAGAAGTAAATTCCATATATTATTACATATATGCTTCTTACAGTTCCTATCCAATACACTGTGTAGTTCTTTATTGTAAAATTCACAATTGATGAATTTTTTTGTTATTTCCTTCTCATCCAACAGCAAGTACACTTGCCACTTACAGGATGAGAATGTTGCTTTATAAACCAAGCGTCTTTATGAGGCTTAGGGAGTGGAGTTGATTTTAGTCAAGAGAAAAAATCCTGCTGTGACAGGATTTGAACCCAGGACCCTGGGATCAGAAGGCAACCATCTTAACCACTGAGCTATTCAACTCCACTTTAGTGTTTGAGTAGAATTTCTTGATTATTCAAATATTAAATGAACAATAATAACTCCACTTTAGTGTTTGAATAGAATTTTTTGAATATTAAATGAACAATAATAATAAGTAAATAAGCAATAACGATAGTAACAATGAACATGTATTGTGTGCCTGTTAGAATATGTTGAGTAATATAGTGTTAAAGCTGTATGTCGTCTGAATAGGATGACATTAATGTTTAATGATTAACTTAAATCTCATTATAAACCCCTCATTATTCAAGGCATGCCAGAAACACAATTCAGCATATATACAACAGTCACACTATTTCTCTGCTGATACCCGGTCTCTAACCAGTAATCAATGAAGAATGAAGCCATTATTCCTGAACTCTTTTTTTAAATTTTTTTTAATAACATCATAACCTATAGCATTTCATTTATGCTAATATTTTTTTTTTTGAAATCCACAAAATAAATGTTTTTGCTAGTGCCTGTTGGCCTTACAATATTTGATGAAATGATCATGCAAAAGAAATAATAAAATCATGTTGATTCTGCAAAGCTTTCTGGGAAAGCATAATTCACTGTAGTAGTTAAATGTTAAATTTAATCAGATGTTGAAATATTTATACATTTTTTATGTCAATATTAGTGTACATTATTATGAAGTTCTGTGTTTTATCAACTACTGACTGCACATGGCTTCCTTGTATTGTGCTGTGTGTTTATTTTGTCGCACTTATTTCAGTCATTTGCCATCGCTGTTCTACATTTTTAGTTTGTTATTCAGTGAAATATTTAACATGTATCCTTGTCTTGCTACTCTTCTATTTTTTTATATGTTGTTTTATTTATTGTTTATTTATTTAGTTTTTTTTTTAAATCTTTTTAATTAATTAATTTATTTATTTCCCATTTTGTTTATTGGACTTTTTCACTTATTTGTTTTGTTTTTTTCTTCCTTTAGTAATTTTTTAAAATTTTTTTTATGTTTGTATCAACTTTTATTTCCTTTAAGGCATGCCCACCACAAGATTTTTGTCTTCTTGGAATCTTTCCTTCTTCCATACAGTAGATTATTTACATTATTTTTTTATATCATCTGCATTAGATATTATTATAATTAATATCATATATCGTAATTAGTAAAGTACTTTCTTCCGATATATATTTACAAATGATTATTTTTAAAATGTTGACTGATGTCAATTACCTGTGTTACTATAAAAAGTACAGTAGATACCATGATACAGATAATAGTTATGGGATCAGTTACCTTTATCCAAGCGTTTTAAAAAGAAATCGTAAATCAAAACAGTAGTAAATGTGAACGACTTGATAGAATTACAAGTATAAAGTTATAGTAGAAAGCTTTTAGATTAGAAAAGGCACTAAATTCAATGGCAGTCAGTATTTAAATTAATCTGATTGCTACAGTTCAGTAATATATTCAGGAGGATGTTATATAGTGAAATTTAAATTTTAAATATCATCAGTGTTATACCAGGCTAGTTATGTGGAGGTCATGGGTTCGATTCCCACCCGAATCAGTTGCAATTTTTTCCCAAGTTAATATGTTAGGTTGGGCAAACTATTATTCCCTTGCAACCAATCTTCCATGAATGTATTGCCCCCTCTACAGTTCTCTTTCAACAGTATACATATTACATTCACTATATAATAAGTATCATCTTACAGAAGCTCTGTAGTGCCAATTCTATCTACATTTCAGTGTTTTGTATTGAAAATAAAATATGTACGGTATCAGTAATCAATAAAAGAGTATTATTAGCCAATAGTTATGGTGTTGCAGTTTTGCTTGTTTCTCAATATTTACTATTAAAGTATTAGACTAAATTCACCCCACCACTTGTAATTGTTTTAATTATTAATATTATGAATTATCTTTTTTGAGCATACAATGTTTCCAATTCCCTCCCTGTGCTCCCTCTACATTATTTTGAATTCCTGGAGCCGCCGTTGCAAATGTCAAACATAATGTTATAAATCTATGTTACATGTACTGAAACAATGGCCATTGTGGTGGAAGTTACATTACATCGCGTATTAATAATGATTATGTACAAGTGCTGCTGACAGTGCTCCTGCCGAGCAACACTTTATGTTCTCGTTCCTCGATCATCATCGGTCTTCCCATTAGGAATCCCTGCGGCTTTGAATCTCATTCTTAATGTGAGTTATGATCAATGCCTGATTACTTTGCGTAACATTGCATTAACAAACTCAGGATGTTAGTATGTACAATACTGTACAGTATAGCATAGACTGTAGTGCAGCTGGGTATAACACTGTAGCACTTTACGGTAATAACCACAGAATAAAAAATACAACATTGTATTAAAGTCCATTGTACATTGTACTGCATGTTTTTAAGTTGCATAGTTTTGTATATTTGTATAATAGTTTGTTTTTATTTACTTTATGTATAGGGAGAAGTGTGCTTAAGCGATTCCTTTTTTTAACAAGTATTTGGTATTTATCAACTATACATGAAATAACAATTCGCTATACATGACTCCCTATAGATAGTTTATTATCTTTGCTATGCAATCGCACAGATCAGATGCAGACATAAGCTTTTGTCATAGTCTCAGACCTGCTTGTATAAATTAGCTCCCTGCATGGTTACCATGACAACACCTTCGTAGCAAAACAAGCCATATTTTAGAGCCTGTATGTCTCTGTCTTGTGGGTACACAATCAGAATCATTTTTCCTGACTGCTGAGGTCAGCCCTAATAATTCACAGTAATTGCTAATGAGAATGAGCTTTTATTTTTTTTTTAACCTCATGAGAAGTGGTTGGAGGTATAATTGTGCCCTTTTTAGCATATGGTAATAGGATTGCCAGTGAATTGAGTTTGTTAATGTTTTGTTTTTAAATGTGGCAGTTCTTGTTATACGATGAGCCTAGCATTATTTCACTGTATAGTTCTGCAATTTCAGCAGAAGTTAAGCTTTGGCTAGCAAATGCTTAAGTTTTAAATATTGTTTAATATTATATTTGGCCTTATAATATTTGAAGAAGAATTAGCTTTGTTTGCTTTTAACTTATGCAGGAATTCACTTACCAAGAGTATTATGCATGCTACAAAAATATGTCTCGTTTCTCCCGTGTCTAATTTCGTACGGCCCAGTATGAATGTCTCACCCGTGGCTAAATCATGTGTCATGTATAAATTAAATGACAACGAAACTGAGAAATCACATGTGACCAACAACTCTCAAAGAGAAAATGTTCATATGAACATTGGTATTAAACTTGCAGTAGCTTATTCTATTGTTATTTAAATTTGTGTAGTTTTGCCAAAATTGCATCTTGTATTATTTGAAAGAATACAGGTTTCAAGTTTAAATTACTAATGGTAAGTGAAGATTAAACCTTTATTTTTATATATCTGTTTCAAAGACTAATAATAATAATAATAATAATAATAATAATAATAATAATAAGTTCTTCAGTAGCGCATTCCGCAAAAGCCTCAATGCGCTTAACAAGAAGAAAAAAACAAGCAGTAAGTAATTCAAGAAAGATCAATTTAGATATTTAAAATTGTTTAGTTTTAATACTAGATAAATTGTTACAGTGAAATACTATGAAAGTAAAATAATTTCAGTATTATAAATTGAACTAGGATGGGATTATAATTATATAATTAAAAGTATTATAGTTAAATATAATTAACTTTAATAATTCTAAGATTGTTAATGTTAATATTTATTATGGTTTTTTTTTGTGATTGACGTATTGTATTATTTGTGAGACATCACACCACTGCAGTTTTTATAAATATTCAGAATAATGCTACTGGAGGTCATTGTCGTTCCACAATCATTAAAATGTGATCATGTGTTTTAATTTGCTGAAATAACATCAAATTTGACTCTTTTGTTCTATGGTCATGTACCCATCATCTAATATCAGCTTGGCCATCTGATAAAAAATCGTTAGGGCCAAACACACAGATCTTTATCAACCCATGGCCTTACTTAATATTATATTGCTACAGTCGGTCCCTATAAAATTTTTCTTTAAAGAACCGGCCAGATTACACTACAAGGGATTGATATGGAAGTCCCTTGAAAGCATTCAACATTTCTCAACTAATGTATGACTTGTTGTTAACCTTTGTTTGTATTAACTAGTGAACAGTGTACATTTTCTTATAGTCCATTCTGTCATTGAACCTTTCAACAAACTGTCCCAATAGAGTACTTTGTTTATCAAAGGTAAACAATAAAAATATTGATTTTAAATCAATATGGTTTCGTTTACTGAATCAAAAGGCATTTTTTGAGTAAGTAGGCCCTACTTGACATCTTCAAACCTGAGGACTCCCTTGCTGTTTATTCAAACAAACATCCCAGATGCAGTGGAGGTTGCTTGGTTGTCGAGTACCATTGAAACTCTCACCCTGAGGCTGTATATTGGAGCTTCTGTTTAGAAAGGTCCAAGGAGCAGATCTAATAATTTGAATGCATACCAGTGTCGCGTAAGAAAACAGTAAGACTGCTATACAAAATGTTTTAATAGGTCTCTAGCATCTTTGTTATGGCACTGCTGCCAGCCCTCCCCGACTTTATTCTAATTATTTGTTGCACCCTCCTCCCCGATCCACTACTTCTTACTTTAAAATGTCAAATAAAATGATAGTAAATGTAATACGATAAAAAGTTGGCCCTAGAAATACCGGTATTTTTAAATGTGATTTTACTGCAGTATCAAATATATTCCTGTTTTTTTGTGAAGTTTGAGTACTATACAGCCTCATCAAATATACTGTACAGTAGTTGAAGTATTATACATACTCTATAAATATACTCATACAAGATTCCCAACCAATATACTATGAACAAAAACAGATTACAGTTGACGTTTGGGGTTGGTTGTTGACAGTGAGGTTTAAGAGACTACAATAAGGAGACCTGACCAGGTGAAATTGCATTCTTTCTCTTTTGATTCTCCTATTGTTTGCTTTATCTCCATGCACTGGTGATTGCTTGTCTCTCTCAAAATGCACATAGCATTGATAATCCTTGCTTTTTCTTTACTTAAGAAAATTTAATACCATTTAATTTTTCTGAATATATTGAGTACAACAACTTTATTGAAACCATTACTTTTCGTAATTTCCCCTCTTTTTTAGTTGGGCATCATGGTGTTGAAGAGGAAGTATGTCAAGCTGAAAGCAGTGAAACAAATTAATTTTACAGGTAAGAATATTTTATTTTATATTTCAGTCAAATATGAATTATTTATTTCTTTCTCTAATTTTATTTTTCCATTGGAATGTTTTTTGATGTTGCTGCATTTGACAGTAGAGAGCTTGTGATTTGCATAATGGCGTGACTCAAAAACTCCTGTCCTGCCAAATCGCATCCTATAGTTCAAACAAGAGCGTTGTTGTTGCATGCGCAGATGATACTATGTGGTGCCATTATGTTCTAGATTTTACCGTTTTTGCTTTTGTTTTTTTGTTTTGTTTTTGTGTTTGTTTTGTTTTTGTTCCTATATCATGTACCCAATTGCAAAATTCTAAATCTTGTGTCACCCTTGCGACTTAACTTACCTCACACTAGGTAGACTTACAGTAGTTGCTCAGAGCGCTTTATGTCACTTTCGACTGTACAGTGTTTACAACCACAGGTCTTACCTCCAACTGGGGTTTCCATGGCCTTTAGCAACTTCGGTCTCCAATTAGAATAATAAAGAAAAAATTCTTATTGTTAATTTGGGACTGTAAAAATCATTGCAGAAGTTCCATTTACAGAGTGGAACATTTTTTTTCTTACTACTGTATGATGCTTAAAAAAGTGCAGTTATTATTTGTTGTAGAAAAAACCTAGGGCCCTAGGATTAGAATGCAAGCATATTAACCATCCAGCTGTAGATTCACTCCAAGGCAAGCAAGTACATACTCAGTACATACTGCTAGTAAACAATAATAAAGCACAAGAAGTCTTGTTTGAAACCTAGCCAAGTTCTAGAAAAAGAAAAATACCAATACTGTAATGCTAGAACAGTTCACACAGCTTGTCAAGACGGTGATTGAACTGTAAGGAAAGAGGACAACATAATTAATAATTATTATTATTTGTTAATATTGGATTTTTGTGATAATTTTTATATAACCACTCAAAACATTCATAAATGTTTTCATTCACTATTAGTTGACCGTAAAAATGGCTTACAGTTTACATGTGTTGCCATTAATTATTGCATAAAAATGAGTTTTGAAAGAGAAGCCATTCATAGTATAGTATATTAACAAATACTGTAAATGTGAGTTTGAAATCTTACCCTTATTTAGCCTGTAATAATATTACCAAAACCACATTAAATAAACTAGCGAGGGGTCAAAGGTTCAATGTCTAAGAATAAACAATTGAGTGGAAATTAAGGAAAATGAAAATGAGATTATTAAAACAATGATTGATAGGAGAATAATGGTAAATTAATAAAGAGAATGGCCGTGAACTGTTGGCTATGGCAACAGATGACAGCCAACAAAAATGTTGATGATGGATGATGAATGTGAAAAATTTGATATTGAATAATTGTGGCCTTGACCTCTGTGCATACATGAGTAAATACTTATGGAAAACATCCTCAACTCTTTAGGAAAGTATTCCATGGCAAATATTCCATAATTGTGCAGATATTATAATCAGTCCCTGGTCATTCATATGTACCATATACTATCATATCTATTGAGAGTAGCAATGCTGTAGCTCAGTTGGCTAAACTGGTGGTAGCCACTGTGTGCGCTAAACTGTGGTCTCTGAGTTCCTGGTTCAATTCCCATGAGTGCTGTTCTTGTGTTTCAGCTGGAGGGCTGAAATACATGTTATGATAGCACACTGTCTTTCAGATGGGATGTTTAAGCCGTTGGTCCCGTGTGCATTATTGTCTGTGTGCATGTTAAAGAACGCAGTACACTATTCGGAAAAGAGGAGATTGTTTCCCAGTGTACTGACCAGTCACCACCAGTAGGACCCCTGTAGAAATACGTCTTCAGACTTTCATTGGTGTTTACACAGAAAAAAAATCCATCTACCAACAGAAAGACAATAAAGGCCAAACCCTGATCTTTCAAGATTGAGAGACAGAATTCCATTCACTAACCAACCGTCCACTTAAAACTTTAGAAGTTAAAGCAATAGGGAGAGATCTTTCAGGGATTATTAATAAACATTTACAGTACTGTACCAATAAATTAGCTATTTTTACAAGTAAATCACTATAATAACACCATAACACTTGAGCAAATCTTGGTAACTGGTAGCACCAGCAGTACACTTGTCTGTGATTCACCTGCCCTGATTACCTGTCACTTGAGGTTCAGTTTGCTATCCAATCAATAAAAGTATATAAAGCCAGGCTATTGCCTGGTAGTTAAAGGCTCATTAAAATACCATTATGCATAGTATTAGCTTATAAAACTCGCCCAGGCGGTTGAGTGATGACAGGGGTATTGCTATTAAGTCGATCACATTTATCTGCTTTGATATCACTTGAACAGGCCTTGATAGTGGTGAAAGAAAACTTGTGGAATAAAGTGAATATTACTGTATTAGTCTGTGCTAATGTATTTTACCAGTTTATTGTAATTTATAGACTACAGTACTATTGCTGAAATTGCTTAAAAATAAGAAAAAATAGGAACAAATTGAGGCTGAGTAAAATTTCATATGAAGTTATTTTAAATAGAAAAACCAACAAATCTTATCTGCAAATTATGTGCAGTAGTTGTAACTATGTCATACCTTCTATAGTACAGTACAAATATACAGTACTGCTGTATAATTATAATATTTTATCTTTGAAGTGTGTAAAATAAGAACATTTTGAGCCTGAAATTGGTAAAACAATAAAGAACACAGAGCCTGACCAAAATTTACTGGTTCTATAAAAAGTGTATTAATTTTTTTTTAAATTATACATTATAGAGATTTGAACTTGAATTAAATGGTAATTTTATTAAAAATAAAAGTTGGTTTTGTACATCCTATAATTTGTTTTTCTTTCAAACAGTTTAACTGCTACTACTTCTCATAAAGCAATGAAGAACAAAATACCTTATCTCAGCATATCAATTGTTTTTACGCATTTAAAACACACACATTTTCATTCAAACAAAATGACAGTTCTGTCAGTCAACCTACAAAGCATTCATCTTTCAGATAGTATGCACGTTTTGAACATCAAATTAACATTTCAAGTCATTTAAAATATGTGAATGTCCTTCAGAGGTTATGCATAAGTCACCAAAATACAAGATCCATTAATATCTCATTTCACAGGTATAAATAGATTACGACATGTGATTGTCATCTCTGTCAATATTGGCAAGGGGCAATCAACTACCCTATTCTCAAGTAGTGGAACTCTTTGAAGTGGTCATAGAATACCGATTAACCCATCATGCTACCTTCAATAAAGCCATGGTATAAATAATGTGAATAGAATTGGGTATGCTTATTCCATACACATAACTTTGGACTTAGCAATAATGTTCAGTACTGTACTAAAAAGTTCTATTATTATGTTTGTTAAACTAACAATGAAAACTTGAGTCAGGCTAAACTGTTTGTGACTTACAGTAAGGCCAAATAAAAAAAAATATGCTTGTTTAGCGTCACCTACCATCATGACCCATCTCTGAAAAATCGGACAAGAAATGCTTATTAAAGTTATATTCAGGGGTGTATACAGAGTTGTCCGAAAGGGGGAGGGGGGGGCAAAAGTGAGGCTGATAGAGATAATACTACCTCTAGGGGGTCCGGGGGCATCCCCCCCCCCCATAATATTTTTGTGTTTTAGTCACCCAAAAATAACCTTAAACAAGTCTGGCTTCATCTTTATCAAAATAAACATGGTAGCCGATCTTTTTTTCAAACAACAAGCAGGAAACGAATGACAATGTGTTTTGTGTAATAATGAGGGGTCGAAGGCTCACTCCTTACCAGATGGAAGTTATGCTTTACTTTTAAAACCTAATTTAATTAGATAAACTTATAACTCACAGAATTATAATAATATCTCAAAATTAATATGACGCCAATTCCAAACAAGATCAAAGGCGCAACGCATGTGAAAAGCCACCGGAAAACGAATAGGTCTTAAGCTGTGATTTAAAGTTGCAAATAGAGTTGGAAGAAGTTATGTCATTTGGAAGTTGGTTCCAGAAATAGGCTGAAGCAAAAGTAAAAGAACATTGACCGTAGGTTTTGGTACGGCATTTGGAGACAGAAAGAAGGATTTGAGAGGATCGGAGACGGCGAGATGGAGTATATCGGGAAATCATTGAACGTAAATATGAAGGTTCATTCAGATGAAGAGCTTTAAAGGTCAGAACAAGTAATTTAAATGCAAAACGATGCCCTGATTGCCAGCCAATGAAGATCACACAGTAAAAGAGTGACATGATCATACTTTTGAGCTCCGGTACATATACGGGCAGCAGTGTTTTAAATGTGTTAGAAACGCTTGAGCATTTCCTGGGGAACGCCAGCTAATACTGTAGGTAATTGCAGAAATCTAGCCGAGATGATAACAGTGAATGAACCAATATTTCAGCCAATTTGGTGAAACTTCCTTATTTTTCCAATGTTACGAACATAGTAATTAGCAGACTTTCATATAGAGCTAACATGTTTCTCAAAGTAAGGTGCTGGTCAAAAATAACACCAAGGTTGTTACTGTATGCTATTGTGTATGTATGCTAAATTGTGTATTACCATGGTCTGTGACTGCCTACCTGTAGTAGCCAAAAATAGGCACTACGAAGACAGGCACCGAAATGAACCATACCATCGGAGTACTCCCCCTATTCTTCTGCCAGATATGTTTTTTATTGGAATTTTGTTTTACCATCCGTACATTGGTTGAGGAATATCTCAATCTAGCGCTGATGTTACAGCTCTAGCAGCATCCAAGCCTAAATGGCCACTTGTATGAAACATGAAATTTTTACTTTCAAAGTGTATAAATAAAAGAGTGGTGCTTAATAAAAAAAACTTATATGATTGAGATGAGACGAGTCGAGTGGCTAAGCGGTAAGGCAGGGGCGCCGCTAACTACAGCCTTAACATCACCGCTGGTTCACTGCTACTTGCCCGTGGTTTAGTTGGTAAAACCAAGTCTTCTCGGATAAGGACATAAAATGAGGTCCAGTGTACACATCTGGCTCATGTGCACTTTAAAGAACCCATTGCATCTTTTGGAAGAGTAGGGGGTTACCCCGATGATATGGCTAATTTCAGCCCCTGTCATTGTGGAATGATGTAAACAGTAACTATATTCACTTATTTACAGCAGCTAGGTTGTCATGGACCACGCCCATGCATGGATAATGACGCTGCAAGTTTTGGGTTATTCTCCTACCTTTACCTATATGATACTTAGGGTGGCATTTATTTGACACAGTGTAATGGGATGAATCCTGCACCATAGTGGATGTGCTTCAAGCAATCTCAACAGCCAATCTGATACTCAAGAGATTTCATACATTTTGGTCCAGATCATTTGAGAACCATAAAAGTGTAACCACAGGTTTGTGGAGGTCATGCTCTACTTGTAAACTCCTGAATTCCATTAGTAGGCTGCCAGTCTCAAGCCTTGAATTTAGTTGTTTGATGTTATTGGGCCACAAAATTAACAAAGTTAACAAACTGACAAGGGCAATGTACTGATTCAAGGAGTTTTCAGCTGTACAGTTTATAAATGAAAATATATAAATATAAAATATACTACCAAAATTAACGATAATAATATTTTCATAAAAGAAACTTCATTGTACGCTAATAGTAAATTGAGGAATTCAAGGAGAAAGGGAGAGTTGTACTTTTGTATAAGTATGAAGTTTAAGGCCTTATAAAAAAAGATAGTACATAGATCATTCCCTCCTACCCTTCACCACTTTTATGCCTCATTCCTGCGGAACAGCTGTGCTTCCACACCGTCATAATTCGATCATTTTCTTCCGTTACAATAGTCTAGTACTCTGTTCCAACTGTGGAAAAAATGTTCTTTTGTACGTGTTGGCTACAACAAAATGAAAAGTTTAAAAAAGGGACATTTCTTTCCTTTTTTTGTTAGAAAATCCAGACAATCAGGTGTTTGTTTTGTTTTTAATATGGGCTAAAATTGCTCACTACACAGGTTTACGCAATAGTTTTAAGGTATGCATTTCGATTGACAGTTTGAGGTATACTATTTCATGTACAGAAAGCTGAAGTGGACTCGTAGTGTGGTCATGGAAAGTAGAGAGTAGTTCACATTCACCTCCTAAGGGGACTGATCCAATTGACATTCTTTTCCACCAGCTGAGAGAACTACAGTAGTGAAATGGCTTTGTTTGCCTCAGTCTGTATGAAGTTCATCTAAAAATAGTGGTTTAATCACTGGTTTAAAAAAAAATTGTTCACTGGACACTTTCAATTCCATTTTCATTAATCCAGTTTGTTAGACATTAACTATTGACTATTCTACTGGAGTTGTCTGTGGCAGTAGATAGGAAAGCAATATTCCTGATTATTACTTATGAAAGTAGTTATTTTGACTTTCTTTCATCTTGAATATCGGCCTAGTGTATCAAGAAAAAAAATCGTTGAAGAATAATGAATAGTTTTTATACGTTCATAGTTATTTCTTGTAATCTGTGTACCTTCCAATTGAATTATTTATTTTCTTTTTTAAATTTAACAAATACAGTATTTTTTTTAATCACAAGTTTTGATACAAACACTTATTGGTGCAATTGATAATTTCACTTAGGTTAATAGAGACTGAATTTCTCAGAATCCTTTTGATATATTTAACCTATTCCTCAAAAAACCAACAACTAGATTAAAACATGGAAATGTGCGTTTACAATATCTATTTCAAAATCCTATAAGTTATCCACTTCTAACGAGACACAAAATTATTGAGTTTTCACTGATTTACTGGTTTTAGGTTACATCATTCTTACCTGTAAAATATTTTGATTACCAGCAGCCAATATAAGGATCTGTCTGTATGTAGAATATAGAAATGATAAGTGTATTTAACTATCTTGTTTAGATAAACATATTGAAATGAATATTCTAATTCAAGTTTAATAGCTATTAGATGTGGCCAGAATATATTAGTTTTGCTTTTACTGTCCTCTATCTATAATTATCTGACTGTTTGAAGATAATCCTTGAAACTAAAAACTAATTATTTATCTTATGACTGAAAAAGAACCTAATTATCAGAAATAAAACAATTTCATCCAGAATTCTTAACTGAAGTGTACTATAACAAAATTTAGAGCATGTATAAAGAAACCAGACAATCCTCCTGGTCTATGAAATTCTAAAATGATTAATGCTCCCATTGGGAAGAACCCTACCAACCTGTTGTCTCTCCATGGCAACCATAATGCACAACAGGTGAGCATTGATTGGTTCTTTCGATAGTATTACCATTTTCATAGAATAGCTTGCATTGATTTATAGTGCATTTCACCAACCCTTAATTTATATTTTCGTCAATGGTTTCACCTGGTGGGGATGCCATTTCTTTGTCTCTTTTTCAATTCAAAGAAATTGTGTTACAATATCTGTGTGGTGGCCACAGACTTGTCTGAGTTCTGCTCTAGTTCCTCGTATCGAACTCGGGTGAGTCAATCCGAGATGGCCTGAGGCAAGTTGAATGTTATACTCTTGTCAAATAGTAAATTTAATTAATCTTTCGGGAAGAATCTCAGAATATTCCATCATCATGGGATATAACCATTTGAATATAACCCCACAAAGTTCTGATATTTCCCCACAAAGTTCTTATATTTCTTTTGACAATACTTTGTGCTGTTTTACTATCATTAGTGTATTTTGTAATATAATTATGTATTTTTAATGGCTACATTCAGACCTGAGAGATAGGCTAGGTGTATCCAACGCCGGGCGTACATTAATCAATGGCGTAACTAGCATGGTGTTCAGACTGGGTGATTAACAAATGCTAGCGTAAGTATTCGCACAAAATATTCGTATTCATAATCACACATTTTATTCATGTTTACAACTAGGCTTATTGTGATTGGTCAGATCCTGGCCCAGTTCAAAATCATTGATGCATGTCTGTTGTAACTCAGTGGCGTGTGCTAATCTGGGGTCTGTTGGTGGATTATCGTACGCCAGTGACTGTGCGTTACACTGGTGTTCACTACACCACACCTAAGTTCACACCACTCTATTAACGTTATGCCAGCATAACTCATTGTGTCTGAACAATGTACTTTAATCTACTTTGCATCAATCAGTATTTCTTCCAGGCCCCTTGACACAGGATTTATTTGTATGCTGTTTATTTTGTGTTCAATTCAATTTAATTAAATAAAGTGATTTTTATTGTTTTGTTAATCAGGTCATATAGTCGGATCATAAAAAATAAACAATAACCCATAATAACCCCAAATCCATAGATCTTATCCATTGATTGTACTGCAGTATCATAAATTTTGAGAATAAGCATCCCATGTTTCCTTCACCCTAAACCTGTCAAACTATAGCCAGCCAATCAACTGCTTTTAAATGTCAGTGTAGGTGGGGCACAAGTGTGGGCTAATCAAATGACTGAAGTTGTGAAAGTACAGCATGTTACTGTAGTTCATTTCACTTCTAAAATGCTGGTTAGGAATGGCACATTATTGGAGTAGTACCAAGATATTTATGTAAAAGTTTTGAACCTTGTGTGGATTTAACATCATCTCGAACCTGTTTTTATTTGAAAGTTCTTTTGCTCCATTTTATGTTCTGCTTTCTGACTTGAAACCATCATGAGTAGCTTCATATTATTATGTAGAAGTAATGTAGACTGTAATATTATGTTTTTAGGTGAGTACAGTATTTCTTTTCTGTTAACATCATTATATGTTACTCACATTAAGGCCCTGTGTATTAATCTTTTAGTTAGTAACAATTTACTTCTTATCCTTGTGTTTGCTTGGAAAGTTTCCAAAGATCATTTAGAGAGAGATTGCAAAGCTGAAGTTGGATGAACCCAAATAGTGAGAACATCTCAACAGCTCGTGCCATGCAAAAACTTACCACAAAACAACTTTCTTTTGTGTACATATTCAGGCGCTTGGAAAGTCCAAAAAAAAAAAAAGAAGGAAAAGGAAAAAATTGTTTTAGGGCACCTAGAACACAGAAATTTTGCAGGAGCATGCTCCCAAACCCCTAGAGTATTGTTATCTCAATCGGCCCCACTTTCGGGCCACCCTTCTGGGGCCACCTTTCCCGGGCCCCCCCCCCCCTTTTTGGACATCTTTGGATCCGCCTCTGTGTATATACAAAAGAAAAATTAGTATTTGCATATGTATGCCTATTCTTTTTTCCATTCCCCGGACCCCCTAGAGTATTGTTATCTCGATCGGCCCCCACTTCCCCCCCCCAATATTTGGACATCTCTGGATCTCTTATACACATCTCCCCCCATATTTGGACATCTCTGGATCCGCCACTGATATTTTATTTTATTTTTTTGAAACATCATCAAACAGCTACAGTAAAGGCAATTACTGGATGTCTTAAATACATATAAAAAACATATAAAAATATTACATGTCCTGGGCATCTGATTGGTTAAGAATTGGGCAGTAGAAAGTACTATTCCCCAGAAAAATATTACTTTTTTGACCTGTCGCTTAGTGCAAACTCTAGGCCAAACCATTGCGCTGACGGTAGAGGGGGCTTCAACCTCTACCTTGACTAAGCCACGGATCAGCGAGTAGGCGATAAACAATAACTATGGAGGGTGTCGGTTTGAGTTCCGGAATGAAGAAGGACTAGCCTAAGCCTATACTTCTTGACGAAGCCAATAGCAAAAGCACCAAGAGACAAATTAAATATGTCTTGTCAATATTCGAAAAATATTGTACAAAATACTGTACAAAGGATTGAAAATTTAGAAATATAATATTGCATATACATGAAAATACAAATAAATATATAAATACATATAAATGCAAACAGAACACAACAGCTGTCTCTTATACACATCTAGATGTGTATAAGAGACAGCCACTCTATTAACGTTATGCCAGCATAACTCACTGTGTCTGAACAATGTACTTTAATCTACTTTGCATCAATCAGTATTTCTTCCAGGCCCCTTGACACAGGATTTATTTGTATGCTGTTTATTTTGTGTTCAATACAATTTAATTAAATAAAGTGATTTTTATTGTTTTGTTAATCAGGTCATATAGTCGGATCATAAAAAATAAACAATAACCCATAATAACCCCAAATCCATAGATCTTATCCATTGATTGTACTGCAGTATCATAAATTTTGAGAATAAGCATCCCATGTTTCCTTCACCCTAAACCTGTCAAACTATAGCCAGCCAATCAACTGCTTTTAAATGTCAGTGTAGGTGGGGCACAAGTGTGGGCTAATCAAATGACTGAAGTTGTGAAAGTACAGCATGTTACTGTAGTTCATTTCACTTCTAAAATGCTGGTTAGGAATGGCACATTATTGGAGTAGTACCAAGATATTTATGTAAAAGTTTTGAACCTTGTGTGGATTTAACATCATCTCGAACCTGTTTTTATTTGAAAGTTCTTTTGCTCCATTTTATGTTCTGCTTTCTGACTTGAAACCATCATGAGTAGCTTCATATTATTATGTAGAAGTAATGTAGACTGTAATATTATGTTTTTAGGTGAGTACAGTATTTCTTTTCTGTTAACATCATTATATGTTACTCACATTAAGGCCCTGTGTATTAAGTCTGTCTCTTATACACATCTAGATGTGTATAAGAGACAGGAATCTGTTAATATTGTGACTAACAATACCAGGACTCCCCCAGCAGATGATCCTACAACATCAAATATAGTCACATTGAAATTAACAAAATCTACAGAAAAATTAGAAACATCTTCTACAAAGGCTGTTACAAAATCACTGATTAAAACAACAAAAGCATCTTTACCATTAAAAACTACAACAGATGAGGCGCAACCTACTGAAGTTCGTGGAAGCCCTGGCAGTGGTACTGCCAAAAAACCTCTCCTTAGTATACCTCAATGGTTTGCTGTCTTTCTTGGAACATTCCTAACTATATTCTTGATTTGTAAGTATCTTTGTTTCTTTCTTAATTAAAGTGTTCTTCAGATTTGATTTTATTTGTTCCTTTTTATACTTTTAATAATTGAGCAAACTCGACAACTATAATAACTCTTCAGTGTGTATTGATTTGTGTATTTGTAAATGTTCCGTTCTGCAGGCCTATTGGTTCATCGATCCATGGAAGAAAACTACTCAATATTGTTGGAATATAATAATATATTGCCTATGTCTTTGATTTTTTTTCTCTATGTATAGGCCTAAAGAATAAGATAAAATTACCTGACCTTTTTCAAGAGGGGGGAAACCTTGAATTTTTAGGGACTTAAAGGTCATTAAAAGACTCCACTGAAGTCGGGGAAAGCTCATTTCCGGCCATCTAAGAATCAAAATTTTCCCGGGGGAGGACCCCCTTTCATTTTGGGGTTTTTTGGAAACATTTTGAACTCCCCTCTTTAAAATCCAGGATCCACCCCTGGTTTATGAATAATTTAATACCTTCTAATCCCATGGACTTAAGTGTAAGGTATAGTAATTTATTTTTTTGGTTCTATTGAATTGAAGTAACTAGAAAATTTGGGCTGAGCTCCTTGGACATTGCAACATCCACCTGGTTGAGAATCACACAAAAAGAAACAGGGAGACATCACCTTCTCTTTTCCAAAGAGTCTACTGCATTCTGTAACGTGTACATGTTGTACATGGGTTCCAATGCTGTTTCTTCCAATGGATGGTGCACTGTAACAAGTATTTCAAAAAGAGACTAAATGAAGTAGAACCAGGAACATAAAATATGTAAATGGTTCAGCACAATGCTGATCTCTTTATTTGACTTTGGATTTGAAAGAAATGTTTCAAAAATCATACAATACATTTTTTACATAATCTATTTAACATAATGTTTTGCTTGTATTTTCTAATTTTAGTCTTATCAAACATTTGGTACAAAGCTAAGATGACTCCAGACAACAGTAAACCCAGTATTGAATTGGTCAAGAATGGTAACAAAAATGACCGTCCAAAGTCCTGGCAGGATACCAATGTACCACTGGACTTTATGAGTCTACACATTGAACTTCCGAAGGTCAGTTTTTTTTTTAGGAAATGGCTATTGTTAAACCTTAAAGTCTTAAATAAATTTTAATGTATACAATGTCCTTATTAAATCCATTTTTTAAATAATGGTGAAATAATAGCCACTGCCTTTTTTTCAAATTATCAATGTTATTACTGTAATTTTTTGTGAATATAGGTCATCATTGTCAAGTATTAGTACACCCTGTCCAGACTATCAAATTTTATTTGACAAAAACATGCGACATGTCTAAATATGGTCATGATGACATCATATCATGACCATATATAGGCACATCATGACTATATGTGGGCTTGCAACAGTTTTCTTCAAAGAAAATTTGGTAGTGTTGACAGGGCTTGAGGCTGTGTCCACACTATCTAATTGTATGCGACAAATAAATGTGATTATGGCCATATATTGGCACATCATACACATTTGTCACATGAAATTTGGTAATGTGGACAGGGCTTAAGGCTGTGTCCGCACTATTTAATTGTACGCGACAAATAAATGTGATCGTGGCCATATATTGGCACATCACACACATTTGTCACATGAAATTTGGTAGTGTGGACAGGGCTTAAGTCTGTGTCCGCACTATTTAATTGTACGCGACAAATAAATGTGATCATGGCCATATATTGGCACATCACACACATTTGTCACATGAAATTTGGTAGTGTGGACAGGGCTTAAGGCTGTGTCCACACTATCTAATTGTACGCGACAAATAAATGTGATCATGGCCATATATTGGCACATCACATACATTTGTCACATGAAATTTGGTAGTGGGGACAGGGCGTAAGTCAGTGTCCGCACTATCTAATTGTACGCGACAAATAAATGTGATCATGGCCATTTATTGGCACTTCACACACATTTGTCACATGAAATTTGGTAGTGTGGTCAGGGCTTAAGTCTTTGTCCGCATTACAGTATATATTTGTACGCGACAAATAAATGTGATCATGGCCATATATTGGCACATCACACGCATTTGTCACATGAAAGTTGGTAGTGTGGACAGGGCTTAAAGTTAGTTTTTTTCATTAATATTTATCCCCATCTGTATAGGCCTATCTTTGAATCCTTTTAAAAGCCACTGTTCTCTAATTTAATTCTACCTATATTTAAATGTTATGACAATCAAGCATTTGAACATTTTATTATTAAAATTAATAAGGAAATTATATCAATAATTTTTTTATTTGCATTTTATTTGCATTTCATTGAAAACACAATCGAGAATATGTTTAATTAATGAACTCATAATTTTGCCAGCTTTAACTACATGTGGCAAAGACCAGCCAAAAACCAGTCACAAATCGTGTTTCATAGAAAATGGCCAAAATATGCTGGAATGTCAATTTTTTTTTAAATTTATTTTATTGCACTAAAATAACCTTTATATATCTATACATCATGCTATGCTGTTATTTTTCCCATTTTCAATGTTAAAACAACACTTTTTAAGGATTTGATGATAGTTTCTGCATGAGAAATGGCCGAAAAATTTGAAGGCTGATTTTTCCTTGGGAAGGGAACATTCTAGGAAACAAACATCATATAGATGCTCAATATTGGCAACATGTACTTCAGTTGATTGATTGATTGATAGATTGTTTAATTCATTGGTGGATTGAACTGATTGATTAATTTATTGATTATTTTTAATATACAGGAGTCAAAAGTTGAAATGACTTGCGCTGAAAACCCAGCATTTGAAGGAGACCAACCTGATAACCCAAGTTCCTTATCAAATTCATCTTTCGAAGAAGTCACCCTCACAAAACTCTGATTAAAAAGACAGCATTCTGTGTACCCACCTTGTACGTATAAGCAAAGTCATCTTTCTAAGTGGTTATGCTCACAAAACTCTGATTGAAAAGACAGCATTCTGTGGTGCCTATCTTGTATGTATAAGCAAAGTCATCTTTTCGAAGTGGTCACCCTCACAAACCTCTGATTGGAAAGACAGCATTCTGCGGTGCCAATCTTGTACGTAATGTGTTTAGTCTAATTACCTTCAGCTGTTATATGGAGTTCTAGTCTATAAATAAGCAGTCAATATATTTGCTAACCTATTACATTTTTATTCAAATATATTTGGAATAGATATACCAAAAAAAAAAATTGATTTATTTGCTAAAAGATGTCTCGAGTTGTAAACCTTGAACAGTGGAATTCACTATTTATATAGCAGATTAAAATGTTTAATTAAGAAGTCTTTTTTTGAATTTATGTAAATGCTTGAGAATTAATATCTGATATTGAAGCTGAATCAAGAGTATATTTGACTGTGCACAAAATGAAGTTCCAGGGTTTTGCATATAGAGGGCGCTAGATATGTTGCACTGCTTGTCATAATGGTTTGTTTACACAGTGTGTTGTACATTTTATTGTAGCATTTTCAACATTTACTCCTTTTATGACATCACATTCAGCACTGGTTTTCATCAAGAAATTCCTGAAGCTCGCAGCATCACATTGTTTAATTAAATGTATACTATTTCGTGTCAATATGTATAACTAAGTTAACATTTTTTATATATACATAATCTCTTCCTAATTTTATTAAAAGTTTTTGTGTTGTTTTTTTATTATTTCTAGTTTAGTTGAATTTTTTTGTATTACTATACTTATTCAAACAAAAACAATCCAAATATGTACAGTATGTTTTATTCTCTGTTTTTTTTTTATTAAAAATGTAAACAAATATATTTTATATAATTGAATACTGTAATATTTCTGCCATATTTATATACAATTATATTTCTATTTAGTAACAAGAATTTATATATTTAAATGCTGAATTCTTAATTTTAAATGTATGTTGCAAATTTGTTTGCTTTTGTACTATATAACCAAAAGATTGATAATATTGTATGTTAATTGTTATTGACATTTTAAATTTTTTGATTAATGAATCTACCTAGTACTTTAGAAGTGTGGCAGTAATAATTTATTAAGCCAATTCATAGCTTTAACTGCGCATGCCCATATTAATGTCAATCAACATAAACAAACATACACTCAACATAGGTTTAGGTCAATTGAACTTGGATACGGGCATGTGCACTTCCAACTACGAATTGGGTTATTGTTGATAGACCAATCCCCTTGTTCTATATTACTGTACTTGGTTTTATGTGAGGTATTTTTAACCGTATTATGATATTAAATATTTGTATGTCATTAGTCATGCTTAAAGCATATCGCTTGTCCAGGAATCGCTCCAGGCGTAATAGGTACATGTTGTGACATGTATTATGTATAATTAAGTATACTTCTATTGAGAAGAGGAGACAGTGACTATGAAGAAGCGCTATTGTTATTATTAGAGTATTAATTTTTGTTTAATATTGCTATTATAATTAGTGTGGCGCTGTAGCCTGGTGGTTATGGTGCTTTCTTTCCAATTGCAGTGTCTTGGGTTCAAATCCTACCAGTGAAAGGATTTTTTTTCTCATGACCAAAGTAGCTCAAGTCGCAAAACTTTACAGTGATAAACAGTGCCGGATTAACCATTAGGCAAATAAGGCACAAGCCTTATGGGCCAGGCGAAAATGATGGGCCATCAAAAGTTGGACTGCAATATTATTTACACTCTATTTTCCGGTATTAATAGGCCAGAAAACTCAGAGACATTCTACTGTTAGAGTTTTTGGGCCATTTCCAAAATGCTAGACGATGCTTAATCCGGCACTGGTGATAAATGTGGCACCAGCTACAATCCTGTAGAGGAAAAAATAAGAGTATCTAGGGAAAAATCATACAGTAAATGTTTATTGAAATTGTTCTTACCATAATTTATTTACACCATATTTAAGAAAAGTTACCATCCAGCATTCATGCAGAAAATATGATCATTAAATAACCTTGGTCCTCTATAATGAAGTTTGCTTCTTGGGGATTGTTTATTGGTTGTGTAAAATTAATGCAAACAAATCCTGTTTATTTTTGCCAGGATTGAGTCCAGAATATTTGGCAGTTTTCAACATTTTTAGTGATTTAAGAAGGATCTGAAATACTCCAGAAAATATACTGTTGTGTTGATCATTTATTGTATATTGTAAAAACAGATTGTAAAGCAGTGAACTTTTGTGACTTTAAGTGTCGTTTGAAATTTTTAAATAAAATTGAAGTCTATGCTATATGTGTTTTCGTTTTTTGTTTTTTTTAAATTATTATTACGTATGAAAGTAATGCAGGCTTATGATCATACTGCTTACGACAAGAGCTTTTAAATTTTAAAAATCTACCAGGAATATATATATAAAATAACTTGGGTGTCTATGAAACTCAGATCTCTGTATACAATTCAACATTTACGAAGATCATTTCTTATATATATACATATATATATAAATCAAGATAGCCGTTAACACTGTTAAATTATATATAAATCATCAAAGAAAGGTAAATACAGTGTTCGAATAAAGGACATAATAATACATCGTGTAGCGTATTTGTTTCTAGCTGTATCTATTGTGTAATGGAGTGTACCTGGTGTTATTTGAATCTGTTCAACCATGAACCCTCCGTGGTGTAATGGTTATGACGCTCGCCTTGACAGTGAGAGGTCGCAGGTTCGAGTCCCGCCAGAGGCATTTTATTACAAAATTTCTTTATTCATTTATTTACAGGACTACATTCGTTGAGTGCTATGCTAAAC